TTCTTACCCAATGATGAGTCGAGTTTACCCAAAGCCTTTTGAATTCCTTCATTGGTGAGGAGTTTCTTAATGTCAGTACTCTTCAAATTCTTCAAATCCTTGATGGAATTCTTAATTCCCTTAACTCTATCAACAGCAGTGGATCCAGCATTAACAATCAATTTACCCTTATCGAGAGCACCAATAATCTTGTTCAACTTTTTGCTCTTTCCACCAGTAACATCATTAACACGAGATAAGATATCTTGAGTCTTTCCAATTGTGGAATCGAGTTTACCTAAACCCTTCTTAATATTGGCAGAGGTCAACAACTTTTTCATATCAACATTCTTCAAATTCTTCAAGTTCTTGAGAGAGTTGAAACCACCGTTCAATCCCTTCAAGGCATCAGTTCCAATGCTAGCAATATTACCTGCCTTGTCTAAACCTTTAGAAATCTTGTTGAGAGCCTTAATTTTACCTCCTGTTGTAATAACATTATGTTATTTGAAAAAAAAATAAATATATAATACTGACCTGTCACATTATTCAAGTTGGTAGTAATTTCTTGACCCTTCTTGATCAAACCAGAAGCCTTATTCAAAAAGTTTGATCCCTTTTCGAACAAGTTAGCTCCCTTAAACAAGTTGGATGGCTTGAGTTGAGAAGCAATATTCTTGACGCTCAACTTGGAAAGACTACTGGCAACAGATCCACCAGCATTCAAGATCATGGAACCCTTACCCAAAACACCTGAAACCTTTCCAGTAAACTTCAATGCCTTGTTGAGGAATTTGGATTTACCACCTTTAATTTTTTGTATTGTAAAAAGTTAGTATTTTGTAAAATGAAAGAAAACAAACCTGTGACAGCGTTCAATCCACCAAGAACAGCATTAGCCTTTGAAGCAATAGCAGAAGCTTTGGCAACAATAGCAGCTCCCTTAGCAACAGCACCACCAATACTACCCAAACTACCAGCCAATGAAACACCTGCCAGATTCAAAAATCCCAAATTTGGAAATTACGAAATTTGCATGTTAACATTCCAATTGAGGAAGGACATTAAAATCTTGTAGATTTTTCTAACAACTTACCACCAATACCACCAGTAGCAATAGTCAAAGCAATTGGAGCAATAAATTTACCATACTTTTTGACAACTTTAACAACACCTCTGGCAACTCTCTTCAAACCTTTACCAACCTTTCTGAAAGCTCTTCCTGCTCTTCTAACAGCACGACCAATTCTTCTGAAGGCTCTTCTGAATCTTCTGAATTGAGCTTGAGCTTCAGCATCAGATAAAGTAGACATGTATTGAAGTAAAGCATCATCAGCTTCAATGTCAAAGTCAAAATCTTGTAAATCAGCAAGGATACCATCCAAATGTTCGTCAAAAGATGGGTGTGAAGCCATTTCTAACATGAATGCTTCATTAGACCAAGAATCAGAAGTTGGTTCGAATAATTCTTGAATAGCTTCATATTCAATCATTTGTTGAGAAGCTTGGACTGTACGAAGTGACCACGAGCATGTCAAGCATACTGCAAGGATTGTGGCCAAAACAATGGCAAAGGAAAATCTTATGGAGCCCTTCATGATTTTTTTTATGGATGGTTTCTCTGAAGTAACTTGGTTGTCGAGCATTTGGATGTTTCGTATAAGGTTTATTAGTCCGAACCAAGATTCGTGTAGGTCGAACTAAACATAGTATTATTGAAGTCTGGCATGGAACAATTCAATAGTAAAATTGTAATTATTGATTCTAATAATAATAAACAATTATAATGATGATTGTAAAGATTCTGTAATTTTAACATTGAAAAGAAAATTGAATAAAGAGTAAAAAGGGACAAATAGCAGTTGTTTGGTTAAAAAAGTATTAAGGAGGTGAACTTGGGTAAAGATGTATCAATTTCTGATTTGTAATGGTACAACATTGAAGCAAATAAAAATAGTATCAAAGACTGTCTTTTACATTGCCTTCAACAAATAGCACCAAAGAACAGTAATTAAGAAAACATATAGCTTTAACACAACTCTCAGATAAAAACACTCAGTTAATGATGTTGATTTGAAGAACGACTGATTTTGTATTGAAACATAACTCTGTTAATGGTAGCTTCTACCATGAATCAATTTCAACTCTTAATTGCCATCTTTATAATAAATAGCTTGAACTGTTGTAAAACGAATTTTGTGATTGGTTAACTGTCAATTACAAATTTGTAAAATTAGAAAAGAAATTAAAGATATCTAATAAAAACTTATTAATAACCTTTTGTTCATCTTCATTATGCATGTGCATTTTGAAACCCTCCACAATGAATTAATTTCAAATAACTCATTTCAACACTTGATCACCTCTTTCAAATATATGAAAGTTGTAATCAGTTCATCACAATGAAACATTTAACAGTTCAATCAATAACAAATTTTATACACTCGCTGTTAACAGCAAAAAGAAAAAAGTAACGCCATTTTCCAACCACTACGACGACAGATTATTGTTGTATTCAGTATCGAATAAAGGCACAAGGTCTAAATTCTTTACACTGTAGTTGGGAGATTTTAAATCCTCATTGTAAAACATGAGGTTCAAAAATAGAATGGCGCGCCAATTTTCATTGGTTGCATCACACAATGACCAATAATCAGGACACTCTTTGATTATGATGATACTCCTATGTGCCGTTGCTATTAATTGTCACTGGTGAAAATACTCTTTTGAAGCACAAAGGCAACTTGACCGCTCCTTGTCATAAGAATCGTTTGTGTTTATTTGTGGTGTGTTTCTTCAGCCTGTGGGACGCAGATTGTTCTTCAACCGCAACCACGAGGTGGTATCTTTCTGAATTAAAAAAAAATTCACCATTCCACCTTGCTGCAAACTTTTACCGTCAACAAGAAACTCAACAACCTTCACGCAAGAACAAGCACCACCAAGCAAATTCTTCGCTCAAAAGCCAAACAACAAGCACCAACAACAACAAGCCTAAACGTTTTAATTTCATATTCGTTTTTCTATTCTTAAATTTTATCTGGATAGCCCGCAAAACACTAAAAGAACAATCAATTAACTCAATGGAAACTATCATTGTTAACCCAAATCCAATCCAAAATGAAATTGTAGACTATGAATCAGTAACTAATACTGAACACTTAAATTATATTATTGAGAAGAGTGAAGTATGTTCTGATAGAACTTCTCTTCTCCCACTTCCATCAAAGGAAGTAAAACCAGAAGATGTACCAGTCTTTGGTTTTGATTATGAATCAATGGACAAGAAAGCCTTCTTTGAACAATACAATGTTGATTTTATTCCAACAGAAATGTCAACCAAGAAAATTATCAAACACATGTATGAAACAAAGATCAAGGCTGAAAACCAAAATGATGAACTCCCAACAATTGAGGAACCTTTCTATGTTGTTGACTTGTCTGAGGTGCTAGGACAAGTTAAAACATGGAGAGAAGAATTACCACGTGTTACTCCTTTCTATGCTATTAAGTGTAATCCAAATCCTCAATTCTTGTCAGTTCTTGAAAAGCTTGGTTGTGGTTTTGATGTTGCTTCACGTGATGAAATTGAACGTGTCAAGCATGTCATTACTAACAATGATGAATTGGCCAATAGATGTATTTATGCCAATCCTTGTCACCCTATTTCTCACTTGAGATATGCTCGTACCAGTGGTGTTCAATATACTACTGCTGACAATATTGATGAGTTGTACAAGTTGAAGAAATATTGGCCAGAAGCTCAAATTGTTATTCGTATCAAGACTGACGATAGTCATTCTCTCTGTCAATTCAGTACTAAATTTGGTGCTGAATTGAGCGTTGCTTTTGAAATGGTTGATATCATCAAAGATTTAGGCTTGAATCTTGCTGGTGTTTCATTCCATGTTGGCTCTGGTTGTAATGATGTTAATTCTTTCATCAAAGCAATTAGAGATGCTCGTGCTGTTTTTGATTACGGCTTTAAGGTTTTGAACAAGAAATTGTGGTTGCTCGACCTTGGTGGAGGTTGGCAAGGAAGAAGTCAAAAGCACGGAAATGCTGCTTTCATTTCTGTTGCTAGAACCATCAAACCCCTCTTAGATGAATTGTTCCCTGTCGAAAGTGGAACTCAAATCATTGCTGAACCAGGTAGATATATTGCTCACAGTACTCACACTTTGATTACTTCAATCTTCTCTAGAAGAATTGAAAAGTCTCGTGTTTTGTATTATATCTACGAAGGTGTTTACCATAGTTTCAATTGTCTTATCTTTGACCATGCTGAACCTGAATTGAAATTCTTGAGCTATGAAGAACTCATCTCTGACAATGTTACAGATGAAGTTGAAAACAGAGTTGGACATTCTGATAAGGCTGTCACCTTGTACGGTTCTACTTGTGATAGTATGGACGTCATTATCAAGGACTCTCACCAACTTCCAAACTGTTTGGAATGTGGTGATGTTATCTTTGTAGAAGAATTTGGTGCTTATACTAACTCTGCTTCTACTGAGTTCAACGGTTTTAAATCAGCAAAGATTTACTACATTGCCAGAATTGATCAATAAAGCTCTATTCATTCTTATTCAATTAAATTTCAAATAATTTTATGTGAAATCAAACATGTCAGAATAGTTTGAATTTTAAATACTATTAGTGTTTACTAAATATGGCCTGATTCAATTTCAACTATTTTCAAGGTAGTCAATAGAGAATTGACGGAAATCAGAAACGTCCAAAAACAACTAATACATCTGTAATCAATTTCATACTGTTAGAATTGAATATAATTGTCAGTTTTCATCACAAAGCTTACACTATTACACTCCATCTCATTCATTTTACAAAATATCATGTTAGGGTCAAATATAAATACACTCCTCTTGGGTCTCTTAGGAGAACAATCTGAGAAAGTTTCGTATTGATGGCTCAATATCTTCAATTTTGAATTTATTGAATTGGTTTAACCTTGATCTTTAAATTTAAAGGAGCAACAGTAATTCCAACATTTTCTTCCACTTCCTCATCGCTCAAACTGTAAAATTGATATTTTTGCAATAATCTGGATAATACCATGCAAATTTCTCTCTCAGCAAATCTAAAACCAATACATTTTCTCAAACCCTTTGAGAATGGAATAAATGTAAAATCATTTCTTCTTTCCAGTTGACCTTCAGTGTTTAAAAATCTATTTGGATCAAATTTAGATGGTTCACTCCAATATCTTTCATCCAAGTGAGTTCCTCCAATAAAAATATCAATTTCAGTATCTTTTGGAATTGTGAATTTACCAAGTGTGGTCTCCTTCTTGCAAACTTGTTTGATAACACTGGTAACTGGTGGATGAAGTCTCAACGATTCCATAATTACAGCATTCAAATATTGGAAACTTTCATAATCATCCATAGTTGCTCCTCTCTTTCTTCCCAACAAGTTGAAAACCTCTTGTCTTGCTTTCTGTTGAATTTCCTCATTTCTTGACAATTCATAAATAATCCACTGCAAAGTAGTGGAAGAGGTGTGAAAACCAGCTGCACTCAATACAAAAGCATTACTAATAAGCTCATCATCACTCAGTAACTTGTCTTGAGTATTTGCCTTGACTAACAAACTCAAAATATCCTTATGGTCATAATCAGCACCCATTTCTTCAATTTCTCTCTTTCTCTCATTGACACATTTCAATAGGACACCATGAACCTTTTCGACTGCCTTATCCAAACCTGAAAGTTTGCAAGCCAATGGATACAATGAAGGATAATTGATGAGAATATATCTTCTCAACACAACGCCAACATCAATGATATAATTGAGAGATTTGGTAAAGTCTCTTCCTTCATTATCTTCTGCAAATATTCCAAAAGAAAATCCAAATCCTGCCTTACCCAAAACATCTGTTGAAGGTTTAGTATAATCCAAATCAATATTTCAAAAACATACCCAAAGTAACATTTGAAAAATCAATGTTTGGCTCAATAATAAAACAACCATCACGATCTCTCTCAAGATTTTTCCACTTGGTTTCGAATAATAAATCAGATGTTTCAATAGATTTCTCACAAACAAATCTCAAATTATCATCATTGAATGCCAAATTACATGCAGCATGATGTTTCTTCCAAGTTTCAGTTCTTAAGGCAGTCAAAATATTCTCACCAAAGACACTCAACATGTCATACTCAAAGAATGGCTTTTCAAAGAAGGATTGCTTGGAGGTGAACAATTCCTTCAACATTTCCCTATCACTCACCACCAGAACATTATAGTAGAGCATTGAAATTCGTAGAGATTTGGTCTCTGGATCACCGTGAGTCTTCATCAGGGTGCTCACTCCTCTCCAATCCTGTAAATTATAGAGTGGAGCAAGGAGAGGCAATCGGAAGGGAAAATACATGATCTGACTGATTCCCTTCATGTGTGAGACTTTTTGATAATTGGAATACCATCGACGAGCCCAAATAATCAATTGAATCAAAATTAATAGGAAAATTAGTAAGAAAATTGTTGATAGCATGATTTTTGATATGATCACTCTCTAATGTTCTTTTTGTTTTTTAATATTTAAATCTCCTAATATTAATATGATGCTGATAATTTATAGTGTTTTGATCATCCATGAAAAGTTAGTGCAGGCCGCGGGTGTTTAAGCAATTCCTACGGATGTCCTGGACACAAGTTTTTTGCAATTCCGAAATCCATAGATCAACCAGGAATGGAACATAATAAAATTCTTCTCATTGTAAATGTATTTTTATATTCTTAATTATCATTGTAATGTTTTGGTCAACTTTAATGTTTTTAAGAATGTTTTTTTTAATAATAAATTATAAAATTGTTGCTTAGATGGATTGAATCTGATGAAGGAATGGAATCCAATTCCATAGCTATCTTTCACAATTCAATCACAATTCATGCCTAGTATACTGAATAATCTATACACGATCCAAATCATCTAGGTCGGTAACTTCACTAGCTGGAATGAGAGTATCAGCGTCCAATAAATACTCTTCATAGGTCATTGGTGGCATAATACCTTCAACAGATCGACAATATCTTTCATACTCTTGTCGCTTAACTTGGTTTTGTTTTTCTTCTTCGGTCTGTTGTTGTTGTACAGTGGAACTGGTGAGTTGTGAACCACTTGAAACTCCACTACTACGCTGCTTCCTTCAAGTATTTCTCGTTGTAATTCAGTTGCTTGTTTTTGAGATTTCAGAATGTTTTGAGCATCCTTTACAGCTTCTTGTTCCTTCTTTGCATTTTCTAAAATTTCTTTTTCGGCCTGTTTACTCAGCAATTCCTCTTCTTCTTTAAGGTTAGCCTTCTGCAATTTGGTTGCATCAACTTCACCAAAGAACTTGTTGGCTTTTTGAACGTATTCTTTCATTTGTTTATCCCAATCTTCGTCAACTTCCTCATCCTGTTGAGATGTCCTTGAGTTTCTCTTTTTTTTAGTTTGTTTCTGTTTCTTTTTCTTCTTTTTCTTTACTTCAAAATCAGAGTCATCTGAATCCTTTTCGGAATCAGAATCAGAAGTGTCAAAAGAAGAGGTCTTTTTACTTGTTGATGTTTCGATTGACTTTCTTTTGGCTACTCTAGGATTTCTATTGGTAGTAGAGGTTGAACTACTAGTGGCTGTTGATGTAGATTCTGGTTTATCATCATCTTCTGATAAACTAAATGCTTCCTCTTCTGTTGTTGGTGGACGAATAATCGTCTCAAAACGAGTTTCATTATCATCATCTTTATGAGTAGATCCGAATAGTTCTGATGATAACTTTCTTCCTCTATCAGTTTTTTTCTTTGCAAATACTCTCATTTTGGAGAAGTTTAAACTTGTCACGCAGTGTGATGATGATTTGATCCTGCTGCTGATGAAAACACACAATAAACAAACGTTATGGTGTCAAGTTATTTTTTTGATTTTGAAAACTTGAAAAAGGCGCCAAACGTGTGTAACGGAAACATTTGGATAACAAATTACATCTTCATCATGATGAATATAAAATATAAGAAGATAAATACCACTGTGTTATCTAATCGTCGGAATGTTGTCAAATAATTATTGAAAAATCCTGTTATTATTTTTTTAATTGAAACCCAAAATTTTATGAACATTTAATTAATTGGTATTTTTGGTGTGAACAGTTTGAGCAGGGGACCTTTGAATGATGAAACAAAACTCTTTATCTAAACCTAGCTCTATGATTCGATGTGATTATTCCTAAGTTCAAATTATTATTCTGACCAATTTGATTGTTGCAATTAGTTAATTTATTGCATATTGTACAGACCTTTTTATTGACATTATTTCTTCTTTAAAGAAGGACATTTTTGAAAGAAAACATTCATCCTCATTATCTTGACAATTCTTTCTTCTGAAGCTTTTCACAATCCAGAAAATGTTTTGGGCTTGAATTGTCTGGGAATCGTTTTGCCGCCAAAAACAATTTTAAAACGTTAATCAATTCAAAAAAAATGACCGATTTTTCATCAAACAAAATCTTTGCTCCAAAGACTGATGGAAATGTCGATTTGAGTACAATAACCGAGTCGAATGCCGGAACAGTCTTTGGTTTATTTATTAATAATTTTAAACAGGATAATCAATATATTTATAAGGATCAAATGAGGTCTCACTTTGCTAATGGGCTCTACTATTTAGAAGTTGAATTGTTGCACCTCTCGGCATTCAATGATAATTTACATAATGCCATCATTAACACACCTAATACATATATTCCTTTGGTAAGTTTGATGATACGGAAATTCTAAAATTTTGGAAATAGGTGGAAAAACATGTCAAGGAAAGTGTCATACCCAAACTGTGTAAACCAACAACTGAAAAACAATCAGAAGAAGAATTTAAAGAATTTTTGAAGGATATTCCTTTTCAAGTCACATTCAAATGGTCAATTGCAAAACCTATTAACATTAGAGATTTGAAAGCAGAAGACGTTGGTAAAGTTGTTTGTGTGAAAGGAATCATTATTAATAATTCTAGAGTGAGTGTAAAGATTGAAAAGGCCTATATTAGATGTTCTCTTTGTCCTAAGGAAGAAATCATTCATGTAAATCCAGGTTAGTATATTATATTTCAGTAAATTTGGATCTGACACATTTTAGGTTTTACTGGAATAACACTTCCAACAAGATGTAACAATGAAGGTGGATGTAAAGGATCTTTCAGAGTAGTACCTGATAAATGTAAATATTACGATCAACAAACACTCAAATTACAGGAAAGCCCTGAAACTGTAACAACAGGTGACATGCCTAGAACCATTTTAATGTATAGTGATAGATATCTTGTTGAAAGAACGCCACCAGGTACAAGAGTCAATGCAGTTGCAATTATGAGTACATTCCACTCTTCTGGAGCTAAGAAATCGGATTCTAATATTTCACAACCTTATTTAAGAGTAATTGGATTTGAAATTACAAATGATGGTTCTGGTAGATCAAGGATTGAATTTTCAAGCAGTGAGGAAAATGAAATGAGACAATTCGCCAAACAAAAGAATCTCTACAAGAATATTGCAGAATCTATTGACCCTGCCATTTATGGTTGCGAAGATATTAAGAAGGCTCTTGCTTGTCAATTATTTGGAGGTTCTGCCAAAACGCTCAATGATGGTATTAGAAGAAGAGGTGACATTAATGTTTTGCTCCTTGGTGACCCTTCCACTGCCAAATCTCAATTACTGAAATTTGTGGAAAAGGTTGCCCCAATTGGAGTTTATACAAGTGGTAAAGGCAGTAGTGCTGCTGGTTTAACTGCTTGTGTTATTAAGGAACCTGGAACAGGTGAATTCTATTTGGAAGGAGGGTCAATGGTTCTGGCTGATGGTGGTATTGTCTGTATTGACGAATTTGACAAGATGAGAGAACAAGACAGAGTTGCTATTCACGAAGCTATGGAACAACAAACTATTTCAATTGCCAAAGCTGGTATCACAACTGTATTGAACAGTAGAACGTCTGTTTTAGCAGCTGCCAACCCTCTCTTTGGTAGATATGATGATTTCAGATCTCCAGCTGAACAAATTGATTTCCAAACTACTATCCTTTCAAGATTTGACATGATATTTATTGTGAGAGATTTGGTGGATAAAGACAGAGATCAGAGAATTGCCAATCACGTTCTTAATCACAAGCGTGATAGCACTAAGAATACACAAGACGAAAGTAGCATCTACAAACTCAAGAGGTATATTGCCTTTGCTCGTTCATCTTGTTCACCTAGATTGAGTGATGATGCCTCTGAATTTTTATTGAATTTCTATGTACAACAAAGAGAAGCCAGTAAGACTGAAGACTCTATTATTCCTATAACGGTAAGACAATTGGAAGCCTTAATTCGTATTTCAGAATCTCTTGCCAAAATGGAACTTGCTGATTCAGCCACTCTCAAACATGCAGAAGAAGCAGTGAGATTATTCAAGAGCTCTACAGTCGAAGCCATCAATAGTCATGGTTTGGGTGGAGAACTTGCATTAGCTTCCATGTCAAAAGATTTACAAAATATTGAAAATGAAATCCTCAAAATTACTCCTATCGGTCACACAACACAAGTTGAAGCCATTGTTAGTAATTTGGAAAATGCTGGTTTCAAACGCCATCTCATTGAAAAGGCCATATTTGTTATGTGTCAAAGAAAAGATATGGAATATAAGGCACAACGAAGATTCATCCAAAGAAATAGATAATTTAACAAATAACCAAATAAAACAGAGCTCTCTAATAATTTAAGATTTTATTTAACAATAAGGAGATCTATAAAATACAATAATTTAAACGGTGTTTATTACTTAGTTATTCCCAATGATATGAAATTGTTGTTAATTTACAACAAACTACTATCAGGGACCTTATCTCCCAACATAATGTTATCCATTTCTCTTTCGCTGAGTCCTTGCTTCTTCTTTTCAATGTAAAGTAATTCTTCATCTTCATGCAGATATCCTTCAGGCTTGAATGATTCTTCCAAACTATTTCCGAATAATTATTGTTATTTTGTGATGATGGTTATTATTATTAATAATAATATTCAAATTATTATTATGTGATGATGATAATTTCCGGAATTAATTTCCAATCATGTTAATTATTGAACAACTTACACTTGTTGATAGAGAGCATTAGCATATAATTGGTCATTGACGAAGGCTTGTCTAATAATTTGATTATAGTCATCAGTGAGTGAGTCCAACTTGGAGTTGTATGATTCCAAAGCGTTATAGAGGAGAGACATGGCCTCAGTGTTAATGTTTTTCATGTTTTGATGGACGTGTTCCTTTGGTTGCTTGAGAGCTTTAGCAACAGCAGAGACGATGAAACTTTCCAATCTGTTTTTAGACAATTTAGAGAGGGATTCATCAACAACAACTCTATTAACGGTACCCAATCCATTAACGTAGGCTGTAACATTTGGTGTATTTTCTCCGGTGAAGGCTTTTCCAATATATTCCTTATACTTTAATTCATTTCTTAATTTGAGAGTATTATTTTCAATGTGGTGCATAATTTCAGCTCCTTGTTGTGGTGAAAGTTTGTGTCCTCTCACTAAAAATCTCACCAATTTTTGCATTGGAGAAGCGACAGTCTTTTGAGTTTTAAGCATCATTTTTTTTATTCAATCAATTTTTTAATAAATTTTTATTTTATTTAATTATATTTCATCGTTGTGAATGATAACAATATTTATGATCGTCCACCTATTAGTAATAAACACTAGTAATATGATAACAATCATATAGTTCGGCAAGAGTGAGATTGCTATCATCACAGACAATTAATTCCAAACAAAAAATTTAAAAAAAATATTTCATGGCTTCAGCATCGCTCGGACCGTGCTTGGCACTTGCAGTGTGTATCGCTGGAATTGGAGGTGGACCATATCTTGGTAGAAGATTATTTGAAGGAGAATGGGTAGGTTTTGAAACTAGTAAAAAGAGTGTTAAATAGTCGAAAATTTATAATTTCATATTTATTATTGGATATTGAATATCAACATCATGATGATAGAGAGAAAAACAAAAACCAGACTTTTTCAGATACGGTTTGTGGATGAGAGACTATGCTGTCTCTGATACTATCCGAGAAGGAGTTGAACCAACAAATGCTTCCATCAAATCACCAGTGGCCAAGCCAGTTTTTGGTTTGTTTGGACCAAATATTGATACCACAAATCCAATGAAGAAGGAATTTGATGAACAAATGGATAGATTATTACTTGAAGTTGCTTTCAAATCAAAGTAAATAATATTGATAATAATTTGGAATTTTGATGCAAATGATAAATAGGGCTACAATATTTGTTATTTGTGTAGTAAATACAATTAGAAAATAAATCAGGTGGCGATTATTATATGATGTTTTTACTAAATGATGAATAATAGAAATGAGGATATTAGAATTCAATAACTATTGGCAAATGGTGCCATCGTTAATTACCGTTATTATTATGAAATTAAAACACTCCATCTTCAAATAATAGATAAAGAAAAAATGTCATCACAACAAGATAGCCAATCGTCATCCACAAAACACAAAGTTGATCCGAATGGAAAGTATTATGAAGTTTTAGGAATTGAAAATTGGCAAGATGCCTCTTCCGAAATTATTCAAAAAGGTTTTCGTAAGATGGCAGCACTCTACCATCCTGATAGAGTTGTCGATGATGAAGAGAAAAAGAAGGACTATGAGACCAAATTTTCTAAAATAACAGAAGCCAACTCAATCCTCAAAGATCCCGAACTCAAAACTAAATATGATCTTATTCTAAAGCAAGCAGAATTTAAAGAAAAGCAAAAACAGGAAATGGATGAAAAAACTAAAGAGTTGAGAGAATCTTTGGAGGAGAGAGAAAAACAAGCTCATCAAAATCGATTGAAAAAAGAGAATATGGATCTAGTCTTTGCTAATAAGGAATTGGCATCAAGAATTAAGGAAAGTGGAGCCTATGATGCCCTGTACAAAGTTCAAGAAAAGAAGCAGGAAAGAGAAAAGAAGGAAAAAAAAGACAAGAAGGAATCAGGTCCCACTCGACAAGTCATAGTTTCTTGGAAGAAATCTCAGGAAATAACTGAAGAAAAACTCAAAGTACTCTTTACAAGATTATTTGGACTTATTGAAATTATGATTTTCAAGGAAGCCAAAAGGAAATGCATTATTTCTTTCGAATCCGAGTCAAGTGCTCAGAAAGCAAAAGAATTCGATTGGGATGATCTCATTCAATACAAATTTAAAGTCAAACTAGCTGGAGGATCTTCATCGTCAACAACTGAAGAGAATGATACTAAAAAAAGAGCAATGAGTGAAGCAACAACGATTGAATCTGACTCTGAGGAAGAATCAAGCAAACAGGATTATGATCTCAATTTAAGACTAATGAGAATGGCCAATAAGAAACACAAAATAACCTAATTTGATTTTCAACATTTTATAGAACATGTGAAGAAGGTAAAAGTATTAGTCGAGATGAAAAGAAATGATGATAGCAAGATAAGGACCTATTCTGAACCAAATGAAGGTGAAGAGAAAGTTCCAATAATTATTAATTCCCATTTCAAATAAAAAACAATAAATTTTAAAAGTTAAAAAAAAATGGTGTTATTTTTCAGTTTTTTTAAAACTCTTGTTGATAAGGAAGTGATTGTCGAGTTGAAGAATGATGTATCACTGAGAGGAACTTTGCACAGTGTTGATCAATATTTAAATGTTAAATTAAATAATGTACAAGTTGAGGACAAGGAAAAGTATCCATATTTATGCTGTATTAAAAATTGTTTCATCAGAGGAAGCACAGTCCGATATATACAACTCCCAGCTGCTGATGTGGATACGGAAGCATTACAAAATGCTACAAGAAAGGAACATATGCGTAAGAAATAATTTTGGAATCAATTTCATGTACATATATTAAATTATTAATTTTATTATGATGGTGATGATTATTTTCACAATTTATTATAAATTAAAACGGAGAGGAGATTGGAATACTATTAATTGTTCAGGATGTATTTGTTTTAACTCGATAGTCTTGTTATTTCTACAACTTTATCACAGTGCATCAAAGATGTCATCAAATGAAATTGGAGTAATTGCTGAAGGCATTGGAGAAGGTAGTGGAAGACCACTTGAATCAACATCAACTTGAAAAGGAAGTGAAGAATCCTCACTAGTTGGAGGCTTGGTCACTTGTTTCATCTTTTCGTCAGAAAGTGTCACAAATACATCTTCAGCCTTACCAGTCTCTGGATTAAATTCCATAAATATTGGAGTTGGATATTCTAAAAAGTCTGCTATAGAATCAGCTTGTGGACAAAGTTCAATAGCCTCACATTCTTCAATTGTTGGTATTTTCAATTGTGGTTTTTGATTTGTTAAATTCTTGGTAGTCAATTCGGATTTTTTCTTCTTTGTAGGTTGTTGATTTGTTTGTGTTGTGATTGTTGACTTCTCTTGATTTGTAATATCACCAAGAGCCTTTCGTTTCTGACCTCCTGTTGTTGTCTTTTGTGATGAAAAAGATTTATCCTGAGTTTCTTTTATTTTGATCGGACCCGAAGATGATGAAAGAATATTCTTCTTTATAGATGGAGTAGAAGGAGGCACTGAATTTTCTAAATCAGTGACAGCTTTTATCTTTTCGTGATGAATTTGTTGTTGTTGCTGACGATCCACAATGATTTGTCTTTTCATTTTTTATTTAAAAACTTATTCGAAAATCAAGTAACAAAACGGCAAAAAATGGCGCCAAGCCAAAATTGTCCTCTCTTGATAACTGTAAACACCAAACTCAAAACCAACCTTAATTATCCTCCAATTGTGCACTAACGACAGCCTCATTATTATTATAATACTACCAAACAAGCTACTCAATAGCCTTTCATCCCGCCCAATTCACACAGTTTATTCTCACAACAATAGCCTAAGAAACGAGAATGCACAATTTTTCTTCATTTGGTATTTTTTTTGCACTTCGCACTCCAAGCAACTTTGTTCAAATTTGAAAAGAAAAAAAATGAAACAACAATCAACATTATGCTGTAACGTCTTGATAATAGGTGGTGGTTTGGCTGGGCTTTCCGCTGCTCATCATTTTAACTCGGTGGGAATGAGTGATTTCCTTATTGTCGAAGCTGACTCTCGTTTGGGTGGGCGTATCTATTCTGATACCCAAAGTGGTATTGAAATTGGTGCTGAATTTATTCATGGTCAAGGAAGCATGGCTCATGATATTCTTACCAAGTTGAAAGTACCACTCGATCACGTTTTTGATTTTTCAAAGACTAATCCAAAGGAACATGGTGCCATGTATTTCATTGGTAAGTGTTTTTTAGTTTGATATGCTTATCGGAAATTAGATGGAAAACTTCATTCGATTGATTCACCTATTGCTAAGGAAATGCTTGGTATTATTGATGAATTGATGGAAGATAAGGAATTAAAAACAAGCCCAGATATGTCAATTAAGGAATGGTTAGTCAAGAGAAAGATTCCAGAAAAGTATCACGTTTTTATTGATTCACTCCTCGCCAAAACAAATGGTGGGTGCATTAATACAGTTAGTGCTAAGGGTATACAAGAAGAAGGAAACAAGTGGCCATATGGTTCAGGAAACTTCCAGCTTAATGGTGACCACTATATGGAACCATCCTTGATGAAATATTTATTGAATAATTTATCACTTAAGGATCAGGTTAAACTTGATTATGTTGTCCGTAAAATTGATTATACATGCAAATCGGGAATGATTAAGATCAATGATGGTGAAATTTTGTGTAATAAGGTCATTTGTACCGTCCCTATCACTGCATTGAAGAATCAAACTGTTGTTTTTAATCCACCATTGTCACCAATTAAGAAGCACATTATTCAAAACATGTTACCAATGCAAAGTGGTATGAAAGTTGTTTTGAGATTTAAGAAACCATTCTGGAGAACAATGATTCCAGATACTAATATTATCATCCTTGGTGATGAAAATCCATTTGTTGCTCAACTCTGGTTCCCACATACAACTCAACAAAAGCACGATCAATATGGTTACTACATGACTGGTTTCAGTATGGGTAATAAGACTGATCATGGTCTTTTTTACACAGAAGAAGAAATTGCTCAAAGTATGAGAAAGATGGTTCACAAAGTTTTTGGTTTGAATGAATCTAATGACGGTTTCATTGGAGGTATTGTCAAGAATTGGCAATCATTCCAATACGTTGCTGGTTCATATGCCTATTGTGGTGTTACTGATGCCTCCAGAAAGAACTTTGTTGAAAATTGTAGACAAGTTTTGGGTGAACCAATTGAAAATAGAATCTACTTTGCAGGTGAAATTTATGCTGACTATTCTCCAGCCACAATTCATGGTTCTATGGAAACAGGTGATGCTGTTGCCAAGTCCATCATGAGCAGAGGATCCAAGTTATAAACAATTTATTGAACTAGCATTTCTCTTATTTAAAGTTGTGAAGCATCAAAGGTTCGAGGAGCATCATCATCCCCTTCTCTTGAAGGCATGTTATCGTTGAGTGTTTCATTTGATTTCATTCCTCTTTGCTCGCTGAGGATTGAGTAAATGGTCCTTCCATTATTAATATAAATATCCACAAACTTTCTATCAAATTCAAACATATTATCCTCTGAATCGTCTAAAATTATAATATCCTTGATTTCTTCTGGAATATCTTTCGAAGTATCCTTTCTCAAGTAGGATGATTCTAATTTTTCTTCCTCAACTGTAAACATATTGATCTTCTCCTTTGTGTAGGTCTTGGTATTTTGTAAATGGGTGAAGAGTGAGTAGCATCGGGTGAGAGAATTGGCATGGTAGGTACACTTCTTTGAGCAAGTATCCATTTCTAAAAGTTCATAACATTCAGAGATCACCTTCCAGAATGAATAGCTTCTAATATTCGTCTGATAACAAGTGTCAATGACTGTAAATTTAAATCTGATATCCACTCCTTGTTCATTGACCGTGACATCCTTCTTTTTAATCTCATCACTAATAAGGAATAACAGTGACTCCTTCACATGGATGCATCTCTGCAATAAACCAATGCATTGAGTGAGAAGGTACTTATTCAATTTAGTGTTTTTCATGACATGTATCAAAACTCTTGCCTTGAATTCCCAAATCTGTGTCATGAAACTGGCCACATGTGACTTGGAAAATTTCTGACTCTTTGGCAAGACACCATTCTTTCTAATAATTTCATACTCTATTACATTCAAATATTTAATAATCATATATTCTGCACCAGTATCTCCTTTCATATTATTCATAATCTTCAATAAACATCTTAGGAAGGTATCGAGAATTTCTCTCCTAATCACAATCGGAACTTTCAACAATTTGAACATTTTAAGAAAATTAGCAATGGAATCATCACTGAAAATATAGGAAAGCAATTCATCACCATCATTAAATTCTTGATTAATTCCTTGCATTCCGATACTTTGAAAAATTAATTCCACAACCTTGGTATATTCCCTCTTCATATACATATGATCCAATTCGTATTTTAAACAATTAGGTTCCATTTCCTTTCCTCTCTCTTGACAATACCAATTGCTAGTATGAAATTGTGCAATATATTTAATATTGTTATTATTATTTTCATCATGATGATTATTTTCCGAATATTCAGTTGTTGTTTCTTCTTCTATTGGAGCATTAAATTCCGAACCAGAATTTTGCAAGGGATTTACCTCTTTCTGTTGACTCATTTTTTTGTAAACGGAAAATGCAATTTTGTAATTGATTGTGAAGTTTTTTTGTATTTAGAAATATAGTTCGTTTCTTTCAGAACTATTATCTCCCTACAGAACCAACTTTTCAAATCAATCAAATGCACAAATTAACAATTGTCTGAAATGGTCAACTCTGTACAATTGGTAACTTTCAACAATTTTCTGCATTCACTCAAAGATGTTAAATTGTCCTGAACTAACTTACCGTACCGAACGAGAGTGATTCGTATTGTTTATAACATTACATTTATTATAACAAGATTTACAAAAGGAAAACAGAGGCAATGGCCAAAAGGACAGCCAAGAGACTAGAGAAAACTGAAGCAGATGCACTCTTTACAGTGAGGGAAGTGAATTTGTTACCAAAATTGAGGGTTGGGAGAGAAAGGGTAACAGTAGCATCAGACAAGTCAACAACCATTGGAGCATTCATAAATCCAGAGAATGTACTAGTAGCACAATCAATATCCAAATTGGTCTTAATCTTCATAGTATGGACCTTTCCATTTTGACTAACTGGAACAACATAGAATGACAATCCATTTTCCAAGAGATGTCCCTTAAGAACAGTTGATGGTCCAAGATTTTGAGTGGCCTTAGCAGTTTCAGTATAGAGGACAATGGTACCATTGGCAAACCATGATGAAATATAACCAGTGTAGGAACCTTGAATTCTATCCAAGAGACCATCAGGATAAGCTGGGGCAACAACACTCTTACGGAGTTGTTCAATAATTGGAGTGAAAATAATTGGAGCATTCTTGAGAGCAATATTGTTAGCAACTGGAGAGTTCAAAGAAGCTAAAGTAATCATTACAAAATCAAGTTCTGGAACAACCAATGGTTTGGCATTGTAACCATAAACAGAACCTCCCTTAGTCAAGTAGAACAAGTTATTTTTGTTGTCATACATGGTTTCAAAGGCACCCAAACCAATGGTGAACGTAGCATCGTTAGCCAAGAATGTTGGCATGAATTGTCTCATAGCATCCTTTGAAATTGGAACTGGACAAGCATTGGCATTGTTAAGAGAGCTATAAGTGAAACAAGAGAAGAATTTTAACATATCATTAGCAGTACTGTACATGCCACCAGCAGGTTCTTGAGCCAACAACATGGTCAAATAATCTGGATCTCTACCAACAACCATCTTGGAAAGAATATCAGAAGTATAATCAAATCCAGTGTTTGACATGCCCAACTTGTCGAAAATGTTAATCTTACAGAATTCTCTGAATGATTTACCTGTAATCAATTCAAGAACTCTACCCAAAATAGTAAAGTCTACATTACTGTAATAACGATCACTGATGGATGGAGCCATAAATTGCAACAAGTCAACAGTGGCTTTTCTGTATTCATCAAAAGTCATACTGCAATTATATGGGTCACAAGGGGAAGTTCTAGACAAACCAGCACCATGGATCATTAATTGTCTGAAAGTAATCTTGTTAGTTGCTGTCGTAAAGTACTTGTTAGTATATTGGAAATCTTTAACATAGTTAGTGATTGGTTCATCAATACTCTTAATAATACCCAATTCTTGAGCAATCAAAGCAGCCATACTGGTAAAAACTTTAGTGACAGAGGCAACTCTAAAGATGGAATCGGCAGTAGGGGTTTCAGTTTCCTTACCCTTTGTACCAACTTGACCAACACCTTGGTTCATAACAACAGTATCTCTATATTTGGCAAGAATAATTCCTGATCCATTCTTTGCGCCATTGTCAACCAAAATAGATTTAACCATGTTATTCTTGAGGTCTGTTAAAGCAGATTGAAGAGTTGAAACATCAATTTCTGCAGATCTTGGAAGAATGTTACATTTAGGGTTTGAATCAGCTGCCTTCAATGCTCTGACTTGAGACTTGAGGGATCTAGCACTTGCCTTTGGATTGACATCAGAACTAATCTTAGTGTAAGCAACGAACCAATCAAGACCTGGCATCCAGAAGTACAAGTTACCGTCCTTATCATTTGAGAATCTAAGAACTTCATTTCCGTAACCTCCCTTAAACAATGTCAAAGAATCGATATATGCAGCTTCTTGAATATCTCTAATAATGAAAGCATTATTTGGTTGGTAATCCAAATCAAAATTAACATAAATTCCACCCAAATTAATGTTCATAATAGTTTGACCATCTTGATAATACAAAGTGGCATTGGTTCCATCAGCATTACACAAATAGGTACCTTGGTACTTGGCTTGATCTTGAGCTGGAGGTAAAACAAATGCTGGCATGACAGACACATATTGACTCATAAGTGTTCCAACAGCCTTAGCATAAATTTGTTCAGCAATATATGTAGCAAAGACATCTCTATTGGAAGAAATTGAAATGATTGCAAACTTGTATTCTGGAACAAAGATCATGTGAGAAGAAAATCCGAGAACGTTTCCTCTCTTAGATCTCTTCCATACGTTATACTTGCTATCGTGACTCATTTCAAAGGCAAAACCAGTTGCATTTTGAGCGTCTGGAGAAATATATTGAGGAGTGAAAAATTCACGAACAGTTTGACGAGTAAGAATACTTTCATCATTCAAGATTGAGGAGGCATAATAGGTCAAATCTTGCAATGTAGAGTAAGCATCCATGGAACCTTCACACCAACCAGACTTTACTTCAGAATCGAATGTGATGGTGGCATTGCCAGCATAGCTTGGAGTAACGTGAGTGGAAACAGTGAGGAGATCAGAGACGAGACCAGAGTTGGACATGGAGGCACTTTTCATTACATCCTTAAGATTAGAAGAGACGGATTGGCCATTCATCTTGGCAAGAGCTTGACTCAACCAACAATAACCAAAGTCAGAATAAACTGGTACAGAGTATGGTTCATGTATAGCTGACGAATGTCCAGGAAGACCAGAATCGGTCATTGCCTTAACGACTTCATCACTAGAAAGATTACAATCAAAGAGTTTGCAAGGAGCTTGTCTACCGAGACCGCTCATGTGTGTGGATAATTGTCTCAAAGTTACAGAGGAAATTGGAAACTTGGAGAATGTACTAGTGAGAGCATCATCGAGTTTCAACTTTCCAGCATCTCTCATTCTGAACATTTGAGTAGCAACCAACAACTTGGTCAAATCACCAATACGAACCTTAGTGGTGGCGTCACCATTTCCAGAGAACAAACTAATTGTGTTACCACCTGGATACACAATAGCACTAGCAGCAAAACCTGATGAAACTGTAAAGGCAGCATCTTGGATAGCTTGAGCATCACTTGGAGAAAACTTTGCGTCTAAGAATGTTGAGCAGAAAAGCAAGCAACTTAGAAGAATTACTAGAATTGTTGGTTTGAGCATTTTTTTGCTTTTATTTCATTGTGATAACAAGAAGCTTGGTTTTAAAACAATTTCGAGATACAGCCTTAAATTGCGTCTTTGAAAAAGTTTACAACAATCTAGATTGTGTTTGGCTTGAATACTTGGAAGGTGAAATGAGCACGAGAGATGCGAGTCGAATGATTTTTTGGAAGGGCACTGTAATGGAAAAGGACAAATGCCGTTTGAGAAATAAGCCAACATTCCATCATGAAAGAGGATAAATTCGTTGAGGATTAAGCGGAAGGGAATTGAGAGAATGAAGTAGTAGGGGACAGGATGCAACAATTCAAATGGAATAGGGCGAGATATTTTGGAGCACAAATTATGAAAACAGGCGATCAAGCAATCGTGAACTTCAACTACAAGAAGAAAAGAATCCTTAATATTATTGTTTGTTACTTGATGATATTCATGTTATTGATGCAGATGAGTTGATAGAAAGACACCCGAAATATTTCAATTTGCATTATGCCACTTCTTGTATATCACACATGGGATATTACAATTTTCTTGACTATTAGATAGATGGAAAAGATGAATGCTATTTTACATCATGCTACACTTTTCATTCTTGTTGGAAACCTGTAATACTTTTGCATCGTCTTTTAACACTAACTTGAGAATTTCACTGATCGAGTAGGATCCAAGATAATGTCTTCTTCCCAATTGTTCAAACATGGCCCTCAGACTCGAATTACTGGTGGCGTTCGTTTCAAAAATTTCACTGTTCGAAAGATCATACGTTTTGATTAATTGTCCAAGCTTCTTCTTATACTCATCAACTTGATTTCGATATGTTGGATCTGAATTTGAAAAATCAATCTTATTCAGTGCAAACATGACTGGGAAATCATTCACCACTGCATTCTTTGCTTTCACAATCAGCTCGATATTAAAAATCAATTCTTGCATAATGAAATTGTCAATGGATGATACCACAACAAAGGCTTGTCTGTATTTCATATACTGTTCTTTCATTGAACTGAATTCCTCTCCATGAATATCATCATTCAATTCCAATCTAATTGATTTTTCATCCACTCGAATAAATTTCAAATCCACATCTTCTATTGTTGGATCGTAACTGTTTCATATGATTTAAAGTTATGAAGGATTGGAATGTTTCACAATATTTACATACGTTAAACCATAATTGGAAAAAATTCATGAACAAATGAATTGATTATACTGGTCTTTCCACTTTTCCTACATCCAGTAACGAATATTCTAATATCTCCTGCTCTATTCTCTGAAACTGGATGCAGTAGTGTTCTTCTAGCATGTCTTGTCAATAGAATTTTCCTTTTCAAGCAATTCTTCTTAATCATTTCCAACTTTGCTTTTTCAATTTCTTTTGAATTACTTTCTGGTTGTTCCAATTCGAACACTTTCCACCAAAAATTATTTAAATATTCTCTCATTTCCATTCTAGAATTTAATCGACAACTCAAGCTCTCAAATATGGCCATCATTCTAATAGAATTTTTAACTGTTCCACGATCGGATAATGATGTGTCCACAACAAATTCTAAAATTTCTATCAAGATTTCACTTGGGATTTGCAGAAATAAATTAAATTCTTGAGGGTGGCCATACTGATGTGAGTGTTTCTTGTGTTTCGACATTTTTTTACTGGTTGTTGGAACTTTGGTTGTTGGCGCCAAAATTTGATTTGCTGTTTTCCAAAATTAAAAAATGTCAACACGAATTTGTGCTTGAATTGCATAATTCGGGATGTGTTGAACATTTGAGATGAACATTTAATAATTCGGAGGAATGAAGAAAATAATAAAATAATAGATGATTTATTGAGAAGTTTAGAAACCATTTAAACTACAGTACAAATAATTATTACAATAATTGAACCGATGATAGATCCACCAATTGAAGAAGAAGCACTTGAATTTCTATTACTTGGTTGAGGATTATTTGATGATTTGGATCCAATAGGTTTAGGAAGGGATGAAGAAACAGGAGTTTCAATCTTTTCCAAAACTCTGATACGAAAATTGGATGCATCCCCAATGAAAATCTTTCCACTCACAGGATCAATTGAAACATCATATGGATAGTATAATTGAGATTGTGTGGAAAGAATGCCATCTTGATTATATCCTCCAATTCCATTTCCAGCAATGGTAGTCAAATTTCCATTTTGAATTCTTCTAATTTTGTGGTTATTAGTGTCAGCAATATAAATCACTTGCCCACTTTCATCAACTGTGACATCATATGGAGAGTTTACTCTGGATTCGAGAGCTGACATGTTGTCATCATTGAAACCTGCCTGTCCTGTTCCTGCAATGGTGGAAATCATTCCAGTACTTGCTAATATTTTACGAATTCTATGATTCTGCTTGTCAGCAATGTACACATTTCCCTTATTATCAACTGAAACGCCATGAGGAAGATAGAGTTTTGCCTCTGTTGCCATAATGACATCGCCATTATATCCAGCGGATCCAGTTCCAGCAATGGTTGAAATAATACCATTATTGGAAACCTTTCTAACACGATGATTGGAACGATCAGAGATGAAAAGTTCATCATTTCCATTCAATGCAATACCGAATGGATAATTCAATTGAGAAGAAGTGGCTTGAATTCCATCCTTATTAAAACCAGAATTACCATTTCCAGCTATAGTTGAAATAGTGCCATTTGTGAATACAATTCTCACTCTATGATTGTATGAATCTGATATGTAAATATTTCCAATAGAATCACTAGCAACACCATGAGGATAATTCAATTGAGCGTCTATTGCCAACATTCCATCTCCATTGTATCCACCAATTCCATTACCAGCAATTGTCTTTACAGAACCATCTTTTGAAATTCTTCTCACGCGATGATTGGAACGATCACAGAAGATTAATTCACCATCCTTGAAGGCCATAGAGGATGGATGATTAATTAATGTAGAGAGGGATGTAGCTCTATCACCATTGAAACGTTCAAAGCCAGTTCCTGCAATTGTTGAAATCATTCCATTGAGTTTGACAATTCTAATTACAAAATTATCAGTGTCCGTAATGATCAGCTCTCCATCATAACCGATGGTTACATCGGCTGGGCGACTGAGTTTGGCAGAGGTTGCTAGAACTTCCTCATCTCGAGAACCAGTAGTACCATTACCAGCAAGTGTTGAAATGATTCCACTACTATTGGAAATGAGTCTAATTCGATGATTATTTCTATCTGCAATAATGATATTATCATTCGAGTCGATAGTGATACCATTGGGAGTATTTAATTTGGTAGTATTAGCTGGAATTCCATCACCAGAATAACCACTCACACCTGTTCCAGCAACAGTTGAAATAATACCACTATTTGAAACCTTTCTGATACGATGATTTTGACTATCAGCAATGAAGACCTCATTTAAACTATTCAAAGCAACAGTTGTTGGAAGATTCAAACTAGATAACGTTGCCAACATGTTATCACCATTATATTTACCATATCCATCTGCATCTCCTTCTCCATTACCTGCAATAGTAATGATTGTTCCATTTGAAAAAACCTTTCTAATAAGATGATTAAATGTATCGCTGATATAAATTCCTCAGTATTTGGTTGACCAGGTTGAGACTTTACATAGATACCATGAGGATAATTCAATTTGGCTTGCATGGCAGTAGAATAATCACCAGAATAACCAGCACTTCCAACACCAGCCACAGTAATAATGGTACCATTCAATAATATCTTTCTAATTCTATGATTATACGTATCAGCAATATAAACCTCACCCAAATCATTTACAGCCACATCATATGGATAGTACAAGTGAGCTTGTGAGGAAAGAATACCATCTCCATTGTAACCAGCAAAGCCAGTACCAGCAATTGTAGTCATAGTTCCATTTGCAAGGATTTTTCTAACTCTATGGTTATAAGTGTCAGAAATGAAGTATTCTCCCTTGATTGGTCCAGTTGATACATCGAATGGCCAATTTAAGGATGATTCCTTAGCAGGGAGAGAATCACCCAAACCACCTGCAAAAGTTTGAATGAGATAGTCTTGTCCAAAAACCAAGGATTGGACTAGTAAGATTGAAAGGAGTAGAAGGATTAATTTCATTTTTTAACACAATTCGAATTGTTATTGGGAAACAATTCTTGAGGTTAAATAGTTTCATTGTTAATAATTATGAGTAGGGTATTAATGGTTGAATGTGTTGTGTGTAAAAAATAAGGTAGAGGAGAATTTAGTGATTGAAAATACTCTCAATTAGGAAGGAATAGGATAACATTCAATCAATTTGTATCTCATTCGTGTGATTTTCATTCACATTCAATGAATAGGTTGAGTTATTTAGGACTGGATTTAGATAAATGGATATTTGTTGAATGAGCTGTTTGAATGGTATCGTTAGAAACTGATTGGTTTTGATTGGATTGGATTGAATTGACCATCCATTTTTGGTATTTGAAATGGTGGTGTGGGTTGTGTGGATTCATACTTGAATTATTTCTAACGAATGTAGCCAACATCATTTTCGACTTTGTGCATTCTAGCAATACAGAAATCTATTTAGAACTCAAAATGATATAGGAGAAAGAAATCTTGTGCTACCTTTTTAGAAACAACGTGAATAATAATTATTGTAAAATGTAAGGTACTTGTTATTGTGAAACATTGGAAATCTCCCTCAGCTCTTAATAAATTTCCTTTATAAGAAAAGAGAAACTTGTATTTTGAAAAACTTGTATTCCTTAGAAATAAGTTTATTGGGAATCTTGGTTGAGCTTCTTGATTTCAGACAATTGGAATCTACCGCTAGGATCGACTTCATACTTACTCCATGGCAACCACTTCTTGCAAGTCTTGGCACAAATATCAGATGGGAAGTGCTTTTCGAACAAGGTTCTATAATAGTAAGCTTCCTTAGAAATTGGAGTATTGTAAGGGAATCTTTCAGCAGCCTTAGCAAAGTCTTCGTCAGTGACTTGCTTGTCACAGAATTCCTTCAAAGAGTCAATCCAACCGTGACCAACACCATCACCAAATTGAACCTTAGTTCTCCACAAAATTTCATCAGGAATCAAATCCAATCCATCAAAGGCCTTTCTAAGAACAAACTTTTCCATATTGTGTTCCTCACCATCAGTACCATGGTAGTGATGCAATTTATGATCTGGATGAATAGTCATGACAGTATCCAAAAAGTCCTTATCCAAGAATGGAACTCTAGCTTCCAAACCATGAGCCATGGTAGCTCTATCACATCTCATAACGTCAGCCAAGTGCAAGTTTCTAACCTTAGTAACCATTTCATCTTGTAATTGTTGAGAGTCCTTGGCATCTCTGAAATAGACATAACCACCAAACATTTCATCACTTCCTTCACCAGACAAGATAACACGAATGTATTGAGAAGCCAAGTGAGAGAGCAAGAACATTGGTGTAGTAGCTCTAACAGTAGTGACATCATAAGATTCCAAGTGATAGACAACCTTTTCCAAAGCAGCAATACCTTCGTCAATAGCGAAAATGTGTTCATGGTGAACAGTGCCCAAGTGAGCAGCAACCTTTCTGGCAGCAACCAAATCGGAACTTTCATTTGCACCAATACCAATTGAGAAACTGTGCAAACGAGGTTGGTTAGTATACTTTTTAACAAGAGCAGCAACAAGTGAGGAGTCCAAACCACCACTCAAAAAGACTCCCAATTCAACATCAGACATCATTCTCTTCTTAACAGCAGCCTCAAAACCTTCTCTAATCTTGACCAAATCAGTTTCTTCTGGCTTGTTGTAAACCTTGCTATCAAACCAAATTGGGTTATAATATTGTTCAATAACACCAAATTCTTGAGAAGAATGTTGAAGATAGACCATACCTGGTAAGAAGGTATCAATTTCATAACAGCCAGCTGCACTCAAAACTTTCATTTCAGAGGCAAACCAGACACTGTCCATTTGTCCATCAACATTCTTCTTTCTACCCATGTAGAGAGGCTTGATACCAATACGGTCACGAGCAGCAACCAAGGTTTGAGTAACAGAGTCATAGACAACAGTAGCAAAGTAACCATCCAATTTGGAAACAAATTCAACAGCATCTTGAATGGTAATAACAGTCAATGGATCGACTTGACCTTTTTCAATTCTCTTCTTTTTAGCTTGTTCGTACAAGTGAAGAATACATTCAGAATCGGAATGAGTACGGTATTGGAATCCTTCCTTTTTCAATTCAGCATCAATGTCATCATGGTTATAAATTTCACCATTGTGAATGACAGCACAAGTTTCATCTTGTGAAAGAATTGGTTGTTTACCAGTAGTAAGATCAATAATGGACAAACGTTCATGAGCCATACAAGCATAGGATTCCTTGGCAGTGGAAAGAGGCCATACTTTAATATCAGATTCAATTGGTCCTCTGTGAACGAGCAATTTGGATAAGGCACGAACTTCTTCCAACGCTTCTTGTCTTTGATCTTGACTAGCTTTTTCAGTGAGATATCTCAAAACAAAGGTAATTCCGCACATTGTCAGTTTGGTAAATGTTCTTCTTTAGCTACTTGGAGTGGTCTACGATAGGTAATGAGGCTAAGGCTGCAATAGACAAATAATTCGTCTGTGTTGATGGTTTGTTGACAATCTAATAATACTTGTTGCATAAACAAAAACTTTGAATAATACAAAGTAGGTACAAATGTTTCAAAGGTGAGAGAGAACTTCTTTTAAAAAGAATTGTATGGAGAGCAATAAATCGTGATGATTAAATCAATCGTGATTATTGTTGAGTGAAGTGTTTTTTTTTTCGCTTTTAAATGATGTGGAAATCTTGCTCGCTTTATATCTCGTTTGCGTCGATTTGCATCTTTGTATTTGTCAATTTTACCGTGAATAGAAGGCATTACAGTGTTTTTACGGGGAATTGGATTGGTAAGGGCTCCGGAAAATCTCTAGCTGCTTTTTCAACCTTGCACAAAAAGATGACGACTCTGTGAGTTTACAAGATAGGTGAACTAAATTGCACTCATTGTGTGTGAAAAGAATTTTAACACACCCATTCCCAAAGTTGATGTTGTGTGAAAAAGTTCTATTTTTACATGTTAAAATGATACACGTCACTCTGTTATTAAATACTTTTGCAGATTACAATGAGTATTTACGATGATGATGGTCAGTTTACGATTATTTAGTATGCAATTTGGAAGATACATGAAAGTCGAGGAATCTCTCATACATTACTGTAATACTAGAGTTTACAATATTGAACATTTACAGTCTACCACATTACAACAAGAAGAAAGTTAAATATTTGTTGTGTTCAATTAGTTCATTCTATTAAAAGAATATCAAAACCAATCAATTAAAAAATGCCATCAGTACAACATCAGCAACAATTGACTTTAATTCACCAACAGATAATAATACAAGTGAAGGAGGAATAGATTTTGATTCGGATTGGTGGGATCAAGAAATTAATTCAAAACCAAGAAGGGCATCAGGCCCAGTGTTTACCTCCGATAATGTCTATCATACCATTGAAAAATGTAGAAAGGATGCTGTGCACTTGTTACAGAGTGATGATAGAGTGAAGGAAATTGTGGCTGGAATTAAGAGTGGAAGATATGGTGGAACTAATATTTTAGATGAGGTATATATTGATATTTAATTATTGTTTAAATGGATTTATTGAATCCATTCAATTTAATAATATTTATATTATGATTGAATTTTGAATTGGAAAATGAAATATAAAAAGGGACTCATTGTGGAAATGTGTCACGGAACACAACGATCAGATAATTCATATTCAGGACTCTATGAACCAGTGAAGAGAATTAAAATTTGTTGTAATAGAAATGTGGGAATTTATGAATTGAGAAGGACACTCATTCACGAATTGGTTCATGCCTATGATTATGCGAGAGTGAGTTTTAAATTTTACTGATCATTGATATTAAAAAATTAATTGGAAATTATTTCATATTATTGGTATAATTAGGGATTCAATAGAAGACATGGCTGTAAATTTAGAGCTTGTACAGTAAGTATAGCTATACTAATCTATTGAAATCTTACTCATTGTAATTAGGAAGTTAGAGCATACATGTTGGGAGGAAGTTGTGATTTACCAATTGACTTGGCAAAATTTAATGGAGATCGAGAGGCATGCATTAAACATCATGCTTTCATGTCTGTAAACCCTTATTGTGACGACGCCACAAAGGTAATCAATGAGGTTTACCCTCAATGCCACAAGGATTATTCTCCAATTCAAAAAGATTCCCATTAATTACTTTACAATCAGATTCAAATCTATTTTTGAAAGGTTTTTTAATAATTGAATTATAATGGATTTTCTTGGAACTGAATAGTCATTACTTAAGTCAAACCAGTTAAAGAGATAATAGTAGGTAGATGAATTGCTTTAATAAAAATGGTTCATGGAATGCCAACTTTAACCATTCATTTTGTAATATTTCCAGCAAGATGATGAATGGTCCAAGAAATCGAATAATAGATGAAGATGTGGAGGTTCTGGAAGTGGAAAGGAGAGTTGAATGAAGAATTTCTCTTTTGAATTTTCCCTCCACAATTCCAATTAAAAACAACAGAACGGACCACAAAAATCTCGAAGAAAAAAATGCCAAAACAACAGCCGTTTTCTTCTTCCGCTGTTAATGCGGGAGAGTCTACCTCACTCCTCGGATCGTCGTCTTCAGGAGTTGCTGTTGGTGAATATGATAATTATGAAAATAATGATGGTGGTGACGGAATGATGGTGGGTTATCAACAGGACCATGGAATGGCTATTAATCATATTGGCGGAGGTTGGTTTGAATTATAATGAATTTTAATAGTTTAACACTTGTTTCTAACAGATTCCACAATTTATAGAAATACGGAAACAGAATTTCCTAAAAAAACAACAAAGGATTCTATTGGACAATTTTATCAATTAAAAGAAAATGAGATGCTTGAAGAACATGAACAAGCTCTTGCCGAATGGGAATCGGAACAAAGTCAAAGATCATTCTTTTCAAAGTGGGTTCCAGGATACGATTTTGTAACGTCATGTAGGAAGGGAAATCGCTCTAATGATGTCGATGAAAGTCCAGTTCTTGATGACGGAGTTGCAGAGTTACATGTGGATAGAAGTGATGCTAAACCTCAAATCATTCCAGAATCACTCACACCAAAAAAGGAACACAAACTAGGTGAGCTTTTTGCCACTGCTATTTGTGGCAATGATATTACAAGTTCATGCTTGTATGTTATTGGTGTTTGTATCAGTTATGCAGGTATTTGGGCTCCTATTTGTCTCTTACTTGTCAGTGTTTTACTCTTTTTATTTAGAGTATGTTTTTTTATTATCATTTTAATTTTAAATATGGAAAATTGCAACATGACATTACTGGAATTATAGTCAATTTATGCAGAAGTAGGTTCTGCAATCACACTTAATGGTGCTTCTTATACACTCCTTTTGAACACTACATCGAAAAAGACTGCTTCCTTAGCTGCTTGTTTAACTGTAAGTCTCATAACATATTTGAGAATATTTAATTTGTGTGAAATTGCTTTCAGATTATTTCCTATGTTGCTACTGCTGTCGTTTCAGGAACCTCAGCTATTCAATACCTTAAAAATGTTCCATATTGTGAAGACATTCCCCTCATTCCTTCTACTGTAATTCTTTTGGCTATTTTTGCATTTTTGAATTTAATTGGTATTTCTGAGAGTGCTTTTGCTGCTGCTCTCATTTTTATTTTCCACCTCTTTTCACTTGCCACAGTTACCGTCTATGGAGGTCTTTATGTTTCTGTGACAAACAGTTTTGAAATGCTCCAAAGAAATTGGCAATTGAGTCAGAGTGATATTTCCGCTGTTGGAATGTAAGTTGTTTTTAAATGGAGAATTGAGAATTAATTTTCATAGTGCCAAATCAATCTTTTTCGGTTTTGGAGCTGCTATGCTTGGTGTTACAGGATTTGAAAGTAGTGCCAACTTTATTGAACAACAAAAACCAGGCGTTTTTCCAAAGACTTTGAGAAACATGTGGTGCTTGGTCTCATTCTTCAATCCAATTCTTTGCTTTATTTCTCTGTGTACACTCCCATTATCAGAATTGACTGACCCAGCTAAGAATGGTAGTGTCTTGTCTCAAGTTGGTAGAGTTTCTGCTGGCAAATGGCTTCAAATTATGTTATCTTTGGATGCTGCTCTTGTACTGAGTGGTGGTGTATTGACAGCTTACGTTGGTATTATTGGTTTGGTTAGACAAATGTCTATGGATAGAGCCTTACCTTCATTCTTCCTCCAAGTTAATGCTTTCAGAAAGACCAATCACTTTATCATTATCTTGTTCTTCATTTTGTGTGCATCTATGGTCACTATTTTGAATGGTGACATTGAAGCCTTGTCAGGAGTTTATACAATTTCCTTCCTTTCAGTTATGATGCTTTTTGCTATGGGTGACTTTTTGCTCAAGTACAAGAGAGGACAACTCAAGAGAGACAGAAGAGCCAAAAAGACTGTGATTGTAGTTTCAGTCATTAGTGTTGGTATTGCATTGTTGGCCAATATTTTGGAAAATCCTGTTTATCTTGAATACTTTGCTATTTATTATGCTATTTGTGCCTTGACCGTATTGGCCATGTTTTGGAGAGCCAAGATTATGAAGTTTGTCATATACTTGGTCTATTCAAAACTAAGAGAATGGAAGATTGCCAAATCAGTCACAAATACAATTTTGAAGTTCTTGGTTAAGCAAGCAAAGAATGTGAACAGTCAATCATTTGTCTACTTTGCCAAAGATGATACGATAGCCATGTTGAATAAGGCCATTTTGTATGTTCGTGAAAATGAATTGACAGATTGGATCAAGATTGTGCACGTCTACAAGATTCCAAACACTGAGGAAGAGTATGTTAGACAACAAAAGACTATCGATAGAATCAGAAATGATTGTAAGAAATTGGATGAAGTTTATCCAAGAATGAGAATTGACTTTGTTGCTATTGAAAGTGAAAAAGGTTTCGGTGCTGATGTGATTAGATTAATCGAAAGTAGATTTGGCATTAGAAAGAACTTGATGTTTATTTCCTGTCCTGCTGCCAAATTTAAAGTTAGTGATCTTGGAGGTGTTCGTATTATTACAAATGATTCAAGTAGTGTTAGCTTCCTCTAAATTATAATCAATACTTTGATTTCTAGTAGTAGTAGTAAATTTGAATATGTTCTGTAATTTTGTTAGAGGTATCTCTTTCTGCAGTGCATGTCCTAGATGAATTTCAAATAAAATCAATTAATGAATAAATCGATCACAACAACATCATCTATGTCCTCTCAACCAACCTACAGACTGGAAGTCAACCAATCAAAAAATGTCAAAACATCTCATCATCACAGTGTTATTATTATTCATTACTTATTACACAAAGTCATCAACAACAGTATACATTGATTCAATAAATGGAATTGACTCTAATTGTTCATCATTAGAAAATCCATGCAAAACAATCTCCTATTTTGTTGATTCAATTTCCTTTCCGACTGATCAAAGTTTGATTAACATTGTTCTATTGACAGATTGGTTGGATGAATATGAATGTTTAAATTTCAAGAATAGAAACATTACTCGGGTTCATTTCATGGGATTTAATGGTTCATTTGTTAAAATTAAATGTAATCCAATGGCTTATTTTGTGACTCTAGTTAGATTTTCAAATGTGGAAATGGATTTTGTAACAACCAAATTTAACACTTTGGAAATTGTTGATAGTATTGTTAATAATGTTGGTATTACAAGAAGTGCAAATAGAGTTCTTTTGGATAATGTACAAATGGGAAGATGGATAGTATTTAACCATGTCGACTCGTTGATGATTAACAATTCCAAATTTGGGAGAGCATCATTGCATCTTACTGGTGGTTCTTACATTAGTAATTCAACATTTTCGAATAGCGTACTCAAAATTGACATGGATAGTGCACAACAACATCTAACAGTCATTAATGGCTCAAGTTTTATGGAAAGTTCAGTTCAAGTAACAGGCAGTGGCCAATTTATTGTAGATCGTTGCAGTTTTACAAAGAATATTCCTTCACAATTGGAAAAACCTTATGCACTCTTTATTCAATCCATTTTCTTGTTGAAAATTTCAGTTTCATATTGTAATTTTACAAATTTCAATTTGGGAGTAGTGTATTTAACAGGAATTGGACTTAGTGGCGAAATTACAAATTCAATCTTTTCTAATAACTCGAATACAGGTGGGGGTGGGGCAATATCTTTAAATAGTATACAAATATTACAGGTTAGGGAGTCTGTTTTCATTAATAATAGACAAATTGGAGCAGGTAATGAGAATTTTGCAGATCAAGTTGGAGGAGGAGCTATTTATCAATATCAATCATTGCTCAGGACTGAGTATTGTAAATTTATTAAGAATGAGGCAATTACAGGTGGAGCTATTTTCTCATTCCACGCCTATCAGTACAGCTCGAGTTTTGATGTAAGTTTCACAACACTACTACTTGGCTCACAAAGAATAGCAATTTCTTAACAACTCGGCAGTTTATGGTGGAGCATACTCTTCCATTTATTCATCATCATCGAGCACTGCCAATATTTACATTTATACCAGTTTATTTCAGTATAATAGAGCTCGAAAATATGGTGGTGCTATTTTCACACTGAGAGGTTCTCTTTTTTTCACCCAAATTCCAATAGTATCGTTTAATGGTGCTGATATTTTAGGAGGAGGAATTTATTTGATTGGAACCACTACATCATTGCATTCTGAATCCTTTTACAATAATTATATAAATGGTGGTGGTGGTGGTGAATATTCAGATGTTGCTTCATTTCCTGAGCTGATTGAGGCAACTATTTCAGAGAAGAATTTTATTTCATACAATAACAAATCACAAATTGACATGATCTATATGAGATTTGGTGAAACTATATCTATTGATATACTATTATTTGATACTATTGATGGAAAACCTAATATGGTTAATTCAAATACTGAATTTGAAATTAGTGTGGAAATTGAAAAAATTGCAGTATTTGATAAATTAGAAGCAAGTAATACCAGCGTGACTGGTGTCTTATATTCGAAAGTAGTACAAGAAAAAATCAGTAATTTCACTCTCACAATTACCATCAAATCAACACTTTTCACAACAGAAGCTTACAATCGAAAAATTTCAATTCAAGCAATACCAACCCAATGTCAATCATGGTTCAGTTTACAGAGACAATCAAAGAAATTGTATGGAGATGATATTTATGCATGTACTTTCAATGTTGCATTAGTGTCCCCTTTTATAATTGCATCCATTGTTGTAATTTGTTGTCTATCATCAATTATTGTAATGGTTTCATGTTACAAACTCTATGGCATGCGTAGTAAAATCAAAATTCTTCACAAGAAGGAGAAAGCAGAGGAAGAATTGACTCAAAAGCTATTGGAATTACAAACCATGTACACAACAGAATTGGAAAGTAAATATTCATTGAAGAATTGGCTTATTAGAGTTGAGGATATCAAGATTGTGAAAAAAATTGGAGAAGGCGGAATGGGAGTTGTATATTTGGCATTGTAGGTTTTCATTTCTAGTATTTCAACATTAACATTTACCAATTTAGGTGGTCCAATGTAGAAGTTGCCTTAAAAACCATCAAATTGAGAGATGAGGATATTGATAGTGATGAGTTTGAACACGAATCTTCAATGTTATCATCAATAAGACATCCAAATATTGTAAATTTTTATGGAGTTTGCCTTTCTAAGGAATCTAAATTCATAGTGACTGAATATGTGAGTGGAGGAAGTTTGGATAATTTAATTTATGATTGTAAATTGAAGAGAAACCACATTAATTTACGTGAAAAGATTTCAATTCTACTTGGAATTGCTAATGGAATGAGCTATTTACATGGAAAAGACAAGTGTATCATTCATAGAGATTTGAAACCTGCTAATATCTTACTTTCTAATGATTTCATTCCGAAAATAACAGATTTTGGTCTAGCTCGATTATCTGAAAACTCAAATAGTACCAAAACAGGACATGTTGGAACCTTACTGTTCATGAGTCCAGAAATTCTATTAGGACAATATTACAATGAAACATCAGATGTGTTCAGCTTTTCCATTATTATGTGGCAATTATTGTTTGATGAAAGTAATTTGTTCCACCATGATTATGCTACCAATCCTAAATATGTTTCAATCATGTCTAAACAAGAACAAGAAACTTTTGCTTCCTTCAAGTTTCAACCTTCACTTTTGCTTATTCCAAAATTAGTTTCAGAGGGTTTACGTTTGCCAATACCAACCTTACCAATCAATTCTCAATCCCAAATTATGAAATTGTGGATTAGAGAATATTTTCTATCTGAGGATTTGAAATACAGTACTTCTCAAGTAATCAAATCAGAAGATAGTGTAACTAATATCTACCTCAATGCATTGAATGAAATATTTTCAATTATGAAATTGTGTTGGAGTGAGGACATTTATCAAAGGCCACCTTTTACAGAAATTGCTTTGAAATTAGTGGAAATTCAAAAAACAACTGTTTTTAAATGAAATGCTTTACAAAAATTAGTGTAAATATTACGGTTGAGAAAGTGTTGTTTGATCTACTGCATTTCTTTTATTGGAAGTGTTTGAATGGGATTATTGAGAATATTGAGATACTCCTGGTACCATGAATGTTTCGAATATTTGAGAGCATTATCTTGAACACTCTGTTCATACTTGAGAATATCTGAGAGCGAGTCAGGAACTGGTCTTCTTCCATTCGAGGTATGTTCCTTAAGGGCATTCAACATGTTTTCCTCCAAATGGGCTGCCCTAACTTTCCACAATTTAGTTGACATTAGTTTTGAAATATGAGAAGGTAAATGATAGTCCACATAAATGACATGAATCAAACGAGTTGCCTTCTCATTGACCCTTCTAATAATATACATGAATAGTCCATCAAATATAACAGAATCCTTTGGCGGTGAATAGCCAGGATATTTACACGTATGACCAAAGTTAATATAACCATCCAAAACTTCATCGAAAACAGTTGTTTGTAAATTGGGAAAATCTCTCGATTTCACACCTGGAATTTTGGAATCAATCAAACATTTGGAGAATTGTAGGGAGAGGGGAACTTCCTTTCCTTGGGAAGGGTCGCTTGCCTTTTCAAAAATGTTTTCCTTGTCAACTAGTGTTCCACATGGTGAGTAGTGAACTAGTTCAACACTGGTGGGAGTTACAGCTCCTTTTTGGGTCAATTGCAAATCTTTGAAAACTTTCCAAACATCTTCCAATGGATAGGGTATCAAGGATGACATTTTGAAAAGTTTCATTGCTTCGTTTTGTTCTCCAAATGAATAAGTTGTCTTGGAATTGTAAAGTTGTGTCTTGTTTGAAACTTTGGACGATTTAATCGAATCCCAATCAGGAGAATCCTCTGCCATTGTTAAAGAAAACAATAAATCCCTTTCCAATATTTGAACCTTATTAAAATCTTTCAATTTGTATCGAATATCAATATTGTAACCTCTTGATATATCAACAGCAATACTTCTTGTAAAGTTTTCTCCTTGTTTCTCTAAGAATTCAAAGAGTTCTTTCGATCTGGCAAATCGAGGGAATTGATCACTCTTCAAATCTAGCTCAACAGCAAACACTGCCTTTTCGAATACTTTTTCTGGATCCATCATGTTGAAAATTCGAATTAAATCATTGTACGTAATAGTTTTCACTTCACTCAATGAAGGATACATTCTCACTGGAGAAACCTCTGTTACTAGTATTGCTGATCCTTTAATTACTGGACTCGAAGGAAGATTAAGTGGAGATTCGGATAAATAATCACCATTATTCGAAGTGACTGAACCCTTTCTTTTTGGAACTACATCTCTCATCTTTTGTAACATGTATGGTTCTATTTCTGAATTCCAATAATTGAGAATTTTGTTTTGAGATTTTCCCAAATTAAGTTCCATCAAACTTGCAGATTTGATAAAAGTGCCAAGAATTTGTTTTGCCAGATCATAAACATGTTTACAATATTTCATAGTCTGTTCTAGACAATTTGAATCATCTAGTTGATTTTTCAATTGTAAAATCTGATGTTTGCATTTGAGATATTCCTTTCTGAATTTGGTCAACTCGTTAAAGAAAATCATTGGTTCTTCATTGCAGGCAACTTTTTTGAGATAAATTCTGAAAACTTCTCTTGCTTCGCTATTATTCATGACCTCCTCGTAAATGATCATATAGTTTCTTGGATCGAATTTTGTCTTTTTCTTTTTGAAAAAACTTCCTCTTCCTTCGGTTGACCTAGGTGAGGTTGCTGATTGGCTTGTTGGTGAGATTGGTAGGGGATAATCCTCTTCATTGAAGGCAACTATAATCTCTGTATCGTCTATCAAAGCTTGATCATCATTCTTTGCCAAATCTCTAGTGGAAAGACTCTCCTTAAATGATTGAGAAGCTTTTGAAATTTTATCCTTGAGAAAGTTCTTTAAACTTTTTTGTTTTGATAGAGGAGAAAGTGTTCCAGTTTCATCGGGTGATTGATTCTTGGGTGAGGATGGCTGGTTGGAATCAACAGAGTTTATCGAAGTGTTATTGTTATTATTTTGAGTTACGTTTGACTTGTGTAGTTTTAGTAATTTAATAATTGATGAAGAACGACCCGATGATGACGATGAAGGTGGTTGTTGTAAGGTTTCAGTTGTTTCATTCGTGGTCATTTTGTGTTTTTTCTTCTATGAATTGTTTATGCAGATTTCAGAGTTTACAGAGCTATGAGAAAGTTGACTAGTCTTGATGCCACAGAGAGAGACGGGAAAATTATCAAAAGAGTATGTTTTTTTCGAAATTAAGAAGTTTACTTGCTTCTTAAAACATTACTATCGGTCAATCAACACCAATCCCATAAAACATGAATTATCGGATTAGTCATGATTAGTTTTTAAAATTCGGTGACAAAGATTCCCATGAAAAAATCATGTTGATAAGATGCACCTCTCTCAATCATTCACTATTCCTGTCAATTACTTGACAAAACATTCACCTTACAATGAGAATCAATTATTACTGTCATTTGCCATTCGAAAGGCTGTTTTTCGCCTTTATCTACTTGAACAAATTAATATTCAGCACATTGGATCTGATTAATTTCTCCAATTATCTTTGCAACTTAATCGATTTTGAAAATGTATCAAGTGGATTTTCATTTTGTAAATTGTTAAAAGTTTAAAGCAAAATACTTGAAAAGATTTTCTTTTAAAAATAACACAAAAAAATGCCAGTTTTTCAAAATACGGAAAAGTAAGTGAAAAATTAATGACGATCGATCGGGTGGAAAATTATGATGATATTGATGATTAATAATTTGTTATAATTCGTAATGATATAATTTTGTTTTGTTGCAATGTGTGAAAAATTGATATGATGATCAAAATGTGTGTTGGTTGTGGAATTAATTTTCGGAATGATGATGTAAAAAGATTTTCAACAGCTGTTGCCTTGATGAATACAATTGATCCTCCACAATTGTTCTTCAAACTTTTAAATCACATTCTCTTAAAAAAGCTCTCCTCTGAAAATCAATCATTTTCCAGTCTTGAAAAAGAACGTTTATTAGAAACATTCCCAATGATTAAGAATGACAAACTCTTAGTATTATTAATTGATGGTTGTAGCTATGTTTTTGAACAAGCTCTCTATAATGCTTTAAATCCAGAAAAATTATTCCAAGAATTGACTGAATCACAAAGTGGTATTTCTGAAACACATGCTCAAGCTTTTCAAGAAGCTTGGAGAGTGAAAGGAAGAGAATATATGAATACTGCTAAGGAACACACTCTTGGAGGACCAGTTGTTTTGGAAAACTTTGATTGGCGTTTACAAATGCAAATTTCTGAATCAGATCTCTCCAAAATGAAGATACCTAATGTCTTGTTTGAATTCACAACACTTGACTATCAAAATAAGAATACTGAAACAATGAAACCAAAAGAGGAAAATATTGTGGTGGAATTTACTAAAGAAGAATTGTATGGATTCTTTACAAAACTTGAAGCTATTCAAAATCAATTGGATAAGATTAGTTAAATATCTTTTGTTGTGTATTATAGAAAACTATTTAAAACTATTGAAATTGTATTAAAAAAAATTATGTCTTTCAATTATTTTGATTTTTTAATCGTAGATGATACCCTATGAACCTTATTATCATTCTATGGACAATTTTAAATGTATTGAAACATAATGTATTAACAAAATTTAATAAATATTAAATATTAAATGTTAAAAATAAAAATAATTTAAAAAAAAATGAAGTCAAAGCTTATTCAGAAAATTTCATCAACAAACTTTGATCTTGGAGCCTGTGCAGCCTTCCACAATCTCTTCACCGTTCATCACTTTAGTAATGAGAAGAATAAATTGGAAATTTTCGCAATTTTTGAAGAAAACAAAGCGGAAGAACAAGATAAGAAGGATTCAAGCCTTGGTGATGGTCAAGAACAACAACAAAATCCAACTCTATCGGGAGGATTAGAAGTTAAAACACCAGGAATGACCTTTCAGAAATTACGTGAATTGGATGAAGTTAAATTATTTTGTATTGTGCCTCTTTCTACTCTTTTCGAGGAGAGAAATTTGGTGATTTGTATTATGAATGATAATTCAAAGAAATTAGTTTATATTAGTAGAGGTATTAAATCAACAAGTGAATATAATGTAAAGGATGTGGAAGATCAAATTCCTTCAACTATTACTGATTTGCTTGATTCTGAGTGTTTGATGAGTTCTTGCTCTTCGGGATACTTTAGTTTTTATTCACCACAACATAATTTATTACAAATTATTAGAATTAGTATGGCTAATCAAGGTTTGGTATTTGATAAGATTGCAGATATTGACATTTTCTCAAAGAAGGCCTATAGCTTACAATTAACACATTCTCATGTTGTGCTTGGACAATTGAATTCTATTCAACTTTGTGATTGGAGATATCAACAAATTAAGCAAAATAATAGTGACAACTCTAATTCAAATCTTAGAACAACAGGAAGAATTATTTATTTGCCAAAGGTTACTAAAACCACAAAGAAGAAGGCAAAGCAAGGAATTACCACAGAAAAGAATGGCTTACTAGTTCCAAAGAAAGAGGGAGAATCAGCAACAGCTGCAACCACATCAACAACAAGTGAATCAACAACAAATACTCAACCATCAACAACAAGTGAAAAACCTATTCTTGTTGAAGAGACTATTTCAACAATTAGTAAGCAAAGAGATGAAAAAGTTAAGGATGTAAAGAGTTTGAGCAATAACTCATTCATCATATTATCAAGCTTGGGTAATTTATACTTATTGAACTGTCTCATGCCAAATGAGGGAGATGTTTTCGTCAAGCTTTCTCTTCCAATTACCAATGAAAAGCTCTCAAAGATCACTAGTTTTGATGTCTTATCAACACAATTGGAACCACTTTATAATCCATCCTTATCAGGACTTTTGGTATTGGCTTTTGAAAATTCAGACACTATTGTTGTTACATCATTGAAACCAATTTATTCATATTTACAAACCAAACAATCACAACCAAAGGAGCCATCTGTAATTGATATTGGAATTGACAATACGATTTTTAGCACTGACATTATCCATGGTCTTTGCTTGTCTGCTGTTAACAATCTAGTTGTTTCAGACAAAAAAGAAATATTAATGTATCAAATAATTTAAGCAAGTTTAACTTTCTCTAAAACAGTGGCACCTTCGAGACATGATTGTTCACTCAAAGCAATTAATTGTAAACCAATCTTTGATTTGGAACCCTCCTTATTTGGATCATTAATTTCAATAGGCACAGATATTGCTGGCACACCTGCTAAACTGCTTGGAACGGTAAAGATATCATTAACAAACATTTCCACAGGTGACATCTTTGTAAATAAATCTCTATCAATAGCTGGGGTAGGTGTGCAAGGCGTTAATAAATAATCAATTCCTTGATCTTGTAAAACTTGATAAAAATCGTTAGCAATTAATCTTCTGGTTTGTTGGGCCTTCTTGAAGAAGGTATCATACTTATCTACTGAAAGGGCAAAATTACCAGAAACAATTCTTCTCAAAACTTCATTTCCAAAACCTTCGCTTCTATTTTGTAAATAATATGCAAGTAAATCTTGATTCTTTGAGACCTTATTACCATATCTCAAACCATCATATCTAGATAAATTGGAAGAAGCCTCAGCTGTTGCAATAACATAATAAGTAGAGAGAGCTTCTTTTGAGTGTGGTAAGGAAACATATTCAACTTGAGCTCCAGTTTGATCTTGTATCCATTTAATAGTTTCTTCCCAAACTTTAACAATATTATCATTCAATTCATCAACGAAATATTCAACAGGAATACCAATCTTGACATTCTTGAGTATTCCCTTATTATATTCATTATCAATTGAATCCAATTTAGATAAATCCACAGGTGAAACATTGAGTTTTGTAGTTGGATCATTTTGATCATTTCCACTAAGAGTATTAAAAACAATTGCACTTTCCCTGACAGTCTTTGAGAAAATTCCACAAGTATCAAGAGAAGATCCATAAGAAATCATACCATATCTACTGCATGAACCATAGGATGGTTTAAACCCAACAACTCCACAATATGATGCAGGTAAACGAACACTACCACCTGTATCAGTACCTAAAGAGCTATATAATTATATACTAATTAATAAATGAATTTAACATTAAATCACATACAAGAAACAACTTTCCTCAGCAACACAAGCAGCACTACCTCCTGAACTTCCTCCAGCAATTTTCTTTTCATCGAGTGGATTTCTAGTTTCTCCAAAAGCTCCAAAAATTGTACCACTTCCCATAGCAAACTCATCCATATTTGTTTTTCCAATCATGACAGCACCTACATCTTCCAATCGTTTTACTACAGTAGCTGTGTATGGTGGAATGTAATCCTTAAGAATATTACTAGCCATTGTTGTTTGAATTCCTTGCGTACAGAAAGCATCCTTCACAGCAAAAGGAACACCTTTAAGTGGATGTTCTGGTTTTTCATGTGATTCATCCAACTTTTTCTTGGCATACTCTGGACATGTTCTAATGTAGGCATTAAATTTATTTTCCGAAGCCTTGTTCAAACAATAATTCAAAACTCCTTCTCCGTTTTTAAAAGATGATGAAGCCTTTGCTTTAGAAAAACAGAGGGAAAGCAATTTGGATGCTTCTTGTGGTGATGGCATTTTTTTTAAATTACTTAAGTAAACATTTTTTATTAATTATTTAAATTATTTAATATTTAGGAATATTAATTAGCAATGGAAGGTGTGGAGCTAGTATTTGAACGGTAAGTTGATTTAAAATTTGGAATTGAAAGAAATCTTCTCTTGATCCAATCTGTGAGTTGATCGTAATTTTCAAATTGATTTTTCATTCCACACTGGGTCATTACTTGATTCCATTCCTCAATGGAGAGCAAATCAATTAATTTGGTGAGAGAATCAATTGCAGATAGCCTCCATTCAGTTCTATATTGATCCCTAATTGTGGCATTGTATTTGGAACGAATAGTTTTAAGAACGAGATGCATGGTATTGATTCGTTCCTGGATTGACATTTCACAATTTTCAAATTGGTACTTGACATATAATTTAACATGAGAGATGTTTCCACTTTCCAATAGAGAAATGATTACTCTCAAATAATAGTATCTTCTGAGAGAATTATTTCTGGAATAGGCACCAGAAACAAATTCTAGCAAATCATCAATTTGTCTCAATCTTGGTTTGATAGCATAATTTTGAATTAATATTCTCAAATCTAATCGACATGTATCAGATGCTATGAGTTTGGATTGTTTGTTTTGTAAAAAGTGTGGAATGCTGGAATCAGAAGAAGAAAGAAAAGATTCTTCATCCATTGACCTAGTTCCATACCTTAAATGCCTAGCTGTAGATTGTGGCATGTACCAATCGGCCTTGCTTGTCTTACTCTTCGATTGTTCTTCATTGAGTTTTCCCATAACACTGTAACTTGTCAGTATGTATTTGTCAAATGATCTCTCCATTTGTATAACCAGATATTCAAAAATCATGGTTTGGGTTGAAATATTCTTCTCTTTAGTAGTGTCAAATAGAGGATTTTCATGTAAATTCTTCTTCCAATCAATTAGAGAAGATTGATTATTCTTCTCAAATGCTTTGATAGACTCAAGAAGTGGAATATTAGTTGCTTTGAAAGTGGTTGGTATATTATCAGTTCCAATATTAACTGTATGATCTATTGTCATCATGGTGTTCCATATAAAATCGTGATAAATTTTCCATACAATATTGAGGAATGGTATATCAAATACGAGTGGCTCTCGAATGATTCTGTCACATATTTTAATAGCATCTTCATACTTGGCATTATTAGCCAAGTAGGTAAGAATGATGGTGAGAGTAGAGACATTAATTTGTACACCATTTTCCTCAAATTTAGTCAAAGTTTTTAGTGCATCTGCTTCTTTGCCATGTTTTAACTGTAAATTCAAAAATATATTTAAAATTCTAGTACTACATTTGATATTTAACTTGTTAAGGAATATGTCAAACAGAGTCGATACTTGTTCATAGGTCATTAAACTAGATGCCTTTGACTCGGATCTGAATAGGTCTCTAATATTTATAGGTGAAATAATATGAACATAATTACTCTTATTAGTTATGTTTTCTTGAATAATATCAATTAGTATCCTCAAATGGTCTGGCTTATTAGATTCCGACAGATAATAAATTAATAAATTAAAACACCTTTGGGATGGTCTCTTAATGAGCTTGTATACCTCATAAACTTGATCATAGTATTTACACTCCCCAAATATTGTCAATAATTTGTGTGCAATCTCATAAACATGCGAATTGCTAAAGAAATGTGACTCAGTATGATCATTTGCCAAACAAGTAATAAATGGAAGAATTAATCTATCACTTTCTTGCTTTACCAAAAGATAGGCCGTTTCATATTTTCTTCCTTCAATTAAAAGTTCCAAAATAATATCCAGTGAATAAATATCCATAATATAATAATCACTATTAGACATTCCAACAACAAATGATAAACATTGTTGCATGGATGAATCATTGGTAAAATCATCCTGTCTGAAAATATCCAACAAGAGTTGAAGGGAAGGAGCAGAAGGTGAAGAATTTCCTTCATTATTATTAACAGCTTCAAACAGTCTTTTTCCATATTCTTCCTTCATTGAATTAATAGATAATCTCACAAGAAATGATATTCCTTTTTGAGTGATTGGATCACAAATATTTTTCTTATTCCATGAATTATCCTTTGTGTAATCTTTCAGAAATATTAAAATCTTTTGAATTTTTAAATATTCTTTGGTTTGATCAAAATGGCAAAGAAGAGTATCACAAATCTTGGCAATTGACAATACTGTATATTTTTCCGAGTTTTCATCATGTTCTTCATATATGAAATCAAATAGATCCTTCCCTTTTTCTAATAAAAACAATGCTTTGTGATAGTTTCCTCGATCCAATTGTTCAAAAATTGGATTAAAATTATTAGCAATTTGTGTTAATTTTTTTAAATTAATTGCCATATCATTTGATAAATTAGTATTAGATGAAATTATTTTCAATGATTTCCTAGATGTTGAATGATTAAATTTCTTTGATGTTGAAATAATAACCTCCTCATGTAGTTTAATTCTGTTTCTTTTCTTTTTTTCTTCCACATTTTGTGTAAATGATGATTCCTCATGATATGTAAATCCGCTTCCGAAGGAGGAACTATATTTTCTATATCCTGTTGGGGTCACAGAAAATGTCTTGTGTAGAAAAGGAAGAAGCTGTTTTTTCATTTTTTTAGAATGCTATTCTTTCAAGAAATTTCTTTGTTGCATTTAATGAGTTTCTTTTATTGAACAAAATTTCTACAAGATATTCTGATCACAAAATAACTCGACCTAGGTTTTCTACAGTTCACAGCAAACATTTAGCCGTTTCATTGATTTATCTAATCAACACGACCATAAACTCTTCCATAAGCTTTCCTTAAATCTTGGTATCTTTGTTTTAGTTCCTGTTCCTTACTTCTTGAAACTACATTAGTTCTTTCAACTGGTGCTTCCTTTTTAGGTGGTGCACTCCTTTGAGGTGGATAATCTGACTCGGAATCACTCTCCTCTTTCTTATAGGAATCTACCACTGATCGTTTTGAAGAGTGGTTCTTTTGAGATGATTTTGGTTTTTCTTCCAACATTTCATTCTCTGATTCTGTTGATAAAAATTCAGTAGAGTGGGTTTCCTTCCTGAAAACTGGAGAATTGATGGCAGTTCTCTTTGAAAGAACTACTAATTGAGGTTGCTCTCCCTCTGTATCAGAGGACGACGCGGATGACATTACAATTCTATCCCTCGATCTTTCCCTCGAGTCTGGTTCTTCCTCAGGTTCTGGCTTCTGTGAAGCAAGATCTTTGAACTTTTTCTGGAGGTATGCAGTCTTCCTTCTGTATCTTTCTTGAATGTCTCTAAGCTCGGTTAATCTCTCCTCGAATATCTTCAGTTTTGTTTCATGAAGTGTAAAAAGCTCCTCTATTGACTTTTTTTGAGAACTAACATTTTCTTCAATGTTGTCCACTCTGTGTCTTAATGAACTGTACTTTTTGGCCTGGGTTGTTACTTGTAAATCCATTTCCTTCATCATTTCTTCAACAGAAACAATTTTCTTTTCTATAGCATGGTTTTTGCTCTTTTGCTGGTCGTACAATAATTGATACTTGTTGAAGAGTGTCTCGTACTTTTTCAATTGTTCTTGATATTGACTTGTTGTTGAAGAGGACCTCATTGGAATACTCTCGGCATTGTTGTTACTATTACTGGAAGCTGTTTTTGAAACATTATGGGATGACGAAGAAGGTCTGGGTATTGTTACAGTGTTTGTCCTAGATGGTGTTTGTTGAGAATTACTGCTCAATGATTTACGAACGGGAGAGCTTGATTTTGATCTTTTAGGTTTCTTCTTTGTCGTATTTCTAGATGATGATTTGTTGTTTTCATTTCTTTGAGCCATTGTCTGATTGTACCTAGCACTGGATGAAAAAGTTGGTTGTGTGAGTCTTGATTGCTGTTGTTGCTGTTGTTGTTTGGTCGATGATGAGTGAGTGGTTGTCGATGGAACTGCTGCATTCAGTAAGGGAGATGAGTATGCCTTACCGCCCATCAACACACTCTTTGTTTTCATTTTTTTATGCTTTTGAAAATTGTTTTTTGAGCGGGAAAAGTGTTACAGTGGCGCCACAAAATTTTGATGGGTTGCTGAGGTTTCTAATGACCATCATCATTGAAGTTTTTTCAGAAAGGAATGTATTATTTTGAATTAAACTAATGATACATCATACGTTATTCTTTTGGAAATTTGTTGTTAATGGCAAATGGATTGAAAGTGTAGTTGAAGAGATTGAAGGCATTATGACGTGCTGATTGCAAAATAACAATCAAATAAAACATGTCTATTCGATTGAGTGGACGTTGGAATAGTGAATTATTGAATTTGCATCTACAACAATCTCAACCTAATTCTCGGAATGATCAATCCAATAATTTGGGAAGAGTTATAAATTTGAAACATGCTTTGAATGGAAGAAACATCAAGGATATTTCCTTGGGAGTGTATCATATGCTAATATTGACAGGTTTGTAGTTCTCCATTGATTTCAAAGTGGTTAATTGAACAACATGACAGACCAAGATGATATTCTGGTGGCAGGTACTAGTTTACCAATTAATGAAAAAAGTTTCCAACTCGTCCAAATTCAAGATCCAAAGAATGAGAGTAATATTTATTTTCCCATTTATAAATTTACTCCCTCACTCTCGTCCTCACAAACACTATTTCAATCTCCACAAATAGCATGCGGTCCAGAATTCTGTATCTTTACCCAATCAGTTAAGGAAGGTAAAAATTATAGGCATTACCTTAATTTGTTTGGGTGGGATAGTAAGAAAGTATTCGATTCTCGTAGGAATACTACTAGAAACTCCCTTACAGATATTTTGCAAGGATTACTTCTCAAAAATATGATAACAGAGGAAATTCCAACAACATGTGAAGGAGATACAATTAGTCAAATAGTGTGTGGTGGAGACTTTTGGATGATTGTCATGAATAGGAAGAAGATATTCGGAAAGGTATGTTGTTGAATTTGATAAATAATATCACAACTATTCAAAGGGATACAATAGAGATGGTGTGCTTGGGTTAGGACACAAGAATGATTGTAAGAAAATTACAATCCTCCCTTCACAAGACATGTTCCAATGCGAGTATGATACAATTAAGAAGGTTTCTTGTGGGCTTCACCATGCAATATTTGTCATTTCTAACCTGTTAAATTCCTCAATTCAAGTATTTACCAGTGGTGACAATAGATTTGGTCAACTTGCACATAATAATAGCAAGTTCCAAACCAAATTTTCCAAGAGTGAATCTCTAACCAATCTCATTCAGACAAACGGATTTAGAGATGTTTGTTGTGAATATCAATCTACATGGTTATTAACATCAAATAATAAGTTGTTTGCCTGTGGTCTTTTAAGTTACTCTTCGACCAATCAGTCAGTTCTACGTAAGGTACTCGTTCCTATTGAATTTAAAGTTCCATACTCGAGCTCATTGTTGTCCAATGGTTTATCTCCAAAAACATCATTTCACTTTGGATGTGGAGGATTCCATTCTGTTTTCTCCAATCATCGAAGTGATTCAATAGTAGGTATTGGAACTAACACGTGTGAGCAGCTCTTCCCTCACCAAAGTACTACAATCCAAGAGCATCAGAAGAATACTCCACCAAGTACAGTTGGAATGACAGTTGCAGTGAGCAAGCTAACTTCCATGCAACAAGAAAATAGTCCAGAGAAAATGATATTGAAGAAGATATTATGCTCTCGTGACTGTTCGTTCATGGTATTTGAACCATTACCTGCTATCCAGGGATTGCATGAATATTTAATCAAATCCAATAGAAAACTATCCGATGTAGTGTTGATTACTTCCTCTTGCTGAGATGATGGTGATATTATTAATAAAAGCAATTCCACAGAAAATCCATCAAAATTATTATAGTTTTGATAAATACTTGCTAGTGATAACAAGAATTAAATAATAGGATCAGAAATCTGTCTTGAACACAGAGGTTTGTTTTCATGGTTAAGTTACCGATCAACAACACGGACCAATAAATTATCATCATCAACTTTCATTATTGGCATAACTCGTGGTAAAGATGCAATGTTGAGTTAAATTTTTTATTTTGGTTTTGAAAATATTCCAATTTATCAAATTAATCAGCTCATCACACACCAAGAACAATTAATTTCAACTGAATATTAGCACTTCATCACAATTAATCATAAACAACAATATTGATGATTTGTATTTTAGAAATTTTATGTTTAATAAATATTTATTTTGAAAAAGCTTAGGAACTATAAAGTTCGGTTTACAATGAGAATGCTCCACTACTAATGGAACAAATTATATATTTACAAGAATCGCAAATTACCATTATCTAATTTATGTTCTTTCACCTCTAATTCTCTTGGCCAATTGCATATCCTTTTGCATGATAGTAACTCTCTTGGCGTGAATAGCACACAAGTTAGTATCTTCAAAGAGGGAAACAAGGTAGGCTTCGGAAGCTTCTTGGAGAGCCAAGACAGCATTAGATTGGAAACGCAAGTCAGACTTGTAGTCTTGAGCAATTTCTCTGACCAATCTTTGGAATGGCAACTTTCTAATCAACAATTCAGTAGACTTTTGATACTTTCTGATTTCTCTCAAAGCAACAGTACCTGGCTTATATCTGTGTGGCTTCTTCAAACCACCAGTTGATGGTTGTTTGGCAGACTTTCTAGCAGCTTTAGAGGCCAATTGTTTTCTTGGTGCTTTACCACCTGTAGACTTTCTGGCAGTTTGTTTGGTTCTAGCCATGTTGTTGTATTTTTTTCGGTTAGTTGTTCTATGATCTGGAAAGTAGAACGGAAAGGTAGCATTTATGAGGTGGTAAGATTTTCGACTTTCATGTAACGGTTTTGCAGGGCATTTTTCGTCATTAGAGTTTTCGAGCCGCTTTTCTTTCCAAGCGCAAGTGGATGCGCATTTTTGGTAGTTGTTACAATAAAATTTCTGACCAATCGTTTCAATAGAGACTGTTGTAAAGCGATTAACAATTATTTTCGTCATTTGAACATTTGGAGCCATCACAAAAATTTGTCATTACCCATTAGAATGCTCCTTCAATCGTGACCATGATGTGTTTTCACATCAAGTTGGACAATATTCATCATCTCTTGAATATTTTCATGGAATTTAATATCTAATTATCATAACACCACAGTGTTGGATCGGAAAGTTCTTGGTCTCAACAAATAAGAAAGCCCTTCATTCACACTCACTTTAGGAGCATATAATAATGTGAAGATTCTCCAAACCAACTTTCTGTGAAGACAATTTTCATTGTATAATCTTCTCTTCTATCGTTTCAAACAGGAGAAGAGGTTAAGTCCTTTTTTGTGTAACCCTAGTATTATACACGTAATATGATGAGCAAATTTTCATTGTGAATGTGAAGGGGATGTAGCTCACATGGTAGAGCGCTTCTTTAGCATGGAAGAGGTACGGGGATCGATACCCCGCATCTCCACTCAATTTTTTACCTACTTTTCAACATTTTCACAATTTCTATTAGTAATTGTAGACTGTTCTTATTCTTGTTTCTTAACCTTTTCAAAATAAAGTACTGCAACCTAATTGTTATCTTCAAAACTCACTTCAACTCAATCAAAACAACTTCAAACAAAAAAATGGGCGGAAACACAATCTCCAAAGTTACCAAAACACTTCCGAAAAATCCTGCCTCTGTTTTGCAAGAAGCAAAAGCTTCTCGTGCAGTAGCAAACAATGCTGCCAGTACATCATTTTCTTCTCCAACATCTTCATCTAAATTTTCCAAGAGAGAAGAGGAAGATAAATGGATGGAAGACCAAGCAACCAGAGTAGTCGGAGATGAACATAGAAAAGTAAGACTTGTTGGATATAATCTTCCTGGAGAGGATGTAAAATATGTTTCACGAGAGGATTATGATGTCATGGAGGAATGGAATAATCTTGTAAAGGAGCAAGGAGTTAAAGGATTGGAACAAGTTGAAAGGGAAATGAAGGAAATGAACGATATCAATGTTGAAGAACGTAAATATTGGGAAGAACAACAATTGAAGGAAGAATATAAAATTTCCTCTGGTGTTGCAGCAGATGAGAGCCCTGACGAATCAAATGTTAAATTAACACCAGAACAAGAATTATTAATGAAATTATCTGGAAATGCACAAGTGAAGGATTTGACAGATTCAGACAATAATAAGGAGGATGAATATGAAAAATTAGTGAGTCAAAACAAGGATGATGATTTCGTGCATCACTTACAAAATATTACTTCAACTTTCAAAGTACAAACTAATGAAGTTGAGGAAACAACAAATACTGATTATACTAATGTAGTGGGTAAAGCTCGTGCTCGTCCATTATTCGAAGATATTCACAATGATTCTGGAAGAGTTTATTTACCACACAACAATCAACTCAATGCTGGTGAAGATAAGGAAGAACTTGCAAGAGGAATTATAACAAGTATATCCGGTAATAATAATCCAAGAGCTGTAAGAGGTAGATTCTATCCTGATACAGTCAAAGATGTGGAATTGAGAAAATTCTGTGATTTGAAGAGGGAATTGGAATATGCCAATACAGAACAATCGAATAAGGATGCTGAAGCTCTGCTCAAAGATTTTGCCTCACAACAAGCCATGAGTGAAGAAACATTGAAGAGTATTTTGAAATATGTAAATAGTGTGTATGTTTATTCTCCTTCTCAAAATCTTGAAAGAGATGGAGAATCGTATGGATTTTGGAATAAAATTGAAAGGCAATAATCTGAAAAGGGGTTCCAATTCTTATCAATATTATAAGGTGCATTTCTACTCCTTAAATTAATTATACGAAACAAAACAATGGCCAAAGTCAATCCACCATCTATAATAAAAGAGGAAGGTAAAAGTTACTGATATCAGAAGCCTGGCTCCTTTTTTTCAATTTCGTAGATTATAACAATGCCAATTGAGGTCAGAATAGCAACCCGAGTCTAAAAACAACTACATTACCAACGATGATCGTTCTAAATGTCCCTTGTCATCAATAAACAAAAAAAAGCAACAACAATTTCCAAGTTGTGTGAATGTTTGTGAAATAACATGTCAAGACACAAACAAGCAATAACTTCACAAGATCTTCGAGATGGCAATGACCACAATATAACAACTCCAACTGCACAGAATCAAATCACATCCAATGATGATGAGGAAAATAATGTTGTGGAATTTTCATCCGAATCATCCATAACCAATATCAACAACCAAAATTCCAACCACAACATTATCTGCCAATAACAAGTCAACCACAACAAAAACTCGAACCAGTCATACTGCTAGGAGACTCTCTCGAATCTATCGATCCTCACCATCCTCACCATCAGTAGTAGTTGTACAGAGTGGTACTGCTGAAAACTATCATCAGGATAATTCCTTTGCTGTTGAAGAGAATACAGATGATCCGAATGTTATGGCTGATGATGAACAAGATGAAGAGGAGGGAGCACTCTCTCCACCACAAATCATTACCAAATCACCGACTCCTTCTTCATCTTCTCCAAATTTCAAACTGAATCTTGCTAATATCAAATCTTACCAACAACAACAAAACAATTCAATCAATGATGCTTCATTATCAACAACATCTAATAAGATGTCTTCTATTCAGCATATTATGATTAAAACACCGAGAGGAAGAAGTGTTTCGGAGGCTGTTCTTCCAAACTCTGCAAGAGTCAGTAGTAGTAACAATTCATTGGAATCCGAGTCAGAGTTTTATCAAGTACCAGCAGTCAATTCTTCTGGTCGATTCACATCAAGAACAAGTCGAATGAATAATAATTCGAGTACTAGGAGAACTAATCAATCATCACCATATTACATTCCTCCTTCTTCTTCTACTCAATCACCTCGTTCAATTCTCTCCAATTATAATAATAATAATAACAATTCATCATCAACACCAAGAACCCGATCACCAGCCAATCAATCACCTCGATCAGCTCTCACACCCAGACAAGTTACCTTCTTTGATGAGTCACCTAACCAGTTGCCTCATTCAGCCAATGCCATACTCTTTAATCAGCAGCAGCAAATGAGTCCCGATTACATTTTCCAATTAGCAGCAGCAACAAATTCAAATAATAATGCTATTGGCAGTAGTGGCAATAATAGTCGATCTCAATCACCAGCAACAACAAACAAATTGGCGCCAAAACATTTACAAGGCAACTTGAAAATTCCTCACGAAAAATATATCACAACACCATCACCCAATGGTGGAAATGGATCAAAATCACCTTTGGCACCATCGGTTTACGAGTCGATTTTTGGAGTGCCTCATTCAAAGCAATCACTCATGTTTAGGCACAGTTATGGAAATGAATTTGAGGCGAGAGGAGAGGAAGAGGTTGTTGAGGATTTGAGTTTCAATCACAAAAGTCCAAATTATAGTAATAATCAATCGAATAGGACTGCCTCTCCGCAATTAACACCAAGAAGATTGGCACAACAAATGACATCTTCTATTAAGGCACGTCTTTCGCCGAGAAATAAGGCAGAGAAGGAGGGATTTTCTGGACTAGTTGATGAAAGTAGTTCATTGGAAATGAACCAAAATGTTTTCTCAAATGATATTGGAATAATTATGCATTCTCATGATGATCATCTAAATGATCTTAAAAGTGATGATGAGAGCTCTGTGAGACATGTCGTTCAGGATATTGACATGCACGAGGTTATTGCGACTGCTATGGATGGAATGAAATCACACCACGTTCAAACCATTTCAGCAGATAGTATCAATAGGGAGGGATCAACTCTTTCAGTGAGTCCAAATTATTTGATACCAAACATGGATTCAACAGAGTCAAGTTGCCAATCCCCTCCAACAACTTCACAATTAGTCATGGCTGCTAGTGTAACAAATATTAACAAGCCACCCATGCATACCTATTCCACTTCTGATTTGACAACCATCAGTCCAGGTATGATGAAAGGGAGAGCCAGTGTTGGAACAGATGCTGAGGGAAAATCAGTTGTTTCAAATCACAAGAAGAAGCAATTATTCAAAGTTAAAACTTGTTGTGGTACCATTGAGCTGTCTGTTTTCAAGCTTTTTGCACTTGCTGCACTCTTTGTAAACACTTTGGCCTTTGTGTGGCTTGCTGTATTGCTTTCCTTAATTTATGTCAATCAAATTGACCAGTACACCCTCGAGACAACTCCAAGTTTAAAAGCCACACAAAGTATACAATACACCAGAGCAATGATGTCCTATCTCACTAAAGTAACTGCATATTCATCGACTTGTGCTCCACTACTTTTACAATATGAAAACTTTACTTATTACAACGAAACTATGTACATTAACAGGTTTGAAGCTGACTATTTGGCATTAATGAGCGATCTTAATGCCTCCAAAGCTGTTCTATCTCAAGAAATTGTAAATAATTTGGAAAATTCTTCCTTTATGGGAAAAGATTTAGAGGCATACCAATTATTGAAAAATGGTCAACCTTTGGAAGCTCTCAAATTATTGGAAAGTAATGAATATGTAAAACAGTACAAGATGGAAAAAGATACTGTAGTAGACCCTATTTCTAGCTATTTTGAAGCTCTAGGATTGAAGAAAACATATGAAATGTCATTTTTATCATTGATGGGTCTGATTGTGGTTGCCTGTGTATTTGCATTTGTGGTTCCTCTATTTATTTTCATTTTGGTTTGTGCTTTCAATAGAGATAGCTTACATTTGGAAAGATTGAATAGAGCCAATGCAGTTATGCTCATGGATACTATGAACAATGAAATACTCAGAGACCTTTTCAAAAAGCATTGCGAGATCGAGTATGCCTCAGAGAATTTCTCAATTTTGGAAAAGATCAATGAATACAAACAATTATGTGAAAAGAGTTTTGAAATTCAAGTGGCACTATTTGATATTGAAAATAATGGACCAAACGAATTGGATGTTTCCTCACCTGTAAAGAGAAGGCCAGGAACTGTTGAAATCGAATTTCCTAGCTCACCTATTTCTCCAATGAGAAGAAAGCAATCTTCTGCTGATAATAGAGATTCAAAGAGAATGAAACTATTTAAACGACAATACTCTGAAAAGGATTTAGAACGTATTGAACAAGAAAAGTATGAAATTGCATTCGAAATATTCACTGACTATCTTGATGTGAATGGAGAAAGGTCTATAAATATTAACAAAACCCTTTCAGATAAGGTAAAAGAACAAATGGATGGCTATGCCAAGGGTATGATTGACTTTTTGTCAGACAATTTGTTTGACATTGTAGAATTAGAAGTTTGTGTAGTATTGCTAGATACTCACTATCGTTTTAAGGAGAGTTTGAGTTTCCAAAAACAAATGAAGATTGACAAGATCAATAAGGCCAAACTGGTACGAAAACATCGTACAAGAAGTTCAAGATATTTTCAATAATTTCCAAAAAAGAAATTAATAATAAATTAGTAAGTGCTATATTCAGGAGGTTGAGAATTTTTCTTATTCTTTGGTGAAGACATTTCTCTTCTCAAACCAGTCAGAATTTGAGCAATATCATAATTGCTATTCCATTGAGATCCAAGCAGTGGGAATTCATTGAGAAGAATTTCACCACGCAAACCAACACAACTCATATTAACTTTGCTGACAAAACGAACAGTTGGTGCAATTTCAGGATAGCGATCTCCACAAACAATATTAACAGTGAAAATTCTACCTTCAAATGCAGTCTACAATTCCAATATTATTTTGATTAGCCTACAAATCAATATAATTATTATTATACATACACCTGATGGTCCAATAATAGTTCCGTCCCAATTTGTGAGAGTAATATCATCACCATTTTGAAGCCCGTAACTAACAGTACCATCACCGATACCCTTTTCACCCTTTTCTAATTCTTCCAAAAGACGGAAACTTCTTGGTACTATATTCCGTTATTATTTATCATCACCAAATAGTCATATAAAAATTTTCCAATATCAAATTAATATTGATCCATCAAAATGATCAAAAGTTTTCGGCCGATTAAAAAACAAATTCCTTCATCCATTACTACCATACCTTTGGACATTTTTGTATTTTTTTATTATTTAAAAATTTATTTTTAGAAGTTCAACTCCCAACACAAAAACCTTAAAATTCCTCCTAACTAATTCCATGAAGAGAAACTACATTTCTGGCAGATGAATATTATTGAAATTAACATTATCACACAAATACAAGAAGTTTTTCAGAATGCTGTTGTTTCAATTAAAACAAGTTCATAGCGCAGTTGACAAGAATCTTGTAATGAATTTCAATTTTAAAAAAAAATGGGCAATGATAAGAGTAAGGGCTTTTTGAACTCTGCCAATTCGGCAGACAAGGATGAACTTGATAAAACCATAGAAAAATTGAAGGGTATTGAAGTATCTTCGATGAAATTCTATCCGATCAAGTTGAATGGCAAGGAGAAGAATCAAAACTTGTTATTTCCAAAGGAGGTTATTATGGAGATGGCAATTAATTATTTGGAAATTAGGGATATGCATAAATTGGCAATGACTTGTAAATTATTGTATAATTGGTTATTTTCTGATGCAAATGAATTTTGGAGAAGAGTTGGAGAGAGGGATGGATTTTCTGATAAAAGTGGAGAAGAAATTCAGAAAATCTATGCTAATTTATGGAAGCAATGTTTTGATTTTGAGAATCATCAGTATTTTGAAAATTGCCTTCAATCTAAGATGTATACCTACTCGAATAGCCATTCTTACAATTATGAGAATTTTATGAAATTTTTGGATGGAATTAATAGAGATATTAATCAAATGATTTATGTTTTGAGAAATCCAAAGAGAAATATCATTTTGAGGGCTTATATTGCTGTTTATGGATTGTGGGATCACACAAAGGGAGAAGAGTTGGATGAAAAACTTGAGAAAATCTTCAGAACACTGTGTTTCACTGAAGATGGAACTGAATTAGAGGCAATTATTGATTGGCAAAGTACCAAAGTTTGCAATTTACTCTCTATTACAATGGATATGAACCTTCAAAGGTTAAATAGTGATCAGGTAAAGGAAAGAATTGAAGATTTATTTCTACAAACAGCAGCATTTAGAGTTGACTGTTCTGGATTCACAAAATATTATAGGTTTGCAGAGGGACAATTATCTGAAAGGGCTAACAAACTTCTCTCTAACAGATATCAAACTAGGGAAAGCAATCCAAAATGGTGTGAATATTATGATTTGCTTTTGAGGGTTCTGACAACACCAGAGATACGTAAGACAATCCATAGCATTTATAGCTTAGAATCCATCATGCAGTATTTCCAATCATTTAAAAGGGAGGAATCGATTGATATTATTATAGATCTTTTAAGGAGTAATGAGTTATTTAAGGAAGAACAAACAATTGGATATATAACCTGTAAGAGTTTAGCTTGGGATCATCCGAGAATATTTGAAGAGTTGATGAATGAAAGATACTATTCGAATGAGTGTTCATATATCTATGCAAATCTGATCGGAAGATATATATACACCAATAGTCAGGAGGTTAATGTGGATGTCAGGAAAAGAGCATTGAACCACATTTCATTTATATGTAAGAATAAGAAGCATATTAATGAGATTGCAGATACATTCATCTATTATCTACCATGGAAGAAATTGAAAGAATTTACTAATTTCCAATGGACAGAATTTAAAGAGGAAGCATTGAAAGAGTTAAAGGAATGTACATATTATATGTGGACCTACACGCAAAAAGTTTCATTCCTTCCAATCCTTACAGATTTTTATGCTGAAGAACAAGATAGAACAATCAATCAACTATTGAGCTTAAAGCCCCTTTCAGGTAGAGACACAAGCCACTACATTGTTGAGGAGGCATTCAGAATCTTGAAAAATTATGCTGAGAGAATTCAACTACAAGACTACGATTCATATTTCCCTCGGTTGATTGAGTACCTGAAGGCTTATATTCTAAACCCTGATTGCCACAATAATGATTGTACTATTAAGGAAATAGTTAAAGCTGCTGAATGGATTCAACCAAAGTATTCTATTGAGAAACTGTATGGAACCATGAAAAAGGCATCAGAAACCAGTTCATTTATTCAATACTATGTAAAAGATGGTCTTCCAAGTATTGAATTAATCATGAACAAACAATAACTTTAATATTAGATAATTCCAAAATGATGACCTTAACAAAAAAAATGAAACATTCACTCTCTGACTCGTATTGTGAGGCAAACAAGAAGAATAAATCTGTTCCTTCGTTGGACAAGTGTAAAGGATTTGATTCAACGATGACTAGAGATTTATTGAAAGAATTTGTTCATTCATCTCTTTAGATGCTGGCTCTTCTTTAACAAGCGTTGAGATTGATTATGGTCCATCCAAGCAAGAAACTGATTGGTCTTGATGAACATTTCACCTTAACAAAATTTTGACAATATCTTCTTTATAGTGGAATTCGTGTAATGTTCCAAATCAGAAAGAACAATTATAATTCAAAACTGGCATCCATTGGATGAGTATGTCATTACTATTGTGATTGGCATGACTAAGTCCAAATGGTGTGAACTACTGTGTTCTTGGAATTTTCTATTAAGGAGAGTTCTTAAATTGAGTCTGCGAGTAAATTCTTCAATTGAGGGAAATCACCAAATCTATTCTTGATTCCAGTGAGGGTTTGACATTAATTTTGGACAATTGTGTAAATAAACTAATCTCTTTGGCACGTAGTTGAAGTTTAAGTATTGGGAAATATTTCAATGATTCATTGAATTTTGCCATCTTGTTTTCAATACTATAATACTATAATACTATGAATCTCTTCCAAGTCATGAACAAGCAATAAATTCATCCTTTTTCAAATTGACAAGAATCCAATCTTATCTTGCTTTTGGCTACTCAGTGAAATTGAAGTTACCTTCCTTGTGCTATCCCGATTTCTAACCACAAAATTAAATTTTAATTAATTAATTGCAAATTCAATGTTCCGAAACATGATGACCATGCTATCAATCGGAGATGACTTCATAAAATTCTAAGAATGGCTCCTTTCAATAAAGATCGCAAATAATTAAATTAATATTTAAAAAATTCAAGATGAGATTCACTGGCTTGTATCGTACCACCAATTATTTGCGCAATAATGCTCTCGGCAAGGTTGCCTCTCCTTCTTCAACAAGTTCTACTACATCAACAACAACATCAACTGTTAAAACCGCTGCTAAGAAATCAGATGGTGTGATTAGAGGAAGTGCCGTTGCTGTTATTGGTGGTGCTGCTATTTTTGGTTCAGCATACTATTAGTATGTTTTGTGAATATTATTTAGAGAATTTTAATCATCATAATATTTAATAATTACTTATTATTTAATAATTATATTGTTATCATTTAAATTTTCGGATTTTATTTGGATAATAATTATCGGATTTATAGTTTGAGAGATCTTATGGAAAGTGAAACAAATCAATTAATTGAAAAGACTAAAAGTATTGAATCATTAAAGACTAAACGTCAACTTTTGGAAGAAGAAAAGAGAGAAATAGAAAAGGAACACGAAAAATTATTAAAGAAGAGAGAATTGGCCAATCAATTGCCAGAAGAAAAGGATCAAGCCTCCCACAAACTTCTCCTCCTTAAATTCTATCGTAATTGGAATTCGATCTTTTATGGTGTTAGCTCTGAAATAGATAGTCAAAATCAAAAGAAACAACAAGAACGTATGAGTGTTATGAGAAGCAGAGTTGAGGAAGAAGTGCAATCCAAATTTAGTTTGAAGGATGGTCAATATAAGATTAAGACTATTCAAGAAGAGTAAATCTTGCCAATTTTAAAAACCTTGTAACAAAATGGATTTAATATAATGATATTATTTAAATATTATGACTTTTTTCAATATGTCTCTTTATCTCTTAATTAGTGATATCTTTTGGCGCCCAAACAAATTTCAAACCGTAAAAAATGTCTGAAAGTGAGACCATTGATATAAACGAGATTAGGAGGAAGAGGAAGGATCTCATCAAGGGCCTTCCAAAGCCATCATTTATACGATTAAAAGTAATTAGTATGGGAGAGTCGGAAGTTGGAAAAAGTTGTTTAATTAAAAGATATTGCGAGGAAAGAGTATGTTTGTGTGTTCATCTTCATTGAAACAATATTGATGAAATTAAATAGTTTGTACCTAAATATACAGGAACGATTGGGGTAGATTTCGGAGTCAAAAGAGTAATGATAGATGGAAGAGAGGTACGAGTAAACTTTTGGGATTTGAGTGGACAGCCCGAGTTCTTTGAAGTTAGGAATGAATTTTATAAGGATACACAAGGAGTAAGTCAATATAATATTATTTTCGAATGTATTGACAATGATCATCATCACGGAATTGAGTAGGCAGTTTTAGTTTATGATGTTTGTTCGAGAGCTAGTTTTGAGGCCCTTGATACGTGGCTGGCAGAATCATCAAAATATGGAGCTAAGGGTCTTTTCATTGCTGTTTGTGGTAATAAATCAGACGATAAGAATAGAGCAGTAAGCGAGAAGGATGGAAGGGATTGGGCAGAAAAGAATGGACTGGTGTAAGTTTTCTTCAAACTATTTTGAATTAATGAACTGTTTAGATTTTTCGAAACGAGTGCACAGAATGGAACAAATGTTCAATTAATGTTTGATACATTATTCAGGGATATCATCACTCAAATGTATTCTTAAATCTTGAGTGTTAGGTTGGTAGTTGTGTTCGATCCTCCTATTTGAACATGAAAGTTCAATTTGTAAATATTTAACCACACATCACCAATAAAATTCCGTTGTAAAAGTACAAATATATATTCAAATATGGTCATGGTCAATTGTTAAATGTGTAATGAGAACAATATACTATACAACAGAAATTGGTTATTCATCTCTCTCGGCGTATTATTAAGGCTCTTCGTTCACTTTATGGTGGTTCTCTCTTTAGAGGTGGTAACTGCTAGTACTGACCTATCAAAGAGGTGGTAGCATGACATTAGAAATAGTGGCCAATCAAATGATCAAGTTGGTTGGTTTTGACCATCTTATTGTCGTCGTTCCCTTCTTCTCACCAAGAGGAATATTGGACAAGAAGAAGTGGCCACTCCTCCTCTCTACAATTATCCAAACTCAAAAGAAAGACTTCAACTGATTGAGTCTATCTTCCGATTGAACCTTTTAATTATCCATACTACAAACAGAACGACAGCAAATGACTCAATTCAAAGAAGAGAAAGAAATGTTGAATCATCATCAACATGAAGAAGAGGAGCAACTAGTTGAGAATCAAAACCCTTCGATACCAACAGCAAATAATTCAATTGAAGAAGAAGAACAAGAAACTCATCAAGCTAACACTGAACAAGATTCAAAACAACACAATCATCTGCACCCCAATGATTCATATCCTCAACAACATCACGAACAACATCAGCACAACAACCAACATCATCATCAAGTTTATTACAATACAGCTTCCTCACTCTCGACAATATCTGAGAATAATAGCGAGGAAATTGATCATCCCTACTATGAACAGAATAATGTGGCAACTGATTTGAATCAAGTTTTGGATTGTTTTAATGAGAATGTTTTGCCAACACTGATTATAACTGAGAGACACATTCACGATGATTTGAAACATAGAGCCTCACTCGAAAAACCTGATCATGGTCATCACAAACATCATGGTCGTCAACCTTCCACAGAACAATTAAAAAAGGAAATTGAAGAAATGGGATCTTCAAATAAGGAAAATCAACAAGAATTGAAATTGTCCAATAGGAGAAGATATGTAAATTTGATACTCTTCCTATTTGGTACCATGTTTTTCAAATTTTCATATGAAACTCTGTCAGGAGCAATTGGTTTAACAATTTTAACACGACTCGAAGGTCATCCACTTGGAGCAACTACAATTTTGAGCTTGTTGACCATTACCTTTGGTTTATCTCAATCTGTTTCTTCATCGGCAGTTGAAGGTCTATTGAAGGTTATTCGTGCCACTCGTTTGTACTGCATTTCACTGATATTCTTCTCTGCACTGATTATAACAATGATTGTTTTGGAGGCCACCACTGGAGGTACCCTCACCTCGCCAGGTTATTGGACTCCTTGGATTATTTTCCCAATCTATGTCTTTATTGGATTCAATGTTGGTATTATTGAGGTGGTGAGAAAGATTATTCCTGCCTCAATTCTTGGTAATTCTGAATCTTCAACGTTGAAGAGATTGAATGCTGGAATTCACATTTCCTATGAAATTGCTGGAACTATTGGTGCTTTCCTTTCAAGTGTTTTCATTGAACAATTGGGAACTATCTATGCTCTCTTCCACATGCCGGTTTGCTTCTTTATTGGCTCGTTGTTCTTCTTTTTCATTACATTGAAGGATACTGAGAGAATTTTGGAAGAGGATACCGCTGATGAAGATGACATCTTTAAGGAAAATGTTCCAACAGAGAATCGTGTCCTCAACATTTTGAAAAAGATTGGCAAAGTTATTAAGGATTACTTCTACAGCATGTACATTGGAGCCAAAATTGTGCTCACCAACAGATATTACATTTGGTTGATTCCATGCTTTGTCATTCCACAAGTTCTCCATCGTTTGATTGAGAACATTTTCTTACCTGCCTTCTCCAAGATGATCTTAAAGAAGGGATCCTACTCTGGTATCATGCTCGGGGGTAGTAATTTTGGTGAATTGGTTGGTGCTGGTTTACTATTAATCTTTGCCAAGAAGGTCAAACTTCCAACTATATGGATCATTTTGGATTCTCTCTTTTTGAATTTAATGTGGATTTTCCCATTCCTCACTTTTGATGAGACAACCAATGAAAATTTAATATTTGCCATTTGCATTGTTCCAGCAATGGTTTTGATTTCTGGATCGTGGGCTGCTGGTGATATCAGTCAAATTGCCTACTTGCAATCAACCTTATCAGATGAACCAAACGAACAAACTGGAGTCAATGAGTTGGCTGCAGTGATGAGTTTCTTGTATTCCTGTTATATTGTATTGACTACTTTGGTGGCCTTTGGTCTTTCCCAAGCTGTTGATAGATTTAAGGAAAGTGGACGTCCAGAGTTTGGTTTCATGACCATTTGTATTGTAATGTCTGTAATTTCCTTTGCTATCTGTATCATTTATTTGACTGTGGCCAAATTCAAACCATCAGTTCATGATGATCACTTGGGAGAAGAGCTTGAAATGCAGCAAACTGCTACAACAACAAATAATGTTGAAAGAGAAAGTTCAATTGAGGAACAAACAGTAAATGTTTAAGTGTATGTGCCCCATTTACGTTATTTGTGAAAAGCATTTGGAAAGTCATTAATTTCCAAAATTTCCAAACTTTTGAATAGTAAATGGATCAGATATCAAGCTTGGCACTTGATTTGATTCAGAAAGTGAGTTATTCTTCTTTATCTTTGAAAGTTTCGGATTTTCAATTTCTGAAACTCTATACTGTTATCGTATTTTTGAATATTTCTATTAAGTATTGCTCTGAAGTGCTTTCAGAGTTCAAAAATTGTTTTCTCAAACTCTTTCGAAGCAAGAAAACGGGTAGAAAAGGGCAGATCGCAATCAGCAATTACGTGTTTCACAGTGACGATCAAGAACAACGTAAAATCCCTGGACAAGAACTGTTTGGAAATAACTGGATATGAGTGATGTATTAGTAAACTCGGAAGTGCCTTGGAAAATGTTAATATATTGTGGTTTTGGCAAGGTTGAACCAGTAGCAATGTTAATACGCCTTCTTTAAGAACAATATAACAATTCTTACTTATTGGATCTTCTTCTTTCAAAGTGTAGAAGCTACACAACATCTTGTTTTAATTTATTGTATTTATTCTTTAGATTTTGAATTTTGCTGTTTTCAAAGAATTGTGGAATAGTCTGCTTTGAATTGGACCTCCCAAGAAATCAATATGTGATTGTAAAGTGAATTGTCCAGCTCTATATATGAAATTGGGTGACTTGTTGAGAATAAGATTGCCTGCATCCATCTTTGGATCTGGATAATAATTGAATATTAAATAATTCATATCCTCAGTATTCTCAAAGTGATAGACAAATATTCTTCTTCCCATACTTTTTCTAATTTGTTCACCCGATCTGGCAACATTCCACACTCTTATATCTGTAAATTCACCCTTCATAGTTCCAGAATGAATATCAGAAGCGGCAGCAATCACTAGCTCCATATTATTCTTTTCAAAATCCAAATCTCCATCAGAAATAAATACCTTGTCAAATGCTTCTCCATTCACGTAAAATGTTGCATAATTACTCTTCATATCATACACTCCAGCAACATGTGTCCATTCGTATGATTTGGTGAGATAGCATTGAGTTTGTTTAGATCCAACTCCAAATCTAATATCTAACTTTGGAGAAATATATAATCCAATACCATGTTTCGAATCCTTATTTCTCAATACTAGAACACAATCATTTCCATGCACTGTATTCCATTCATATGGAATATTTATCCATGCCTCAATGGTAATTCCCTCATTTTGAACCAAGACTGAATGAAAATCCTCATTCAAATCTTCAGATAAAATCCCATTCAAATTGCTAAATCTAGAACTAGCTTGAAAAGTGTAAAAATCCGAAGAGAAGAACAAATTTTTCATCTCCAACCAATTATTATTCATAAAGAAAATAACTTGTAAACAATTTAGGGATGAAATTTGATCCAGAGTTGTTTCCTTAGGAATTAACTTTCTTCTGCTTAATTGCTTCCAAACATAGGGCTTGAATTTTTCAATTTCATTCCACATCTCTCTGGTCATACTTTCTCCATCATTCCTTGTCTTTTCACTACTTTTAGCAATGATCTGCAATAACCATTCCGTAAAGGCAGATGAGTTTGGATCTCGAAAATGTGTCTCATAACATGATCGGGAAAACAACGTCATAGATTTGTAATCAGAGATGGGACAATAGCTTAACACGAGACCTAGGACATCCCCCGTTAAGTCGTCTAGCATTTTTTTTGTAATTTTTTTGTAAGTTTTGAGGAATAAGAACTTGTGATTTCTTTATAGGTAGGATTCCTTCTATCGGTTCAAATGTAAACTCTGGGGAAATGTTCGGAAACAAATGCTTGAAATTACTATTCTTAATATTATTAGTAAATATTCGTTATGAATGTGAAGGGGATGTAGCTCACATGGTAGAGCGCTTCTTTAGCATGGAAGAGGTACGGGGATCGATACCCCGCATCTCCACTCAATATTTTTAAATAACTTTAAATTTTTAAAAGCCTACACAAAATTAGGAAGAATAGGTCCCTATATAATATTCTCCACTCAAACCTTAAATATGATACAAAAACACATTTTACTATACTCAATGGCTGATCAAGATAAAATAAATTAGCTAAACAATAACCACAGTTTCTCCTGGAAAGACAGCCTCAATGTCATCGTTTCCATCAAAGGAACTTGTCTTATCTTCCAACACTTCTGCATAATGAGAAAAGGTCCCATGATGAACAACCAATGTTTTTCTCGCTTTCAATTTCTTATGCATTTCAATAATATTCTTTGAATTATTGGTAATTGAACCAATTACTCTAGTTGCAATAGCTCCAATAATTTTCTTCTTATCCATTGATGCTTCTCCTCCATTTGTTACAATAAAATCCAATGGATTTTCACTCAATTCCTTGTAATCATCTGAAATATTGTCCTCATTATAAATTGAATCACCAGTTGCATAAAATCTTGAATGATGATTGCCATTTGAGGATATTGATACCAAATAACCATTTCCATTTCCAACCATTGCTCCAATTTTTCTGCAACTTCCATGGAAAGCATTTACTGATCTCAATGTAATATCAAATCCATTAATTTCCAATTTTAAATCTTGAGCAGGTGACATCCAATGAACATTTCTATTTCCAAATGTCAAATCCTTTTGTTTCAGAACTTTTTTCATTAATCCCTCAACACTTGGATGAGCAATCACAATACTATCCTTCTTTCCATTCAAAATTCGTTCCAATCCAAATGAGTCCAAGTGATCTTCATGTCCATGAGTTAACAGCCACAAATCAACATCCAATAAATCAGCATCACCTTCCAGTGCAGGTTCTTGCATTCTAGTCGATTTAAAAAGTCCATAATTCTGCACATGTCCTTTTGGACACAACACTGGATCACACGCGATGATCAAGTCTTGTTTTCCTGTTGTTATTATCTTATATACAAATGTTGCTCCTCCAATGGATCGGAGAGTTGAAGTGCCCTCTGTTGCTGCTGTATTCTCAACGAGTATTTCAGCTTGTTGCATATTCTAGATTTGTATTTATTTTTTTTGTTGTTGAGAGTTTGTTTTTTTGTTGTGAATACAATTTGAGTTAAAGCAACCCAGTTCATATATGCGTTTAAATTATTAATATAATATCCTTTTAAGCGAAATAGATATGAAATTGTACCATCTCGGAGATGTATATGTTTAAGGTTATCATTTCAACTGCCACTGTTTAAATTGATTATTTTCTATTTTCTTTTGAAAAATTGTTAATACGCTATGAATTGGCCTCCACGTCGCTTCTTATTGTAAAAATTCATAATTTGTCCGCTCAGTTACAGTCCAAAAGTAATCAACGGTTGTAGGACCGTTTTACTATTGGTCATTAATTAATTGTTGATGAGCTAATATCGCAAACCAATCTATGAGTTTGAGATGATGGAATTGAAAAGAAAGTAACACTCAATGGCAGTTCAGTATATGAATTTCCTTGCTTTTTTGGAGAATTTAAAATTGCCACTTTTGGAGAATAATCTGTTTCAATAAATGGTAATCCAAATATTTCTAATTCGATTTTGGAGGATAATTTGAATACTGGTAACCCTGATTCAATGTGATATAATGAATCATGAGTCATTATAAAGCTTAATCGAACACCTTCCATCTCTCTAGATTGTATTTGAGAAAATTCTAATGGTCTTGGAGTAGAGATTGTAAACTGTGCAAGACTTTGTCTGTTGAATCTGGGCATTTGAGGAGTGAATGTAATTGCATCCGAATTATTGTTGTTATATGATAACTGATGATATGTTTGTCTAATAGAATTTACACTATATTTTACACATAGGAGTTGCAGATGTTCAGCTCGAGCACAATCATTGTCTGTGAATGGAACATGATTTGTTTCAATTTGTTGTTTGATTTGATGTAAATAGGTCACAAAGGACTTGGTATCCATTGATTTATCTGTTTGTTCCTCGTTAGTGTATTTCCGTTTAACACCTGTAGTATATGGTAGTTTTACACATTCTTTCTTGAAATATTGAAATTTGAGTGATGAATATTTCATAATATACTCCATTACTGTTGTTCTTTTCGAATACACTCGTTGTTCACCAAAAAATCCTTCTAAAGATCTTGTGCCAAACACTTGAAGTTGTGGCTGGGTATTTGGTGGTATTAAGGGAATTAATTTTGAAATTGTTTCCAAGTTATGCTTAATCGTTGCCTTGGAAAACGTTCCAAAAATAGTAAAATTATTATTCTTGTTGGTGCTATTTACATCACTAAAGATATCATCCCACCAATCAAGAAACTCTAATGATTGAGAAAGAATTAATAACTTGAGTGAGAGAATTTTTTGATTTCTTTGTGACTTTGTGAATGTCATCGTACGTGAAAAATCATGAATAAGTTTCAAGTAAGAATATAGACCCAAATATTTGTTGTTAGTTTGTTGATTCAATTTTGCCAATTCATTAATTAACAAGGGAGAACACACTTGCCGCAATACATCTTCAGATTGATCATCATAATTAATAAAAGCAGACCTTCTAATAATTTTGCACCAATATGATGGATTTGTTTGGTAAATTTCATCTAATGTCTTCAGCTCAAATTTTTGTAAGAGTGATTCTTCAATTGAAATGAAAAACACATTCTCAATACTTCTATTGTTAATTGTTAAATTTGGAATACTTGTTTGGTTGGGGTTGGAGCAGAGAAAAGTTAATGATAAATTATGCAAGGAATCATCAATAGTGTAAAAAAAAGATGAGCTTGCACCATTAACAGTAGTGGATTTCTTATTGGCCCAAGAAACAACTATTTCATCATCTCCAAGATTGAATGCAAGATTAATTATAGCATCACTATATTTGTGAAATGAAAGTTTAAGTAGATGACTGTCCTCCAGTTGTTGATGATAATGGAAGAGTGGAACGACCTGGTATTTCTTCCATTATATATCTCCTTTGATACTGATGGAAAGAGTTTTGGCTTTGTTTCAATAGCATTCCTCAAATTTTTACATAAATGAGAATAGCAAAAATGGTGAGGATATTCTGATGTTTGCCAATTAGCACCTCCTGCATCAGAAACAGTGCATGTTATTTGATTAGTATACACATCCTTGAATTTTGTAATAACATGTTGAAGATCTTCACTTGTTTCAGACTTGCAAAACTTGAAATTGCCTGGAATTCTCAATTTTCCTTCAATATAGAGTGTTTGGATAACCTTTTCGGCCAGAAAATTATTTTGAATAATATTATCATTAATTGTATGTGATTGTGTTATTGGAATAGGACCTTGAATAGCTCCAATTAATAATCCAGATTTACGATTAATACTTAAACTAGAGAAAAGATCCATTCCATCCACTTGCAAAATACCTAATGTAGTATTATCTATTCCAATGATTTCACGTAGATGTGAGAAATCAGCTGCATCTAAAGAAGTATCACCATAGCCAACATTTGGGTGATGAAAATGATTATCAAGCGTAGAAGAACATGGAAGTATTAAATTACAATAGTATGCAGATGTGTCAAATTTTTCTGAATTTCCAGTCATATATCCTCTTCCGATAGCTTCATAAAGATTATAACCCATAGCTGCTAGCAAATCTTGACCATGATACACAAAATTATGAATATTGGGTCATGTTCAACAAGTACATGTTGTTGCACTACTCTGAAGGTCAAAGTTCTTGACAATAATAATCTAGATTATGTTAATTATCCATGTGGTTGGTATACATGCCTGGGCGAAACCAGGAAATATTGGATTCATCCACAAGGTATTCCTTTGGAAGGGTCGGAAAGTACTTTTTATTTGACCAGCACAATGAATTATTGGAACGTGTTGAAATGAATGACAATACGTACATTATTTTCAAGTATTTGCACTTGTTTTTTCCAAACTACATTCAATACGACCAACGTTATCATCATCAAATCATGCAATCACCAAATCACAACACCATCACAATCATCACAACGGTGCCATCAAATAGCTTAAAAAAAAATCATCAAAAATATGAAACATACCTTCCTTCGTAAAATCAATAGATTGCAGTTATTTACTGCATCACCCAAAATCAACAGATCAATATTAAAAATTAATAATTTAACTAATGATATTAACAAGTTTACAATTAATAGAGTGAATCAAACTAAAAACTATTCAAATACATTAAAACCAACAACAAATAATGTTGAAAATATTAAATTTAAAAATATTGGTGACCGAAATTTGTTGGTGCCATATTTTCCATATGGTGAATCAGATTTTGCTTCCATCAGAAGAAGTAAACAATTTTATGTTGATAAAACTAATTTAATTCCTCTATTAGAAGAAAGTGGAAAACAATTATTTTTTGTTCGTCCTCCGAGATGGGGAAAATCACTATTATTATCAATGCTTTCATCATATTATGATGTTAACAAGAAAGATGAATTTGATGAATTATTTTCTGGTTTATGGATTGGTGATGAAAATAATTGGACACCTGGAAAGAATCAATATTATGTTTTAAAGTTAGATTTTTCTATTCAAGTTGATGGTACTGCTGATGATATTAATCAACGACTTCACACAAAAATCAATACAACCATTGAAGGATTTTTGGAATGTTATGGTATGGGTGGTGAGGTTAGCATTAATCAAAATGATTCATTTGATACTTATCAAAAACTTATCCAACTTTTAGTCAAGAGAAAAGGCAAATTAATGGTATTAATTGATGAATATGATAGATTTGCAAACAAATTAATGTTTGAAAATCCTGAAAAATATCAATTAATAGTTGAAGGAAAGAGAGGAGATCCAACATCTTCACCAATTCGTTCTTTCTTTGAAAGATTGAAAGAGTCTTCCGCTACTGGTTTACAAGATTTTCGTAGTATCATCACTGGTATCACTCCTATTGCTCTTGCTGATGCATCTGGATATAATGTTTCCAGTAATATTTCCTCTGATAAGATATTTGGTGGTTTGGTTGGTTTTACAGAAAATGATTTGAGAATGGCATTAAATAACATTGATATTATTGGAAATGATCAAGATATTACCATTTCAACCATGAAAAAGTATTATAAAGGTTATCATTTTCCTGGTTCAAAACATGCTCTATTCAACACAACTCTTTCAATGTTCTTTTTGAACAAACTTGTAAAAGATGAACCTTTCAGAAATGCTGTTCTACAAAAACAAGAAATTCCATTATCAATATTAACAGATACCAACACAATGATCAGTGAGAACGTTTTTGCAACTTTGGCATCATCAGTTGTATCGAATGATATTATTCAACAATTACTTTCAAAAGATTATGTAGAAGTAACAGAGTCAATTTATCCTTCACTGAAATTAAGAGAGATTATTGATCCACCATCCAATGAAGAAGATATACAAAAGATTCGTGATAATGCTTTATCATTCATGTATTATCATGGTATGATTACTTTCACAGAATCATCCTCAAAACAAATGAATCCAAAACAATTGTTAATTCCAAATGAAATTGCAAAGGTTCAATATTTGGAACAGTTACGTAGACTTATATCTTTACGTGAAAGTGATATATCAACTTTTATTAATGAACCAACTCAAGATAATTTGAAAAAATTACTTTGGAGTATTTTAAGCAAGCAAGAAACAGTGTTTGACAATGATATGTCTGAAGGAGGTTTACAATCTTGTATTGAATCTGCATTGAGATCATATTCTTTATATAGAAGCAAAGATTTTACTCTTAGAGCAGAAAAGGAATATACAAATTATCATATCAATGGAAAAGAATATACTGAATTAAGAGCTGACCTTGTTATTTCAACCGACAATGACATATTTATCATTGAATTGAAACATTTGAGACCAATGTATTTATCACAATATTCTACTATTAGAATTTGGAAACCTTATATGTTTAAGGAAAAATTTAAAGAATTATTACAAGCTGATGAAAGCCAGTTATTGAATATGCTAGTTTTTCAAAAATGGGCAAACAAATATGTTAAAGTTGAAAGTATCTTAAATGAGGCAAGTTCTAAGGTTAAACAATATGCCAAAAAAGAACAAGAATTACTTGGCAATAATGATAAAACTATCCACAAGTTCGTTGTCATTCAAGTTGGTTGGCCTCTTATTGTGAGGAAAGTAAATTAAACATTTCATAAAATAAAATGTTAAGAATGGAACTGGGTTTGATGAGAAGTTTTTTGTTGATCATTTGTAAAATATTAAAAGGAATACATCAAACGTGCTGATCTTGTGATAAGAACTTCTAAAAAAGTATTAATAATTGAATTCAAACGTATTAGACCAAATTCTTTAACAAAATATTCCAATATTGAATATTGGAATCCGCAAATTTTTAAAAATATATTTAAAGATTTATCTAAACAAACTGATGAAGAATTATTAGAAATGGAAGTACTTACTCATGCCAAAGAGAAAGTTGTAGCCAGATCAATTTTGAATTCTGCAATTTCTCAAGTCAAACAATATGCTCAATATGAAAATGATGCTGACAAATCAAAAAGCATTCATAAGTATGCAGTGATACAAGTTGGTTGGCCCTTAATTGTAAGAAAATTGAATTAAAATGTTTGCTGCAACTAAAAGAACTTTCTACAGTTGCTCTCTTTATCACTAAATAAAAAGTTGAATGATGTATAGACAACTTTCGTGTAAAAACTTGTTCTCCAGACATGCTCATCTCCTAAATGAAAAGATAAAAATCTTTGAACAAAGTGCGCCAGGTTTCGAGATGAAAAAGTTGTCAATATTTCACTATTCTGTTATCTCTAATGATGGCAGGTTTTGGGATAACAATTTCAAGGATTAGGAAATTGAGTGTTTGCATAGAATCACAATACATCAACAAGCAATACATGAACCAACGCTTAATATTATAAGGTAATATAGAATGATGTTCACGTATACAAGTCAAACACATCCCTCAGCAACTGTCAAATGTCATGCTTTGGGACTCGCAATATTAATGTGTAGTTTTTGGCGAGGATCATCTCTTGATGGAATAACAAATAAGAGATTATCTCAAGATAAAATATATTATTTGGATTCTCAAATCTAAGTGTCTGTATTTATTTTTTATTTTATATTGAATGTTGGTAAAATCTCCCGAAAACCCAAGTATTGACATCCATTGACTGCTTAGTTTTCAGCCAAAACTTGCTTTGGTTTCAAGCCGATAAAATCCCACTAAAAGTACTAGGGCAAAATAATTTAATTCCGATCACATTCAAATTCCGATCATTGGTGTAGAAATAAATTGTTGATTTATTTGAAATGTCATTGGGAAGTCATGGCTCTTTCTCTCCACAATCAATACATAAGATGTTGGTAATCTCTTTTCCATTGATTGTTTCTGTTGATGGCATTGTACATGTTTTGGAATGGCATAATTTTTTACAAGTAGAGCATGTCATTATCGTCTTTAAATTTACATCCATAGTAGCAGCATATATTTTGTGATGATGATGCACTTGGAGAGGAGGTTGGATTTCTATCCATAGTATATCCACTAACAATATTATGATGGGTTAGAATTTTCATATGCTTCATGTAATATCTTTGTAAAGTCTTTTTTGGATTATTTTCACTCCTTTAATTCATCCTCTTCCTCTTTAGTAAAGTAGGTCTTTCTACCAGCATGTGAATTAATTGATGATCTTCCATTTACTAGATCATTAAAAGTTGTATATGGAATGTCGAATTTTTTGGCTACGCTTCTGATGGAGGCACCATTTGTGGTATTTTAATATTCTAATGCTTTATCTCTCTTCTCCTCCTCCTCCTGTTGCTGTTGTTCATGTTCCTGCTTTTTTGTTAATTTCTTCTTAATCATGATGATGAAGGTGATCGGAATTATATTTTTTTCATATTAAAAATGGTTGTAAACTTTGGTAATTTTGTTGTACATAAAAACTTTGAAAGTTTACTATTAAAATTGTTCAAGATGATCGAAAATCGAGGTGATCGGAATTGAAATATTTTGCCCTAATGATACATTTTAAATTGTGCAATTTGGAATTTGCTTTGGGTATAGTGTTGAACACATTTTCAAGTTGACTATTGTAAAGTTTAAATGTTTCGTCTACAGTTTAATTAACGTTGAAAAGAGTTCGTGTGAGTACTTCTGTAAGGCTTGCGTAATGTAAAAAGGGAGATGTTGGAACGAGGTATCAAGTTCCTTTGAATTAAACTGAACTAAACGAAACATTACAATAATACTATTAAACAATATGTTGAACAACTACAGTTATTGATTGTTTCAAAAAGTGATCACTCAAAATTGACTGGTACTATACTGTTAGAGATCATTCTCCAGAATGGCAATACCTCATTGTTTGTGGTGGCAGTTGACATGAGAACCTCGCATTCCCTTCGCCAATCATTAGAAAAAAAACACACACATCCCAACGAGCTAGCACACATAAATAGACGCTGCAACTAGTTCACTGACCATCCATCATCAGAATCGCAGCAAATATATTCCACATCATCATTTCGTACATAAAATTAAAGTACTTGCCTCGATATAAAGTATTTCTTCATCTCACAACAATTTATACCTTCGAGAGGAATAACATCAACAACAACAAACTGACATATTATCATATTATATATTGACATGATTTTTAAGAGACTTTTTGCATCACCGATTGTATCAGCATCTGCGGAGGATGATATAAGTACACTTTCATCATCAACTCATCGACTCAATCGAAAGGTACTGAAAATAATGATATTAGGAGATGGTGAAAGTGGAAAAACAAGTATTGCTAAACAACAAATAGAAACATCAGGATTTACATTTAAACAGCCAAAGAGTGACCAAGAAGTATTGGAAGGTCAAAATTGTTTTGTTATTGTGGATGGAAAGGATGTGACTGTTAAATTATTGGATTCACCACCAGGAAATGATATTGGTTTAACCATTGAATGTGTTAAAGATTGTGATGGATTTATATTGGTGGTTGATTTGAGTCGTCCAAAAACGCTACAAGTTTTGAATCGATACAAGGCACTAATGTTAGAAAATTTATCCATGTCAACAATTCCTTGTGTGATTGCTGCTAATAAGTGTGATTTGGAAAGACAATTATCCATGTCACAGGTTAATGCATTTGCCAAGAACTTTTTCATTGATAGAAGTATTGCTAGTTTTGAATGTAGTGCATTGTCTGGTAGTGGTATCAATGACATGTTTTCATTCCTTTATAATCTTATCAAGACTTCTCAGAAGGAAGATAAACCAATCATCAAGGCAAAACAAAAACGTGGACTTCTTTCCTCTTCCTCAGAATCAAATGCTGATGAATGGTTTTAATAAGGTTAATTATTGACCTTTTTGTTTTATTTAATAATTATATGAGTGAGAGAGATTTGAGAGCATTTTTGACTGTACAATAGAGGAATGTTGGATTACTTATAAGTTATTGGAAACAACCAATAATCCTGAAAATTTGTCATTAAAATAATCCTTCTTCTTGTATGAAAGCATCAATTCTTTGAAATCTATAAAGTTTGTAAATGAAAGAAGCATTTCGAAAACATCTCCTGACATATCACCTTCCTCAAAATCTTCCCAATCATCGTCATTGCTATCATCTTCAATATCGTTATTCTTCTGTCTGTCCTTCTCTACCTTTTCCAGCACTTTTAAAAAACGATCCATTTCAAAATTATCAATCTTTTCTGATAAAGATTGCTCCAGGTATTTTTCGATCATACCTTGATACTCGGTAAATATTGATGTGTATACAAGCTTGTTTTCTTCTCCTTCATCGAATTGATTACAGTACTTTTCAGCAAAAGAATCTATCATTTTGGAAAATTGATTCTCTATATTATTAAGAAATAATCAAGCGATATGTTGGATTGGTTGTTATTGTATGAACCAAAGAGGATATTTCATCATCATACAAAATATTGTTCGGCATTTTCTTCAGTAAAAAGAATCTCAAAATACCTACCCATCAACGTTTCCTCGAGAGCCCCTATTATTGAATCAAAATATGCTTGTTCTTCATCTTGTGGTGATGAGGCTAAAAATTCGTCGTCTTCTTGGACGCTTTGGTCGTATTCCTTAGATTTTGTCATTTTTTTTAAACTTGTTTTTGTACAAAATTTGGCGGCAAGACTTCATACACTGTTCCACAAAAGGAATTATTCTAAAATTCACTTCTGTCTTCATTTCTAGAATAATAGAGCAATAAACTGGAAGAAGGATTTTATCAAAGAAGGATATTTAAAATCTTTTAGAAGAAAAATGTCCAACTCGAAATACACTTCCTATATCAATGATAGAGGTGAATTGGTTGAGAAAATCGTAACCACAGAAAACTATGTTGCTACCCGATTGAATGAAAAAGACGATCCAAATACAGCCTCAAGGGTTCTATCTAAGGAAGAGTGGTTTGATAAGAGTAGAAAGGAGGCACCTTTGGGCGTTTCATCTGGCCATGTTGAACAGAAGGCAAAGGATGAAAATGGAGAGCTCATTCTGAATCCTTTTGAATCGTCAAGTAAACGAGATGAGAACCAGTAAACTTATTCTTTGATGATACAATGAGTAGTTGTTTTTATATCAATGTAAGTTGAGGTGGCCGAGTGGTTAAGGCGCCAGCCTGCTAAGTTGGTGGAGTAATCCGCGTGGGTTCGAATCCCATCCTCAACGTTTTGCTTGATTAATTTTTTAATCTTTCTTTATATTCCAGATAATCACCAATTGAGTGATTCTTTCAGTATTTTTTACCAACCATGACTAGTATAACACAATCTTTTAAAACTGGAAAAAATCTTTCTTAGCAATTGGACCATTGTTAGAATCCAAAATTCAGAATGGATTGAAATAAAAGTTGTAGTATCAATTTTGTTTCTATCTACAATGGAATTGATGTCAACAGGTGCATCATTGTATTGATTTATTCGAACATGGAACCTTAGATTATTCTCTCCAAGCATGGTTGTATTGCCAAATACTATAATAACATTACAAGCACGCTCAATTTGTCGGAGATGGATTTTTGAAACCTTATTGAAAGTGCAACCGCTTTAAAACTGCCATTGTGTAAGAGTCGCAATTGACAAAAACTGCGCGAGACATTTTTTCGAAAGCCGATCACAACACCATCAAAACCCGCCTGAATATTTGCGTCCTCAATTTTGACTCACGCTTGATAGAATCAGCAATCAACAAGAACAAAAAAATGTCTGAAAGAAAGGGTCACACTAGAATGTACGTTAATAGATTCTTTTTCATTATCTAATTCATTGAATGACCATTGTTATGTGCATTATTAAACTGCACTGCCATTATTATTATACCAATAATAACAGGCACAGCGCCACATCATTCATTGATGTTACCAAGGGATATAACCCAAGAACATCACTGACGCAAGAACAAAATGAAATTTTAAACGATTTTATCAAGAAAATCGATTATGATAGTTTAACCGATAGAGAACGTAAATATCTTGATGAACCATCACTTTTACGTTTCCTCAGAGCAAGAGACTATGATTTAAACAAGGCAGAAAAGTTAATGAACAGCTGTCTTGAATGGAGAAGAACATTTAAACCAGATGAAATTACTGCCAAAGAATTGGAAGATGAATCATCATCAGGAAAACTCTTCCAAAGAGGATTTGATAAGAATAATAGACCAATTATATACATGTTCCCTGCTAGAGAAAATTCTACTGACTATGAAAAGAATATTAAATTATTGGTATATACTATGGAAAGAGCAGTTGATGCAATGCCAGAAGGTGTTGAACAAATGACTTGGATCATTGACTTTAACGGCTATACTACAAGAAACGCTCCACCATTTTCTGTTGCCAAACAAACTTTAAGCATTTTGAACGAATGTTACCCAGAAAGACTTGGTGCTTGTTTTATGGTTGATACACCTTTCATCTTTAATATTTTCTGGAGAGCAATTTCTCCATTCATTAATCCAGTTACAAAGAATAAGATTCACTTTGTGAATGGTAAGGAAAGCGAAAAGGCCAAGATTTTTGGAAAACACATTGATCTTGCACAAATTGATACAACTTGGGGTGGTACTTCAACATTTGTCTTTGAACATTCAGACTTTTGGGGTAACGTCATGGAACTTGATAAGCACAGACTCAAGAGATTGGGCATTACTCAAGATGCTCCTGTTGTAGAAGAGAAAAAGTTTGAAAATACTAACAATACCGAAGGTGCTAAGGCAATTACCAATTAATGTTTGCGAATTGACCAATTTTGTCCCTTAATCTTCCTCCCCTAATGTAAATAACCTCACTCTCACTGCAGTGATTATTGCCTCTTTCCTCCACTATCATTTTCCCTCCCACAACAAATACAATTCCATCCAATAAAAAATGGAATTACTTCAAGACTTGCAAAAACATTTTCAATCTTTGGTGTTTACCATCAATATGCAATACGGTAACATGATCAGTATGAATGAATTCTTTGATGATTGTAAATCTTTTGCTTCTCTCTTTTCTGATTGTCTAGACTTGTTTGACTGTATCGGAGAAAGAATGATCACTTTAGAGAAGGAGAACTCAACGTACAGGGTAAGTTATTTGAATCAAGCCTTTGAAAATTTAAATCAAAAAGCAAATCATTTTACAAATGAAACATCTGTACACAGAGGAAGTAACTAGATTGAGGAGTGATTTACAAGAAATCAAACAACAGGCAATTCTCTTTCCAAATCTCCATATGGATGAAAGTTTACACTTGTTTCATGTATGGGATTTCACCACAAAGACCTTTGAACATACATCAAGAACTCTCCTTAACAATGTAAGTATTATACCAATGCAACTCGTTTACAATACCATTATTTCTTTCAATGTTGAAATCTACTCTTCATAATATTCGGTAGTCTTGGAAGGCAAATGTAGATTTGACAAACAAGATCAAGCTTTATGAAAAGGACATTGGAAGGTTGAAGAAGGAATTATCGGAAAGCTCAAACACAAGGAATGATGAAAGGGAAACAATAGAGAGGGAACTAGGAAAGAAATGTAAAGATAATGAGGAAAAGATCACTCAACTCAGGCTGGAGCTTGCTGTCCTTGAGAATGAAAATCAGACACTCCAAAAATCATCCAAAGCATCCGAACAAGAACTTCAATCCAAAGTGAAGAACCTTCTCCAAATCAACTCATTGAATTCCTTAAACATTAACTCCCTCAAACAACAAATAGAAAACACACTTGACTATAGTTGTGTAGAGAGTACATCGAAAGCTTCGAAAGAGGCAATCCTTTTGCAGGAAATGATAAAATCTGCAAATGAATTTAGGGAGGAATTTTCTCGCCTCCTTGAAGAGTCTAAGGAAAACACAATGACGTTGGAGAAAAGAGTAGAGCATCTCACCAGAGAAAATGTAGACCTTCAAGGGTCAGTTAAAAACACATTGAGGTTATACTCGTTACTAGTGAGAGCAAGTAAGGGCTTTTCTTTTGATAACGTAAAAACTAATGCCCTTGAGTGATGTAATATCATTACACCAACGATACTAAGAATCCAAAATTTAAACGTTGGATTTTGGACTTAGTTACATGTTTGGAACTGTTTTGGAGATAATTACGGTGCAATTTTTGTAATTTTTAAGATGAGGATTTATTAAACATTGGAAGAACTTCTTTTACAAAGAGAAAATATTTTTCTGGCTTGAGTAGAGAAGAAGTTGTGAGTGGCAATGACAGCAAGGTTATAGAAACTAGATGGTTTGACACAAACAAGGGACATAAAAGAGATTATTCTGAAAACAAAACCAAAAACTACCATCATATAAATACTCATGTAGAATTCATCCCACTCATAGCCCATAATCTTCAAACTCTTAGAAAGGTCATAAATATTCTCGTATCTCTTCAATTCAATAAGATAAGCATTTTCGTGACTGTAAGTCAAGTAGGAAAGATAAGGTAAAATATTGATAGGGAAATACATAGATTTGAAGGTTGGTAGAGGTGTTGTAGCACCACTGAAAGTATTGAAAATGAAAACAATAACTACAGCAGTCAATTGAGAAATGTTTGGTTGAATAATAATACTAATAAAATAGCCCAAACCATATGAAGTCCAATATACCAACAATAAAACATAATAGTATTCGTATACGGGCGCTCTAGGAGCAACTGTTGTGTAGTAAATTCCAAGGAAAACCATAGGAGCAAAAATGTTTACAATGAACATTGAAATGTCCTTAGCCCAGAAATAGCAGAAAGTGCTGAGACCAGTTTGACTTTCTCTATAGAAAACAAGATATTCATTACCAAAAACTCTGAGTGCTGACATGGCACCCATAAGAGCCATAGCCAATGTCATCAATGAGGATGTTGCATAGATTGGATCTTCAAGAGGTTGAGCACAAATTTCTTCTAAACCATTAGGACACATTTCATAGACAGATTTTGGTGGAGGACCAATGTAAACCTTATTATAATAAATTAAACCAAGGAAGGCACCGCACAAGAATACTAACGCATAATCGAGTACCAAGCTAGGTAATGTTCTCAATAATTGTGTACAACTTCTCTTGAAACACATCCAGAATTGAGAAAAGTACGGAATTCTTGGATTCTTGAATTTGTTAACTCTGGCAGGTGGAGCATTAGTCTTACAGCATGATTTGACTTCAGTTGCTTGGATAGTTCCTTCAAAGGAGGTTGGTGATTCATTCTCGATTGGTGGCAAATGTTGAGCAATACCAGTTTGATCATCCGCATACTTGACCTTCAATCTATCCCAAATGGCAGGTAAATCAGTAGGATGGAATTCTTCACCATCATCTCTTTCCATAAGACCAGCAGATACGTCAATAACAAAGTCAGCCAAGTTAGTGCCAAGAGGTTTAGTAAAACCAATTTCCTTAAAGTATTCTTCGACTCTATGAACTGACCCCAAGTAAATGGTTCTACCACCCTTACCTAAGAGGAGTAAATTGTCGAACATGTTGAAAATTTCATATCTAGGCTGGTGAATAACTGTAATAACAGTGATACCACAACTAGAAATTGCTTGAAGAGCTTCACAAACTTCCTTAGAGCTGGCAGAATCCAAACCTGATGTAGGCTCATCCAAGAACAAAACATATGGAGATGAAACAAGTTCAATACCAACATTAACACGTTTCTTTTGACCTCCAGAAATACCTCTCTTTTCTTGATCTCCAATAATACTGTGTCTGACATCTTCTAATCTTAAAACTTTGATAACATCATTTACAATGGAATCAATTTGTTTAGATGGAGTATTGGCATCAAGTCTTGTCTTGGCTGAGAAGAATAAGGTTTCTTCGACAGTCATAGAGCTAATCATAATATCATCTTGTGGAACAAATCCAATCTTACGATTGTATTTTGATAATGGTTCTTCAACACCATTAACAAATACTTTACCAACTTGAGCACCATAGTAGGCACGATTGGAAAGTGTTGTAATAAATGTACTCTTACCAGCACCACTCAAACCCATGACAGCAGTCAATTTACCATGTTTGATTTCACCAGTAACACCATCAAGAACCTTCTTACCAGAACCTCTCAAAACAAGACCTAAATCTTGGAATCCAATGTCAACAGTAAATTGTTCTTCATGGAAACTACTGCCATAATTTTGTTGTTTTTGAGCTCTGGAAAAGAGGGAAGATGCTTCATGTGGATTTTCCTCCCTTTGACGAGCACTCATCTTGACATAAAACTTGAATGCAGCTCCATAAGCAAAGTAAAGACATGCCAATAAAACAAGCAAACACAAAACAAGGAGCAAGCCTCCAATGGTCATTCTATCAGTTGGGCTACCTTCAGGACAAGAAGAAAAGAACCAAGAACATGTAGATGGTTCAATAAAGCCTTGTCTACAGAAATATCCTTCTGGGCAAATAACTTTGAGACTAGCATTTGGACAATAATAACCTTCTGGGCAAAGAGAATAGGTGAATGAACCTTCAGGACAATATTGGGTCAGTGAGCACTCCTTAATGGAATTTGGATTTTCACAATAGAAACCAGCTGGGCACAAATCCTTTTCAACAGTACCAGGTGGACAGTAATCCATTGAGTCATTGGTGAATGAGCATAGAGATGGTTGCAAAATTGATGCATTAACACAATAAGTGTCAGCAGGACAAAGAAGACTGGTCAAGGTTTTGTTTTCAGGAGTCAAAATGACCTCTCTTCCCAAGTTACAATAATCTCCCTCCTCGCACAAAGCCAATCCATTGAGAAGTAATGAACCATCTGGTTGGATGGTCTTCTTAACAAAGTGACCTGGAGAAGCAGGAATAGGAATAAGATAATCAGTTGTACACAAGGTACCATTTGGACATTCATATGCAGAGACTAAATTTTGGCTGTAACATGTTTGATATCCATAGTCGGCATCACACTTTTTAGGTGCATCCATAGCAAAATCTGGGCAAACATAACCAAAAGGACATGGAATTCTAATACCAGCAACACAATAACTACCCAAAATACAAGGAATTTCTGCAAGAGACCTGTAAACAAAAGTACCTTTTGATGCAGATGGTCTAACTTGATTCTTACTGAAAAATCCACAAACATTTCCTCTAACACAAGAACTTGAAGCAATAGCAAATTGATTTTCATCGATTGGAGTTGGTGGAACGAGAGTACATTCATCATCGAACATCTTAAGGAAGACATTATCAGGATTAGGCAAAAGAGTTTCACAGACAAGACTATATCTCTTCTTTGCTTCTAATTCCCATTTTTGTCTGCTAACAGCAATAAATAAATGTTGATTGTTGGTTGAAACGAAAACATCAATAATATTTCCTAGAGTTTTGAATCTGTTCAATTTCTTGAGAGAAACATAGGCTTGAGGTTTAACAAGGTCAATATCCAAAGCCATTGCATGAATTTCCATAGCAGCAGAAGCTTTAGCAACATAGATATTTTGTTGCCAATATCCATAGAAGAAACTGTAAAGGTTTCTTACATCTCCCATACCACCATTGAAAATTTCAATTTCACAAGTTAAGTTCTTGGCAGCTATTCTACAAGATTCCCTATGAGGTGGTCTACCAGATCCTATATATTCCATTTCGCAAAATACTTCAGGATTGAGTTTACCTCCTTCAAAATAAGATTGAACGGCTCCAGTAGTATGGTTTACATCCATGAATCTTGAGGTAATTGAAATAATTTCTGAATCAAACACTTCATAATTTTCAACGTTATCTTCACATTCACCGTTAGCATTGATAAATTGAGATCCACTACAGGCAAAATTCTTTGCTCTGTTTGCAGTGTTGGAGAAATCCCTTTCAAAGTTGTAGCTATAAAACTCTTCCATGTGATGAATGGTGAGTCTGTAAATTGGATTACTTGGACCGTTATAGGTTTGTGTTAATCCCAAAATCAAGAACATATTTTGAGAAACTGGAAATTGAACATTATCACAAGTGGTTTGTCTTGTAATTGCTAAAGGTCTTCTAATCTTTTCAGCCACTAAGTGAGAATAGGTGATTTCAGTGTACTCAGGGGCAACATAGAAAGTATTCAACAAGTCTTTGGTGGTAAAATCAATTTCTTTTTGTGGGGCATCTCTTTCTGAAAATTCAAAAATTCTAACCTCCTTATCTGTTTGAATGCTTACCAAAACTCTAGAGGTGCTCAATTTCTTAGCGAATAAAAAAGTTGGATCGATACGCATTGGGGCAGATGGAGAAAACTTTCCATGTTGATGGGCAAGATCAAAGACAACATTCTTGTTACCTTCAGGAACAGTAATTGTCCATTTGGTGACCTTGAACTCATTTTGTGAAACTGCTTCAGGTTGAATAAAGTAAATTTGATATTTTGTTGATGATATTTTAGCCAAAGCAACAGAATAAATATGTTGCTCTTGTGATTCTCTAACCATACGTAATTGTAAAACATCACTGACAGATTCATCTAATGGATAATACCAATTCTTTCCTTTGAGAGACCCATCAGCAAAGTCTAATGTAATGTTAAAAATACCATTAATATATAATTGGTTATTTCCAACAGCATTTTGAGCAAATGACAAGTGGTCATAGGCATCAGAACCATAACCTGTTTCCTTGGCATGTCCATCAAATTTGATAATATTCTTGAAAAGTTCTGGCTTATAGTAAATTCTTGTTGCTTTTTCAAACATATGTTCAAGGGTATTTCTCATAAGGAAAATTCTACCATTTGAAAATGCTTCCACTACATAACTCATATCATATAGGATGAAATTTTCATCAAAACCTCTAATACCCACAATACTTTTACAATTATTCATTTGGTCGTCATGTGGTTCAGAATGATTATAAGGCCCAGATTCACATTCATAACTAAAATCACCTTTTGGTATAATTGTTGTGTCAAAGAAAATGTCAGGTGTGCCAGCATACGGATTGACAACTTCACACCACATATTTTTGACGAAACTTCCAAATAATAAAGTTGGAACACAAACACCTGCACTTCCAGGTCCTCTAAATATATAATTTGTATTTGGTTTTGGAGGATCAACCTTGTTGATTGTATTTTGTTTTGAAATATAATCCCTTAGCTGAGAAAAAGCGACAGGATCATTTGGGAGAATTCTTTTTGAGCGAGGCACATTGTATCCACTAATTCCATAATTGCCTAAAAGTACTATGCACAGTACAAGACAACACAGAAGGATTTTCAATGATGATGATGATAATATTGTTACTCCCCTGGAGGATCTGTTAAAACTACTATTAATAATAATATTCTTCATTGTAAATAAATATATATATTAAAAATTGGAATCTTCCGATCTGATGATTCTCAAATTATTATTCTTCTATATATTGATAAGTATCGTTAGGCTAACGACCACACAATATTGTTGTTGTTTGTTGAAGACTCTCTATCGAAGAACGCTGCAACTGTTGAACGAACAAAAAAAAATCACAAAAAGGCTTTTTCGATTTTGGCGCGAAAAGAGTCAGCAGCACGAGTTGTTGTGAATTTTTTTGTTGTTAAAATTTCATTTCATGTGATGGATGTGATGCATGTTCGGAGTCATCTCGGGAAAAGAAATTGTCTCCGTAAACAGGAAGATAAAAAAACTCTAGGCAACAAGTCAGACAAGTGGAGCAACATTGTTAACAAGGTCAAATAATAATCATTCCACTCTGAGCATTATAATAGTTTGATTATATTGTATCATGTAATGAAATATTATATGCGGATGAATACATTTCCATTTCCGATAACACCTCTTAAGAGTTCCTAAAGGAAAATTCTGTTTGATGTATTCCGAGTAGGCTATGGAAATGTTTCCTCAAACAAATTACCGTAAATTTACATTAAGGAAGCTCAGTATTTAAGGAAAATTTCACATTCTTATTCTCGTTTCGATTTGGAAGTTAAAGAATACTGTAAATTCTAATGTATTTATTGTAACAACATTCAAAAAAGGAATAGGAATTCACATTTTGTTATTTACCAAAAGAAAATGGACAGAAATATCATCTTTCATAGAGTATGAAAGTACAAATAAAACCATTGTAAAGTAAATTTGAAAGATGTGAATTCCCAATAAGTTTTAAAATTAGATCAGAAAAAAATGCCTGGAAATCACCATCACACTCACCCACACAAAAAGCAGCACCATCACTCAAACAATCCTGCAGCAAATACTTCCAATAGTAATACTAATACCAATAATACTAATAATAATAATCAGATGCAACAACAGCATAGTAGGGAAGGAAAATCCAATAATTCTACCAATTATATAAATAATAATACTACAACTAATAATAATAATTATTACCATCAACAACAACAACAATCCATGCCAAATAATGCCACTCGATTCAATCACAATTACAATTCTTCTAATAACAAGTATAATAATTATAATAATAGCAAATCGATCGTGATCCAACCGAATCCTTCTACACTCAATAATAGACCATCATTGACACCATCACCAATTCCTTCAGCATCATCAGCTTTGAAAAGTAATAATTTGAGGAAAAAGTTGGAGATTATTTTGGAAGAGAGGATTGCTCAGAATGATTTGTGTTTTTCAATTTGTAATCATTATAGGGCAATTATTAATCATTTGGAAAAGATCAAGTTTGATTCGAAAGAAAAGCTGCAATCATTCTTGTTTTTAAAAAGTCAACTGGATGCTAAATTTGAATTTTATATTGTAAAAAAGATAATTATTCCACATTTAATAATTGCTTTGGGTGTTGAGGCTTATGAAGTTAATCAGAATTCTCAACAACCGTCTGCAATACCAGATAAGAAGAGCTATAATTTAACTGCTCGTCCTAAAAAAGTTGAAAGTCAGACAGAGCAAGCTAAATTGATTGAATTAGCTCCAAAATTGAGTAGTTCAGGAAACGCTTATTTTTCATTAGAATTTGACAGTGTCAGTGTTATTACTAGATTATTTTATGAACTTATCAAAACAAGCAAAAAGCTCTTTCGTTTGATGAATATCAAAATTATTTATGAGAAGAATGGATTTGAAAATCTTGATTTCACATCCCTAAAGAAAACTCTTAGTTTTTATAAGCATCTTTTACCAGCTCATGCCACATTTATGAAATTGAAGGGTATAAGAAACGATTGGGCTCACTTTGTAAATCCAACGACCATTCCATCACATATTATAAGGGCCTGCTTTATTTTCTGTCGTGAAATTTATGACCACTATCTCAGTATTACAACACCCAATTCAGATTCCAATTTATATATGAAGAGAAAAATAACTCTACATGAAGGTTTTGAGTATGACTACAAGATTTGGGAATCTAAATCTAAAATTATTTCTGGAGTTGTGGCTCAATTTTGTCAGAAGCCAGAAAAAAAGAAGCAATCTGCTCTTAGAGTTGTTGAAGTGCTATCAGGCAGTTTGAAGAATGGAGGTCATCAAGAGAAAGATTTAGATAGACTTTGCAATGAGATTTTATTGAATTTGTTACCAAGATCTCCATACCTATTGAAAGAAATGCAACAGATTAATGAGAAGGAAACACCAAGGGAGGATATTGTTTTCATTCTTCTTTCAAACGAATTCCAATCAAGAATCAAAAAGGACGAGCAATATGTTAAGGCTTTTAGTGGAACAAACTTGACAGATCAGAAATTTGTTAGCAAATCAGTTTTCTTCAAGGCTATTGTAACGAATATGAAGAATGAAAACGACCATAGACAATTACTATTCGAAAGAGCTTACCATTACTTTATATTAGAAAAATGTTTGAAGAATCTCAAAGATCATAATTTTGAAGAAGTAATTATTCAAAAGTTCAAACAGGAAAAGAACATTAATACCCCAAAGGAACTTTATGAGAGGATATTGACAGATATTAATACACAAGTGGGCGAATTCAGAAAACTTTGGGTCTCTATTGCTATTGCCTTTAGTTCGTGTACTAACTTGGAAATACCTGATGCAATCAAATATTTGTCTTGGGCTCTGAAAGAAATGACAATGACCACCAACAAATTTACATTTCCCCACATTATCAAACCTTACATAGTATTGGTGACAAAGTATCTCTGCCAATTCAATGATATAATGTTGTCGAATTTAATTCATTCGAGTGATGTAGCTATTTTGAAAACAGTGACCATTAGAGTTTGTTTGGCCTCGCTATTGAAATTCTACCATCTTTCTCCTGAAATCAGTCAATTATTTATTGTTGCAAGAGAACAAATCAAAAGTATGGACCCTCAAATCTTACAACAATTAGAGGCAGAAGATTATTACGTCTTGAATGCAGATCCACAAAATATCAACAAGGATTTGCTTATTCCAGTTGAGCTCACCTTTTCCGACTTGTGTAAGAATGAACGTGCTAATATTTCAGTGGAAGGATGTTTCGCATTCTCCTCATACCAAGAAATTCTGGAAGACGACAATAATACAGAAAACCAAACCGAACAATAAAATTCCAAACAATCTATTTATTTGAATTCAATGGGCAATCATATGGAAAATCTAGCCAACAAGCAAGCTCTGGATATTGCAAAGATAAAGATTTCACAATATATTCCCAAACTTCCCAATGAGATTTCGAGGTTGCTAAGGCCACCAGGTACGTTGGATCATTAACTGTTACAACTAACCAGGTCCCATGCTGTATTTCAGAAGCCAATTGTCCTTTTCTCCATGTAGCCAATCTTTGTCTTTGAAATTATTAAATAAATGGATAAAAACCAAATTAAACTTACTTTGCTTCCAGTTCTTCTACCAAATTATCTACGTATCGCTTGCTTTGTTCTTCTAAAGTTTGATTGACTGCCATGTTTATCAGAGACTCCTCCAGAATGGCATTGTTGTCTTCATAAATTTCCAAATCCTCATCAAAGTCGTTATACTCTCCATCTTCATCAAAATCATTATTAACAGATACTTCTGGAGCGGCCACAGGTTCAATTGACAATGGAATTCTACTCTTCAATAAATTAGGGTCATTAGGATCTGTTAATTTCTCAATATCAAATACCACATCAGAATCTGTGTTATTTTCAACCTTCTGATTTGTCTCATTAGTTTCCTTTTTACTTGTGGAATTCAATTGCTTTGATTTTTTCTTCTTTTTCTTCTTCTTTAATTCATGAGCACGTTTTCCCAGAATAACAGCAAAACGTTGTCTGTTATCAGGCAAGACATAGGCAGTTCTCTCATAAACAGGTGAAGATAACATTGGGTGTGATAACAAAATATTATATCTCTTTGGTTCTGTAGTATTTAAAATGTTAAAGGTTACATATTTTCCAATTTCATCCTCCGTTTCCTTCTCTTCTTCCTTAATTTCAGTCACTTTCTGTGATAAGAATAATTCCTTCACCTTGTCCGAAGTAATATTCATTTCACTTTGTACTCCAAAACAAACTTCCATAGCATCATTAGTATTCATTGCAATGTTATCCTTGTTCCTAAAAATATCTTTACATATTCTTTCCAAACTTTCATTTGCTACTATTTTACTTTCCGAATCAATGTGAGGAGTATAAAAGAAGGCTTTCGGATGTTTAAATACTTTAGAAATTACGTATTGTCCAATAGCACTTCTTGTCCATCCACGAGTAATCATTGTACTACTCTTTGTATTTCTCGGATTAATAAGTGAATATTTTAGAAGGGGTTGGTTATCATATTGTCGACACAATTTGAGTACCGATTTGTATAAAAAGCAAAAAAACCTCCTTTCTTTTTCGTTCATTTTTTTAAAGAATTTAAATTTTTTAATTCAAAATAGATTGCATGTGTGAAACAAGCAAAAAAAGAATCATAAGTAGATTCATGATTTAAGATTAGTCATTAATATGATACTGACTAAAAGTATCGAGGTGTTGTCTTTTTATTCATCAAAATCAAAGTCAGATGGTGGTTCAAGAACTACATCATCTGGATAATAGACAACGTTAGTGAGGAAGAGACCGTGAGGTGGAGCTGAGCCCTTCTCTGGATATCTCATATTTGGATTTTGAACGAGAGCTCTCAGATAGGTCGGATTCATCTTTCCAATACCAACCTTAACAAGTGCATCAACCATGATTCTTACTTGATTATGAAGGAATGAATTTCCTCTGATAGTGAACCTAATTTCCTTACATTTCGAAGTGGAAAAGAATAGAGGACTGATAGTTTGGTCCTGTTGAAGATCTATTTCCTCTACAGTGACAGAGTTGATGGTTTTAATTCTGGAAACTCTTTCTGGTAAATCAGATTTACAGAAATTATTAAAATTATGAGTTCCAATAAAATATTGACAAGCCTCTCTAACATCATCAATTCTGAAATAAGTTTCCAATGATCTGAAATCCAATGAAATTTCTTGTTTAGTAGGACCACCTTGCTCATATTTAGCTCCATTAACAATCCAATATTGATCTTGGATGAAAGGTACCTTGTAGGCCAAGTCAGGTTTTGGACCTGTTAACAAAACTCTGTATTGATATTCTCTCTCCTTAACACGATGTCTTGCATGAAAATTCATATCCTTCTTCTCACATGAACATATCACAATATCTTCATCCTTCAAGTAAAAATTCAATCCAAATATGACATTCTTTGCTGTGTAATTTTCTCGTTTTTCAATAATTTCCGAAGCCACATCAAAATGGCAAGTATTATGAAGAGCATGAACACCAGAATCAGTTCTTGAACTTCCTACAATGTAAATATCATTTGTATTGAATAGTTTATGTAAAGATCCCTCTATATGTTTTTGAATGGTATTTCCACGTGGTTCTCCTTTGTTATTTTGCTTTTGATATCCGTCATAATTATTTCCTCTATATTGAAAAATTAATTTATATCTGTCCTTTCTTTCCGTAGTATTGCTGTTAGTAGTATGATTATCAGAATAAAATCTTCTCAAATAATTTGTATTATTTTGAATAATTTTAAGTGATGATGAAAATTTGTTCTTGTACGTTGTTCCGATAATAAGACTTCTATTGGTGGTATGTAGTTGACGTAAAATGTTCATTTTTAAATCAATTTTAATAAAATTTAATTTACTGCAATTTTATTCTTTGTTTTTAGGAAATTACTTCTTCCATTATTTCAGTTTAATTCAAACGAGTTTACAACTACTTTATCTAGTTGATGCTGGAAGAAAATAAACTTAATTAATCAAATTTCTCCATTCTCAATTTTCTTTTCAAGTAATCATTTCTATCTTCAAATGATAATATACGTTATCAAATCATATTTGATTGAATTTATTGATAGATACAAAGAGTATAATGTAGTATGAAAATAATTTACAAAATTTATGAGAGTTGGTCAATTCTTGATTGAATAACTTTGAATTGTTCCATAACGCTCTTGACTGTGTCCTTGTCCATTTCAAAAAGTAATGTAGAATTGACATCACTTCTAGTTGATATTTGTACAACAGCTACACTTTCATTAATTTCACTAAGTTTGTTAATGTTGGTCTTTTGATCAATTCTCCATTTCATATCTATCATGGTATTACCAAATTCTTCCTTAGAATCACTAATCAATTTTTGGTGAATTTGCAAAGAGTTTAATGACCAGAATTTAACAAATGATTGAACAAGTTCAGGAGTTGAGATGAAGGATTTTGCTTCCTCATCATTTGTTAAATATTCCTTCAAAGCATCCGAATTCCAATTTTTAAATCCAGCTAATTTAATGATTTGTTTACATTTCTTTGCAAATTGTGATTGTTCTTCAGTGAGAATTTCATTTCCGAATACTTGTTGATAGACAGCTGATTCTGTAATGTCTGAATCCTTTTCGTACATAATTTGATGTAATCCTTTCAACAATGCTAATAAATATTTTCCATCAATAGTGAAGGCAGTATTTTCGGATGGTGTATTAACAGTGTGAGCTTCATCAGTTTGCTCTCCAGTTTGTTCTGAAAACATTTTTTATTATTATTATTTTGATGAAGATTTTTATTTGATGATCAGGAGCTAAAGGAGACAGCAGAAGAAAGATGATGATTTCAAGTACTTGCATTGTGTTCTGGGATCCAAGAGTGTGATTATACCATGCATGGATAATAAATTAGACCTAGATTTATTTACATTTTAATTTCCTTGTGAATGATAGAAGAGAATTGGATCCAATCCAATGCTGCTTGAATATCTTGTTCATATTGTGGATCCTGATCAAGTGTCCACGTGGTAAAATCATTGAATGTATGCACACAACTTTTATCTTCATTGATGATGTATCCAGTTACTTGGAGTGGTGTTTCTTGTTGTTCGGAGAGAATAATCTTCTTTCCTTGAAGAGGTCTTCCTCTGAATGAACCTTCCAATATCGATTCATCATTACTATTTGGTTTTATATTAGGTTCAAAGTATTCCTCCACTTTGGCTTCCCCATCATGGTCAATGTGGCAAGGTAAGTGATGTATCTTTAGAGAGTCATCCGTTGAGTTTAATAATTTAATTTCCAACACATCATTATTTGAAATCATTTTTTGGAGGGAAAAATTAGGAGTGAAAGTGGTAATGTTATTGAAACAATTTACCAAACAAAATAAATTCAATGAAACCTACAGAATTAACTTTGAATTAAAATTGAATCTAATTGTTTTGGTTATATTAGTTTCTGTTATCATAAGAATGTCTAAGGGTGAAATAGGTTTTGATAGTTTGAGTTACAATTTTAATTAATAATTATTGCATTTCGGAAATGATTTTTAATTGTTTTTTTATTGAGCAAAGTAGCCAATCTATTTAGTGTTTTTGAAAATTTAAAAGGTAAGAAGAGAAAAGAAAACTGTGATGAAGTGAAAGTAAAATTTAAGCAAGGACGATACCCATAGTACGGTTGTAATTATTTTCCTTGATTTTTTGTCTTCTCATCAATTTATGCATTCTCTTTACTTCCGCAAAGGTTAATTGTTGTCCACTGGCCTTCTTTGACTTGAGTTGTTCGAGAGAAAGGTCTGTTGCTCTAGAAATTTCCAATAACCATTCTGGATAAGCTTCTGGGGCTTTAATAACTGGGTTTTTACCTTCCTTCAAAATGTTGATGTTGAGTTCGTGTCCTTCTTGACCAAATCCTTTCGAGCCTTTTGGTGCTTCAGGTCCGTACTTTTTTACTAAATCTTTAATTTCTTGCTTTGATAATGATTTGATTGCAACCAATCTATTTGTTCGCAATTGGCTTGTGCATATCGAAATTTTGAGAGTGTTATTATTGTTGAGGCAAGGTGAAAGGACTTTGGTGGAGAGTTGTTTCAGCATTTTTTAAATTAAAAAACAAAATTTTTAATTAAATAAAAAATTGAATAATCATGTCTACTATTATTCGTTCTCCTGTTCATCTCTACAGAATTCTTCTCAAGCACACTCAATCTAACAAAATATTCGGAAATGAAAAAGTGAGAAATTATACATTTAACAAAATTAGAGAATGTTTTAGGGATGCTAGAAATTCCGATATTGCTTTCCAACAATTACAATATCAAAGAGCCATACAATTCTTGACTGTCACTTCTCGGTAATTAATTGTTAGTATTCAAAATAAATTATTATTATTTAATTGGAATCTAATCATTTGCCATCTCATTCAATATCACAATTATTGATGCATTAAAAAGATAGAAATCACACTTTCATTCCACCATCAACTTTGAAAACAACCTTCTCCAAAGAAAAGACCTTCTTGTTGCTATTTTTATTTTCACTTATTATCCAAGCATGTCAACTACTGAAATATACCTTTGTTGTATGGAGTATTGTTTCTTAGAAGATATTGAGGTTGTTTTGTATTGTGAGGGTTAAGTACGCGCAAAAAAAATGTCTGAAGAGGAAGTGAGAGAAGACCCAACAACTGAATGGTTGTTCGGGAAAGTGATGCACAACATTAAAATCAACAAGACAAAATGGAATGAATTCAGAACTAGTGAGGAAACAAGGTAAGTGTAGTATTAGGATTTGGACCTATATGAAAATGATCAGAGTTAAAATACAAAAATTCCTTACAGTGGAATCAGAAATGATGTTGTTTTTTATTAAGAGCAAAGAAAAAGAAGAAATAATAGTATCTGCGGAACCAGTTATTGGAGGTCATAAAAAAGGAATTGTGTTTTTGAAACATTCCCCTATCAAAATCACCACAGATAATTATGTAGAATCTCTATTTTATGAGGATGTTTTTGCTGATCCTCTTTTAAATTTACAAAGAATTGTGGAAGGAGTTTATCTTCCTCTCCTTCAATCACCAAAGAATCAAAAAGGATGGCCAAATGTAGTGGCTCAAGATTTGATAAGACAATTCCATCGATTTACAGGAATGTTAGATTTATTTATTGGACATACTAGAGGATCTGTAGTTTTACCAATGCCACCCGTTGATGAAACAGTGGAAACGGCTTCTCAAGATAGATCCCTTGTTCATGCTTTTGAAACTTCAGTAATAGATTGGAGTAAGGAAACAAGGAAAGTAATAGAGTTGGATTCTGATAAAATATTGGATGAATTGGAAAAGGAAGAAAAATATCAAGGACCTCTTTTTGAAATTGATTTTTGGCAAGCAAAGAAAACAAAATTGACTGATCTTGCTCATCAATTATCAAATGACAGAGTGAAAATGGTGATTTCAACATTAGAAAAAACTCAAAGTTCATATGTTACCGGATTCAAGAAAATGTTGGATGATTTAAATTTTGCATTGGATGAATCTGAAACAATTTCCAAATATTTCGAACCTCTAAGAAAGTATTTCCAAGATTTGAATGATTCAACAATATCAGTTTCTGATCTTGGAGAAGTTTTTAAACCAATTCTACATTTAATTTCATTGATGTGGAGAAAGTGCGAGTATTTCAACACAGGTCATTTATATGTTCTCATAAGAGAGATTTGTAATGATATTGTTACTAGAATTTATAATTATATTGAACCATCAGAGCTATGGACTAATCCTATGAAAGTTGTTGCAGAAAAACTTCAAATTTCATTTAATGGATGTGAAGAATTCAAAGTATTATTTTTCCAATATAGGGATATTGTAAATAGAACTAATCCTCAAAAAACTTGGAAATTTGAAAGTTCTAAGGTTTTTACTAGGTTGAACTTATTTATCGAGAGATTACACGATTTAAGAACAATTGCTTTGTATATAGATGATTTCTTATCACTCGATAAATTTGATATTGGTGGTGTGAATGGAGCAGAATTAACTGGTATGATGTCTCAACTATTTGAAGAATTTGTAGATCAACAACAAAAGATTCAAAACGTTAGTTATGATGTACTTGATTTGAAAGAGGAACAATTTGAGAGAGATTTTTACAAATTCTGTGATGCTATTAATGACTTTGATAAGAGAATTTGCTTCATGATTAATAAGGCATTACAATTGAATACTGGATTCAAGTTTACTTTTAAACTTTTAGAAAGCTTTGAGTCTCAAGCAAGAAGAGAAAAAATCAGGCAAGAAATTGAGGGTAAAATTTCCAACATGTTATCGGTATATTCAGAGGAAATAACAAAAGTGTCAACAATATTTAACAAGAACAAAGAAAATCCTCCTTTATTAGATAACTTCCCAAAGGTTTCTGGAGCTATTGCTTGGTGTTATTCACTGAGAGAAAGAGTAACATGGCCATTAGAAAAATTTAAAGAGCAACCTTTTCTAACCACCAGCTCTGAATTACAAGATATCATCCAAAGACATGAGAAACTGATGGCTCAGATGAAAAAATATGAGGATGAGATTTTCAATTCTTGGAAGGAGCAGCTTAATGTAAATAGTTTATCCCATCTCAATGATAATATTATTTCCAGAATGCCAGATAAAAGATTGGTGGTTAACTTTAATCCAGAACTGAGTTTCTGTATTCAAGAAGTAGAACATTTGAAACCTTATGCAAACGCAGTTCCAGAAGAGGCGATTGCACTCTTTGAAAAAGGGGATATTTACAGAGCTAAAGTCGCAACAATGGATCTTATGGTTCGTCAGTACAACACTGTAATTCAAACATTGATAGATGTAGAAAAGCCTCTTTTGGCCGATAGATTAACCACTGTAGATAACATTTTGGTGGAGTCTACTGAAAAATTAACGTGGCAAAGCGATATTGATAATTTTATATTACAATCTAGGGAAAATGTGAGAGACATTTACAATAGAACAAACTTCCTTAAAGGGAATGTTAAAACAATCGAAAAAATGGTTGAGAGCTGGATGACTATTTCTAATTTAATAATTACTGATAACTCTGGTATTGAGGAGATGAAAGAGAAAAAGGCCAGCAAAATATTTGATATGGTTGGATTTTGGAGACAATCTACTGACTCCAATCCAACTTTCAAAGTCTATTCTCAATGGAAGTCAAAAGTCTCAGCCAATATCAAAAAGTTGAGTGATGTTATTATCCAAAGTGAAAGAATTGGTCATATTATGGAAAGCAGCCGTCTCAAAATTTGTCCACAAAGCTCATCAGAGGAATGGAATAATTATTGGAGAAATTATGTTCTCTTTGTAAATAGTATTATTGAAAAGGGAGTATTTAATGCTGTAAGAGAAGGATTGACATTTTTAATTAACTCATTCTCAGGAAAAAATGATATGATTGCTTTGAACTCCAAAACACTGAGTAATATCTTCATAACTGTCAAACTAGAACTCTATTCTAATGATGCTGTATTCACCCCAAACTTGATTGAGAGTACAAACAGTGTTCATAATAGTGTAAAAATTTGGGTCAGTAGAGTCATTGGCTTAGCATCCATGGTAAAGAGATTAGATGAAGTTACAACTTTCGAAAAGGTCATCAAAGACGATGAAAACATCAATGGTTTGAGGCAAAAAGTGTTCTCGTTAATGGGCAATACCATAAATGATATGAATGATCTCAGAGAAAAGTTCTGTGAGTTCTCTCATCTTTGGGAAGAAGATCCTAGGGAGTATCTGGCCAGATTCATCAAGAGTGGTGGTGATGATGTTAGATTTAACAGTGATAGTGAAGTTTCTGATGGAGAGAATGAAGATGACGAAGAAGAGCAGGAAAACGTAGTGGCATCTCTTGAAGAATTTGAAATGCAAATCCTAAAATATGAGAAAATTGTGTTAGAGATTGCAGATCTTCCAGATAAGGCTTCATTTGGTTGGTTGATCGTAGATTCATCTCCAATTAAGACAGCTCTATCTAATTTGGCTAGCAAATGGCGTTTTACATTCCTTGATCATTTGTTATCTGATGTAAGATCAACTTTGCACGAATTTAACTCGTTTGTCAAGGAATTAAAGGAAGGTTTATGCCAACCTATTCCAAAAGATGACTACCCAAAGCTTGTAGAAATGATGAGATATATTGTAAGATTTAAAGAAAGACCTGAACATAAGCAAAAAGATGGACTCTTTGATAACTTGAGAGAGACTGTTCAATTATTGAAGAAGTGTAGTATTGTGGTCCCACAGGAAATTATTCTTGACCTAGACGATGCTAAAAACAAGTGGAGTGACTTGTCTAAGGTTTATTTTGAAGTTAAAGATAAACTCTCTGTTGTCCAAGATGAAGAGATTAAAAAGATTTCAAAGGAGGAGATTGTATTTGCCAATGTTTCAGAAAAGTTGAGAGAGGACTTTGTTAAGGATGCTCCTTTCTACTATTCTATTGGTGTTGATGCTGCCTACGAAAGAATTGATGAGGTTCATGAACGTATTTTGGTAGTAGAAGAAAATATGAGAGAGCTCCGAGATAGACAAAAGTTATTTGGCCTCATGCAAAACCAAGGTAAATTGGTAAGAGAATCAAGGGCAGAGTTGAGACTTTTAAAGAGAGTCTGGGATTTAGTGGCCCTAGTTCAATCCCAAATAGATGAATGGAAATCTATTCCTTTCCTTAAAATCAATGACGAAGAGCTAACAGAAGAAACAAAGAAATTTATCACCGAATTGAAATCTGTAGATAAGAGAGTCAAGAGATGGGAAGTTTTCATTGGGCTTCAAAATTATGTAGATAATTTCATGATTACCCTTCCTTTGATCCAAAAGTTGAGAAACCCAGGTATGAGAAGTAGACATTGGAAGCAACTTATGGAAAAATCAAAGGTTGACTTTACTGTTACAGAAAAATTTTCCTTATCAGATTTATTGTCTTTGAATTTACACAAATATCAAGATGATGTTAACGAAATCGTAGATAAATCAGAAAAAGAAATGAAAATGGAGAAGCAACTCAAGGACTTGGATGCACTGTGGAGCGATCTCAAGTTTGATTTCACTGTTCACACTAATGGTGTAGAAATAGTTAAAGTTAGTGAAGAAGTAAGGGAAAGTCTTGAAGATAACCAATTACAATTGCAATCCAGTAGTTCTAGTAGATTTGTTGAGTTTTTCATAGAAGAAATTGAAGAATGGTTGAGAAAGCTTGGAAAAGTTGATACAGTTATCAATGGTCTTCTTGACGTTCAAAGAAAATGGCTCTACCTGGAGAATATTTTCATCGGTACTGATGATATTCGTCAACAATTACCTAATGATGCCAAAAATTTTGATGCAGTAGATCGTGAATTGAAACTTATTCTAACTGAGGCAAAGAAGGTCATGAATATTGTTTCCTTCTGTTCTTCTCCTGGATTGGAGGAAAAAATAGTTGTGTTACAAGATAGTTTAACTTCTTGTGAGCACCAACTTTCCAAATATTTGGAAACAAAGAAGAAAGCTTTCCCAAGATTTTACTTCACTTCAGAGTCTGATTTATTAGATATCTTAAGTAAGGGTGGACAATCTCCACATAAAATCTTAAAGCACATGCCTAAACTCATTCAGGCTGTTAAAACTCTAAAGTTCAGAGTTGATGATAACGGAAATCAAACAAATGAAGTGATTGCCATAGTCAGTAGAGAGGATGAAGAAGTGAGTTTGACACATCCATGCATTCTTCAAGGAAAAGTAGAGGATTATCTGAATGATCTTTTGAAAGCTATTTCTAGGACACTAAGGGATATTCTCTCTGAAGCTATGTTAACATATTCAAGTGCCAATAGAGAAGAATGGCTTTCAGGTTATGCTTCGCAAGTTATTTTAGTTACATCTCAAATTTACTGGACATTAGAAGTTAACCAAGCTTTTGAAGCTTTGGAAGAAAATAACGAAGCAGCTATGAAAAATTATTATAAGAAACAAGTTAATCAGTTAAACAAACTTATTTCCCTTGTTCAAAATGATTTAGAAAAGGGAGAAAGACAAAAGATTATGAATTTGGTTACTCTTGATGTTCACGCGAGAGATATTGTGGATATGCTCATCAATGAGAATATTACCTCTGCTCAAGATTTTGGTTGGCAATGTCAACTCAGACAAAGATGGGATGCAGAGCACCAGGATTGTATTATTGATATTTGCGATGCTACTTTTAAGTACGGCTATGAATATTTGGGTAATGGTCCTAGACTAGTGATTACACCTCTTACAGATCGTATTTACATCACACTTACCCAAAGTTTGCACTTGATTATGGGCGGTGCTCCTGCTGGTCCTGCTGGTACAGGTAAAACGGAAACTACAAAAGATTTGGGTTCTCAATTGGGTAAATCAGTTTATGTTTTCAATTGTTCTGACCAAATGAATAATGAGAGTTTAGCAGACATTTTCAAAGGATTAGCATCAAGTGGTGCTTGGGGATGTTTTGACGAATTCAATCGTATTGCTGTAGAAGTTTTGTCTGTAGTCTCAACTCAGTTCAAGAGTATTTTGAATGCAATCAGAGCAAAGAAGGACAAGTTCATGTTTGAAGGAGAAGAAATCACTCTTGATAGAACAAACGGTGTTTTCATTACTATGAATCCTGGTTACTTGGGAAGAACAGAGCTTCCAGAATCTTTGAAAGCATTGTTTAGACCAGTTACAGTTGTGGTACCTGATCTCGAATTGATTTGTGAAAATATGCTTATGGCTGAAGGCTTCAAGGAAGCAAAGGTGTTGGCCAAAAAGTTTATTACTTTGTACAGTTTGAACAAAGACTTACTTTCAAAACAAGATCACTATGATTGGGGTTTAAGAGCAATTAAATCTGTACTTGTAGTTGCTGGTTCTCTGAAAAGAGCTGAACCAAGCATGCCAGAAACTCACGTATTGATGAGAGCTTTAAGAGATTTCAATCTTCCAAAAATTGTTCAAGACGATTTGGAAGTTTTCACTGGTTTAATCAATGACTTATTCCCTGGAATTGATCCTCCAAGAAAAGTTGATCTTGACTTTGAAGGAATAGCTGCAGAAGAAATAACTGCTCTCAAACTTCAACCAGAAGACAGTTTAATTTTGAAGGTTGTCCAATTAGCAGAGTTATTGGAGGTCAGACACAGTGTCTTTATTATTGGTCCTGCAGGAAGTGGTAAATCAGTATGTTGGAAATCATTAGCTGCAGCAAAGAAGAGAAGAAATGAAAAGGTTCTTGTCAGATTTTTGGATCCTAAGGCAATTACCTCTCATGAACTTTATGGTTACAAGAGTGAACAAGCCGACGAATGGAAAGATGGTTTATTGAGTAGTATTATGAAAAATTTATCTGAAAGAGAAGATACTGATCCTAAATGGATTATTTTGGACGGTGACTTGGATACTGAGTGGATTGAATCAATGAACTCTGTCATGGACGACAATAGAATTTTGACATTGGCCAATAATGATCGTATCCCACTCCTTTCTCACATGCGGTTAGTGTTTGAAATTTCTCATCTTAAGTATGCCACACCAGCCACCGTATCTAGAGCAGGTATTTTATATATTGGAGAAAAGGATATAGGATGGCAACCATATGTTGCATCTTGGATAGATCAAAGGCCACAGGCTGAAAGGGCTCATTTACTCATCTTGGTTGATAAGTATATTCCTGAAACTTTAAGATTTGTAAAAGCAAACTTTAAGCACCTTATTCCATTAACCGACTTCCATCTCATTCATAGTTTATTCCAAATATTGGAAAGTCTCTTTGCTAAAAATCCAACCCAAGGCGAGAAGGAAGTAATGGAGAATTTCTTTGCATTTGCTACAATATTCTCCTTCATGGGTGCCATATCTGACACTGAAAAGAAAACCAACAAAATGCTTTTTGATAAGTGGTGGAGATCTACATACAAGTCGATCAAGTTCCCAGATGATTTACTTGTGTTTGATTGCTACTATAATCCAAAGACCAAATTAATGGAACCTTGGAGGGAGATTATGCCAAATTATGAATATGATGCTGATATTCCTGTTCCTCAAATTATGGTCCCAACAGAAGAGACTACATGTATTAGATATTTGATGGATCATATTGTTGATATTGGTAAACCTTTGATGCTTGTTGCTAATGCAGGTGTTGGTAAAACACAATTAATTTCAGACAAGTTAAATAACTTGGATATCCTTAACTTTGCCTCAACCTCGATCAGTTTCAATTATTATACTGACTCTGAGTCTTTACAAAAGTTTTTGGAAGGTTCTCTTGAATCAAAGGGTGGTAAGAGGTTGGGACCACCAGGCAATAAGAAGATGATTTTCTTCATTGATGATTTCAACATGCCAAGAGTTGACGCTTATGGAACTCAAACACCTATTGCATTGTTGCGCCAACACCTTGATTATGGTTGTTGGTATGAAAGAGCAAAATGGAATTTAAAAGAAATTATCAAAGTTCAATATATTGCATCTATGAATCCTACAGCTGGTAGTTTTACCGTTAATCCAAGGCTGCAAAGACACTTTGTTACCTTGGGTATCAACTTCCCTTCAAGGGCTAGTTTACAAAAGATTTATGGCTCTATTTTAGCAGGTCATTTAAAACGATTCCCGTTAGAATTAGCATCTGTTTGTAATAATGTAGTGAATGGTACTCTAGACTTACATGAAAAGGTTGTAAACTTATTCCCAAAGACTGCAAACAAATTCCACTACGAGTTTAATCTCAGACAATTATCTAGTGTATTCGAAGGACTGTTAAGAAGTGAGGTGAACGAATTCAAGGAACCAAAACTTGGAAACCTCAAATTCGCAAGATTACTCACTCACGAGATTAACAGAGTTTATGGTGATAGGCTGTCCTCAAAGGATGACTTGATAATATTCGAAAAGGAACTCAAGAACATTGTGAATGACAAGTTCCCAGAGTTTGGAGGTGAAGCAATTATTAGTAAGCCTCTAGTGTTTTCTCATTTTGTTTCTGGTGGAGATGGTGCTTATGACCAATTCACAAGTACGGAAAGTGTAAGAAAGGTATTGGAAGAGGCTCTAAAGAGACATAATCTTACAAAGACCAACATGGACCTTGTACTCTTTGAGGATGCTCTTGAACATGTATGCAGAATTAATCGTATCATCAAGGGTGCTAATGGTAACGCTCTCTTAGTTGGTGTTGGTGGTAGTGGTAAGCAAAGTCTTTCAAGACTTGCTGCCTTTGTGGGCGATTTTGAAGTTTGTAAAATTGTCATTACAAAAGATTATGGTGTCAATAACCTCAAGGAAGATCTTAAAAATATGTACAAGAAGGCTGGTAAGAACCAAAAATTGGTATTCTTACTCAATGATAACCAAATTGTTGATGAGAAATTCCTTGTTTATATTAACGATTTATTATCAACAGGTAATATTCCTGATTTATTTGCTGCAGACGAGAAGGAAGAAATAGCAAACTCTCTTAGAACTGAAGTCAAATCTGCTGGTATTTTTGATATTTCAAAAGAAAGCTGTTGGAAGTTCTTCATTAATAAGGTTAGAAGAAACTTACATGTTGTTTTATGTTTCTCACCTGTTGGAGAAAGTTTACGTATTAGAAGTAGAAACTTCCCAGCTATCATCAACTGTACTCAAATCGATTTCTTCTTCCCTTGGCCAAAAGAAGCCTTATTGAGCGTTGCTGATAAGTTCTTGAAACCTGAAATGCCAATTACTGGAGAACACCATCCATCAATTGTAAAAGCAATGGCATTCACTCATGAAAAAGTCAATGAATTTAGCTCTAGATTCCTCAACGAACTTGGTAGATATACCTATACTACTCCAAAGAGCTATCTTGAATTCTTGAAACTGTACAAATCTCTTCTTTACAAAAAGAGAGAGCTTATCAAGGGTTTAATTGATAGATTGAGCCAAGGTATTCAAAAATTGAGGGATACCACCATGAACGTAACCAAATTACAAAAACAATTGGAAACGCAAGAAAAGGAGGTCAAGGAAAGAGAAATAGCAGCCGATATTATCTTGGAGAAAGTTAAAAAGGAAAGAACAGTTGTGGAAGCAGAAAACAAAAAAGCTCTCACAGAAGAAAAATTCGCCCAAGAAATCAACCAACAAGTTGCTCAACAAACAGCAGAGTGTGAGGGAGAAGTTGAAAAAGCCAAACCAATCCTTGAAAAAGCAGAATTGGCTCTTCAAACTCTTAACAAGACTGAATTGACAGAACTTAGGTCCTTCAGAACTCCAAACGTCAATGTACTTCTTGTATTCCAAGCTGTGCTTATTTTACTAAGTACAAAGTCTGGTGTAACAAAAGATTTGAGTTGGTCTGCAGCTCAGAAGGCTATGGCTCGTGGTTCTGATAAGTTCTTGGCTGTATTGGAAGCATATGATTCCAAGAATATCTATCCTCACATCCTTACCGCTATCCAACCGTTCATGGATAATCCTAAATTCACAGGTGAGGAAATCAGAAAACATTCATCAGCTTCTGGAGGTTTATGTGAATGGGTCAGAAACACTATTGAATATAATAAGACATTCGTAGCAGTGAAGCCAATGTTTGACAGCTTGGAAAAATCCAAACTTGAAAAGGCAGCAGCAGAAGAAAAATTGGCTAAAGTAAGAAAAACAGTAGCTAAATTGAATAAGCAGTTAAAGAAGATTGAAGGTGATTATCAAGCAGCAGAAGATGAAAAGAATGCCGCTCTTGACATTGCTAAAAAGACTCAAGAAAAATTGGACTTGGCTCAACGTTTTGTTCGTGCTTTGTCATCTGAAAATGCTCGTTGGTTGGAGGAAATTCAAAAACTACAAACTCTTAACAATGTATTAATAGGAGATGTACTTCTTGCGTCTGCCTTTATTTCATATGCTGGTAGTTTTGATATGAGATTTAGAACAGAGCTCACAGAAGCATGGAAACAAGAAATTATTGGAGAGTTAAAGATTCCAACTTCTGAAAATCTTAATTTGTTAGAAGTTATGACTGATGATGCTGAAATAGCTAAGTGGGGTAATCAAAAACTTCCATCAGACAAAACAAGTATTGAAAACGGCTGTATTTTATTGAATTGTGAAAGATGGCCTCTGGTTGTAGATCCTCAGCTCCAAGCCATTACATGGATTAAGAACCATTACAAAGATTTAATAATACTGAGATTAGAACAACCAGATATCATTGAAAAAATGGAACGAGCCATTCAAAAAGGCCAAACAGTTTTGATTGAGAACATCAAAGAGACCATTGATGCTGTCTTGTCACCAGTTATTGGCAGAAATATTATTCAAAGCGGTTCTTCGAAACTTATCAAACTGGGAAATAACGAAATAGACTATCACGAAAATTTTAAACTTATTCTCCATACAAAACTTAATAACCCTCACTACAATCCAGAAATTCAAGCAGAAACAACCCTCATCAACTTCTCTGTCACAGAAGAAGGCTTAGAGGAACAATTACTTGCCCTTGTTGTCCAAAAAGAAAGATCTGACCTCGAAGAGAAGAAATCAGAACTCAACACCAAGAAGAATGAATTCAAGATTAAACTGAAAGAATTGGAAGATAACTTGCTAGAAAATCTTAAGTACAAAGGTGATTTGCTTGGAAATGTTGAACTAATTACAGGTTTAGAAAACACAAAGAAAACAAGTGAAGAAATCAAGATTCAAGTTTTAGAATCTATTGAAACAGAAAAGGATATCAATGCTGCAAGAGAAAATTACAGAAAAGTTGCTAAGAGAGGAGCTATTCTTTATTTCCTTTTGGACCAACTTCAACTTGTAGAACATATGTACAAATATTCTTTAGCAGCTTTCAATGTTGTTTTCAACAGAGCAATTACTAAAACAGAAAAAGTTGAAAATGAGGACCTATTTGTGAGAATTGGCAAACTCATTGACTCTATTACTTATGCTTGCTATGAATACACTGAACGTGGTTTGTTTGAAAGACACAAACTCATTTTCATGACCAACCTTTGCTTCACTATCCATAGAGACATATTTAAACCAGAGCATTTGAATTTCCTCATTAATTGTCCAGCAGATCCAAACACTCCAAAGGAAAATCCATTTGCTGACTGGCTTTCTGAATCTTGTTTCAAGGCAATTTACAAATTAAGTCAATTAGAAGGTTTTGAAAAGTTATATGACGATATCTACAACTCAGGTAAGCGTTGGAAGCAATGGTCAATGCTTGAAGCCCCTGAAAAAGAAGGTTTACCACAAGATTGGAAGAAGAAGACAAACTTTGAGAAGTTGTTAATTATTAGAGCTTTAAGACCAGACAGAATTACACAGGCATTGAAGGAATTTGTTGGTGAGATTATGGGTGATAAGTTTGTTCAGTCCATTCCATTCTCTCTTGATAAGATATTTGCCGAGTCGAGACCTAACACTCCTCTCTTCTTCATTCTCTTCCCTGGTGCTGATCCAATCAAGAATATTGAAGCTTTGGGTAAAAGACTTGGTTTCTCTGAAGAAAATGACAAGTTTGTAAACATTTCTATGGGTAAAGGTCAAGAAGAACATGCAGAAAAGACATTACGTAAATCCTATGAAATTGGTGGATGGGTGGTGTTGCAAAACATTCACTTGATGCAGAAATGGTTGCCAACTCTTGAACGTACTCTTGAAAAGCTTTCTGAAGGCTCTCACAAAGACTTTAGAGTGTTCCTAACAGCTGAACCAACTCTTAATCCAGTTATTCCACAAAGTATTCTTCAAAACTCTATTAAGATCACAAACGAACCACCTCAAGATCTCTCAGCAAATCTCCACAGAGCCCTTTCGAACTTTTCTCAAGAATTCTTTGAGTCCTCAATCAAGCAAAGCGAATTCAAGACTATATTATTTGCTCTCTGTTTCTTCCATGCAGTTGTATTGGGTAGAAGAAAGTTCGGCTCTCAAGGATGGAGTAGAAACTATAGTTTTAACAATGGAGATTTGACAATCAGTGCAGACGTCTTGTATAACTACTTGGAAACCAATGATGCCATTCCATGGGAAGATATCAGATATATCTTTGGTGAAATTATGTATGGTGGTCATATTACTGATCACTGGGATAGAAGAACATGTACAACCTATCTCAAATGTTTACTTAAAGAACAATTATTCGATGAAACAGAGTTAGCCCCTGGATTTAATGCTCCACCTTCAATGAACACTCTTGATGAATACCATGAATTTATCAATGAAAAACTTCCAGCAGAATCCCCATTGCTGTTTGGCCTGCATCCAAATGCTGAAATTGACTTTTTGACAAACCAATCTGAAAGTTTATTCAAAGCCATAATCAAGATTAGAGGTGAAAGTAGTAATACATTTGTTAGTGATCATGTTGAAGATACACTTGCTCTCCAAATCGATGAATTATACAATACCCTCCCTGAAAACTTTGATTTGGATGAAATCTCTGGAAAGGCTGATAAGAAGATACCATTCGTTGCTGTCTGTTTGCAAGAATGTGAAAGAATGAACATCTTACTCAGTGAGATTAAGAATTCATTGACAGAATTGAAGATGGGTCTGAATGGTGAATTGACAATGTCAGAGCAAATGGATAAGTTGAAAAAGAGCTTGTCTTATGACCAAGTTCCAGCTCGTTGGGAGAAGGTTGCATATCCATCTGTTAAACCATTATCCCTTTGGTTTGAAGATCTTATTAAGAGAGTGAGACAATTAGAAGAATGGAGTTCAGAGCTGACTCTCCCAAAGGTACTTTGGTTATCAGGTCTTTTCAATCCGATGGCTTTCTTGACAGCCATTATGCAAACATCTGCCCGTAAGAATGGTTTCCCTCTTGATAGAATGTGTATTCAAACAGAAGTCTTGAAAAAGACCAGATCTGAAATTCAACCTGTACCTCCAAGAGATGGTTGTTATGTTGATGGTTTTATTTTAGAAGGTGCAGGATGGGATATCAAGAGCAATGTTCTCAAAGATAGTGACCTTAAAGTTCTTCATTCACCAATGCCAGTCATTCACATCAAAGCTGTTCCAATTGATAAGAGAGACACAAAGAATATTTATGAATGCCCTGTCTATGTTACTCCTCAAAGAGGTCCAACCTATATCTTTACTGCCCAATTAAAGACCAAACACGATGTATCCAAATGGGTATTAGCAGGAGCTTGTTTACTCCTACAAACATACAAATAAATGAATAATGTTAATGAATAAAAAAGTTGTAAGATATCTTTTGAAATCTAATTTATTCCTGTTTTCTTTTCTTTTTTTCCTTCTTTTCCTTTTTATGCTTCTTTCTCTTCTTCCTTTCCTCATCATCTGAGGATGAGTCCAACATTTTGCGAATATCTGAAATTCTTGACTCTAATTGAGCAATATAACTTGTTGTCGAATCTCTTTTCATTGGATAAACATTAAAATCCAATTTCTTTTTCTCCTCTTTCTTTTCTACAACTTCTACCTCTTTCTTTTCTTTCTTTTCCTTTGACTTCATGCTCTCTAGCACAGCCTTTCTCTTCTCAATTAGAGAATGAGACGACACCTCTCCTTTAGATTCCTTCATTTCTTTTACTATATCCTTGAGGGAATTTACGCTATCAAAAGAGAGAATATCTTCAGACTTTTCATTACTCTTTGTTTGTTGAGGCGTGTGAATTCTATTAGAAGGTACCACTTCGTCATCGTGTTCTATAATATTCCTCACTTTGGTCTCAAATACTTGTTTGAATAAATCAATAGAAGGTCTAGCTCCATCTTCCATCTTGTCTTGATTTTTCACAGATTGATCTGGATTTTGCTCCACAATGAAATCTTTTGCCAATACATGCGATTGCTTTTGTGTTGTTTCAGTTGTGGTATTTACAGGAATAGATATTGGATTACATCCAAAACGTTTGGAGAGTAATGGTTCTGGTCTCCAATCTGAGATAGTTCTAGACTTTTCTCGATTCACTCGAGTAGTACTACTTTTTGATGCCTCAGTACTACCATTGTCAGATGAGGAAACAAATCTATTAGACATAGATTTGGCTAAATGTTGTTGCATTTCTTTGGATTTCTCGCTTTGTCTTGAAGATTCTACCGACTTTTGATTGAGATTTGTAGATTCAAAAAGCTTCTTTCGTCTCTCTTCTGCAGCCATCAAGTGCAATTGAATTTTGTGGTCTAATTTTTTGTATTCCTTCTTGATAGCTTCTGTATTAAAAATGTGATTTGGTACAAAATCCTCAGGAACCTTTGGAGGCAAGTATTTGGTTTGATTGAGGAAAGGTTGTTTTGATTTAATGAAAATCAACTTCTCATCCCACGTATTTTCCTCACTCTCTTGGGTTGTTCTCAGATCTATATCATAATTACTCATATCATCTTCTTGGTAATACTCTTCTTCTGTGGTATTCTTCTTATTATTATGTACAGGTTTTTGAATATTTAATATATCATTAAGGGTTGAATGTTTGTATCCAATACCACATTTATCTTCCTTAATAATAACAGTCGATAATTTAGAATCTGTGTGCAATTCCACAGAATCTGTCTTGCTATATGATTTGACTCCAATACCTTTCGAAGGAATCCATCCCATTTTCTTCAATAAGGAATATCCTATATTTGTTTCATTTGAATCATAACTCCTATCATTCAAACTAATCAATTTTTCAGAACTGCCGAATAATGCTTCCAAATGTCTTTGATCTGAAGAATTAATCTTTCCTCCAAATAAATCAGAAATTGGATCAGCAATTACCTTGTTTGTCACTTTCATAAATTTATCTGTTGCTTGAACCTGTTTCGAACCACTCAATCCAAAAATCTCTTTCATATCCTCTTCATCCATAAAATCAGTAATCTTCCTCTCTAATCTAAAATCATTAGATGGATTCCAACCCTCCTTTGATCCAACAGTGTTGAAATAACCAGCAGAATAACCACCTGTAAAGGCTCCATGAAATCTTCTTCTTCCCTTTTCATCGGTTGCATATTGTTGATGTTCGGAAGTGTATCTTTCTTGATTATGGGCTTTTAATTCTCTTTCATTCTCTTCATCACCATCAAAGATTGGTGTTCCGAATAGAGTTTGATTATTTCTTCTTCTATTATGTGATGAAGAAGAATTGATTTGAGAATGTCCTAACCCTGCCCTTGATTCATGATGAGAAGAAAACCCACCATGATGATTATTACTACTGGTTCCTTGTTGATGTGCTCGATTATTCCGCTGCTGATATTGTTGATGATTATTGTGCTTACTATGATGATTAAACATTTTTTTGTAATTTACCTATTTTTATCATCTAATTTAAATAAAAAAATAAACAAAGTGTTTGTTAAAGGCTACTATTTCTTCTTGTTCAACAGTTTTGTTTTCTCGTGAAATGTACATTAATGTTAGAATTTATTGTTGTTGTTGGGTTGCTTTGGAAGAGAAATTCTTCATCATGAAAGGAAAGCGCCAAACTCGAAAAATATTAAAAAAAAATTGGAAACTAAAAAAACCGTTTCCTTGTTTTTTTGCCCATCACATCATCATCATTTGTTTTATTTATTGTTATCATGTCTGATTCATCATTATCTTTCTTTCAGAAGGAGACGATTCAAGTGATCGCTCAATCTGTGGGCATTACTAAATTAAAAGATGAAATTGCTCAAGCTTTGGCTCTTGATGTTGAATATAGAGTGAGAGAAATAATACAAGATGCTTCAAAGTGTATGAAACATGCTAAGAGAGGAGTTTTAACTACAGATGATATTAGTAATGCCTTGGCAATGAAGAATATCGAGGTAGGTAACTTTGTATATTATTTGATGATCATGAATGTTGTTTTAGCCACTTTACGGATTCAAAGGACAATCATCACAACCAAATAGATTTAGGAGAGTTAAACAAACGAAAGATTTATACTTTTTGGAGGATGTAGAACTTGATTTGAAGGATTGTTTGGAAAAACCTCTTCCAAAGATACCAATAGGACCATCAATATTTACACACTGGTTGGCCATTCAAGGTATTCAACCAAAGATTCCTCAAAATCCTACTATTGAAGAAACAGAATCGGAAAGAAAGAAGGAATCAAAAGATAAGGATCAATCCAAGAAAGTTTCATCATCACACGATCCTAATGTAGAATTTAAACCACTTGTCAAACATATATTATCGGAAGAACTCCAAATGTACTTTGAAAAAGTTACAGAAGCTATCAAAGATACTACAAACCAAAAGAAAGAACTAAGAAAAGCTGTCATTGAAAGCTTGGCAACTGATTCTGGTATTAATCAACTCGTCCCTTATTTTACTCAATTTATTGCTAGTGAAGTCACAAATAATATGAGAAATTTGACTCTTCTTTATAGATTGATGGAAATGACAAAAGCACTTCTTGTCAACCCAAATATTCATATTGAACTTTATGTATGTACTGCTTTGAATCATTTTAAATCTTATCATAGTATTAGCTTCATCAAATAATGCCTTCAATTCTGACTTGTATTGTTGGTAAAACTTTATGTGAAAATCCATATGAAAACCATTGGGGACTTCGAGACTTTTCAGCAAATACTATTGCCTATATTTGTCGCAAGTAAGTTTCTATTATATTTTTGAAACAGTATTCATCAAATATTTAAAGATTTGGCTCCTCATATCATACCCTCCAACCCAGAATTACTAAAACATTGCTTCATGCATTTTTAGATCCAAAAAGGTCAAGGGCAACTCATTATGGTGCTATTGTAGGAATTACAGCTCTAGGATCACATGTAACACAACTCTTGCTCTTGGAACCTCCTAAGAATTCTAACCTTAAAATATTTTGCAATTTACTCCTTCCTGAACTTGTTTCCTCTGACATGAACACTAAACACCAGGCCTTTATGTGTTACAAAGCATTATTAACAGCCCCTGGAAACTTTTTCACTCAACTTGCTAGGTTTTTCAAACTTGAACAACAGGAACGTGTGAGAGATCTTGGAGAAAATTCAAATGTTATTGAAGAGGATGATAATTATTACGAATCTCCTCAACTTGATTCATCAAAGAAGAGAGATTCCAACAAATCAGAGGAGGTTCTAAAGATTGAACAATTGACCAGAGAAATGAGAGAAAGAATGAATTCATCCAATATTCCAGAAGATGTTTCTGAAAGATATTCAGAATTCTTTGATTTGTTTGGTGAATCAGTATTTTCCTTCATTGACTATGATGTTTATAACAAGAAACCTGACAACTCTCCTGATGCATTCCTGCTTCGTGACTTGATTTTGTAATTAAACTTTTTAATGTACATTTCAACATAACTGGTCTGGATGACATTGTTGGTTCAAATGAGCAAACAGACAATTATTCTACCTCAACCACAGTAAAAAAACAAAATTTCATTCCACAATTTCATCTTACAAAGAATGGAATTAAGGATGTTAATTTAAAATCAGTATCGTGATCGAGCTAGATCACAGTTTTGTGTTCAATTGTAAACTCTCGGTTTTTCATATTCAGAATGCAATTGTTTTATTTATAGAAAAACAAAAAAAATGCAAACAAGAAACATACTCGTGTCCGGACTGGGTGGTGGTCTCGATATTCAAAATGCTCTTTTATTATTTAAACTTTTAAAGAATACACAAAAACACTCGAGTGAGCTTTCTGATGATTTTCAATTTAATATTGCTAATGTATACCTTGGTTCAGTGAGACCTTGTCGCCAAGAAAATATCAATGATCCGATTGATACAACAATTTCACCATTTGTAACTGTGATCGGAGCAAATAGTACAATTTCTATCAAGGGAAGATATTTTGAACCAACAATTGCAAAAGAATTAAATGAAAATGTAATCATGATGACAGGTTCAGTGGACAAGACACCTACTGTTGACACTTTGGCAATTGACAATTTGAAAGAAGGATTGAAAGCACTTACAGAAAAGTATCAATTGACTGATTTGATATTTGTTGATGGTGGTGGAGACTCTTTGATACTAGACAGTAATGACACAATTGATAAGGTAGGTCTATAATTGGAGTAATATTGATTCAATTTACAAAAAAAGATTCATAACAATGTATTTATTGGTGGAGATGCTGTATGCTTAGCTGCTCTCCATAAATTGTCTTTGGAATTACCAAATATCAATATAATTCAAGGAATTATTGCTGTTGGATTGGATGTTAACAGGAAAGCATTCAAAAAGAATGTTAAAGAAATTGGAGAACGTGGAGGATATTACGGAAGAGTAAATTTTTCAACAGGAAAATCAGTTGACACAAGAAATCATACCAATGTTTTTGTAAACTCTCTCACACGTTACATATTTGAAAATCAAATTGTAAGAGAGGCAACTTTACAGGAATTCTTTGAAGTTGCAGAAAAATATCTTGTCCTCACACCAGAGCACTGTAAAATCAAAGACGATCCAAAAGCAACAGAGAAGAGATTTATGAGTCATACTGCAGTTGTGACCTATCATGCTTTGAAGAATAATTTTGGACTTCAAAGGACATTTGTTCCTTGGGAACCAAAATTGAAGGAAGGAAAGGGAGTAGTTGTAGATGTTGACCATCAGTGGCTCTACCTACTCAATCCAGCCACTGCTGAGCAAATTAAAATTGACAAATTTAACACTGAATAAAAACTTTCCCGCCAAATAAATTGTTCAATTTTTAAATTTAAAAAAAATGAAAAGAAAACAAAAAGAAGCTCAAATCATTTCATCATCGGATGAAGCAGATGATGAAGTTGTTGTTGTGATTAATTCGAGTGATGAATCGGAAGAGGATGATAACGATTATGGTTATTCACTAGTAAAGGGTAGTGGCCAATATAAGTCTCTTTATGATTTTACTATTGTGTCAAATCCTGATTATTTGGAGAATGGAGATAAACCAAGGTTCTTTTCTATTGAAGGATTGACTTCGGTTGGAAAGGAATTATTTGCTTGTGGAATGTGCTTTAGTCATGACAAGAAAACTGACAGCAAAGTTGGCTCACGTTCAGTATTTGGACCTATTAAAGAATGGGCAATAGAATATAGATTCTTGCCTGTTGTTAGTATTTTGGTTGAAACTTCGTCAAAGGATACCGAGTGGATTGAACTTATTTCTCCAACAAAAGAATATTTTCACATATTCAATTCTACATATCAGACGATTGCTGTGTGCCATGCTTTGATTAATCTTGTTCAGAGACATCCAAAAGAGTCGTACGAATCTATTATAGAAATGGTAGGTTTATTGGAATTATTCAGTCTTTAACATTTAAATAGCTCAAAAAAGCACAATTGGCTTTTATTTACCACCCAACCATAAGAAATACTAAACCCATTGTAAGCGAGGATTACATTCTTGAAAAATCAAAATTTATTTCAGAACAATTCAATAGTTTACAAGAGACGAGGGTTTTAAACTCTTCATTCTTTTCACAACTAGTAAGTGTCTTCTTAAATTAATTCTAACGCATTTATAGGAGGACATAATGATGAGAGGGGGAGTTCTTGCTGAACTTATTACTTCATCTGAGGAGGAAGAGGATGACACTCAATCAACAAGCTCAGAAGAAGAGTTTGTTCCAAAGGGTGCTCACTCTGATCCAAGTGATGAATCCATGTCAGAAGTTGTCTCAGAATCATCAGATTCTTCTGACTCTTTTTATAAACCAAAATCTGTGAAAACTAAAAAGCAAACAAAATCTAAGAAAACCCTCTCTACTGTATCAACTAAAAAGGAAAATTTAATTAATGACGATTATTCGAGTGGCTCTGAGGAAGAAACTAAGACTAAGAAAACTAAAGCAAAATCCTTGAAGAAAACAACAGTCAAAAAAGAAAAGAAGGAGAAGGAAATTGTAAATAAGAATTTAGAACAAATTAAAGCCCATGACCTTGAAGATATCAAATGGGGAAAGCCAATCAGTAAGAAAATTGACGAATCAGGTCGAAAATATTTCAAGTCTTGTAAAATTTCAAAAGAGGAATATAATATTGGCGATTTTATCTACTTGAAAACTCCATATCTCAATCATGAAATGCCATACTATATTTGTATGGTTGATTCATTCTTTGAAAATTGGAAAGGTCAGCGTCAGATGCGAGTGAGATGGCTTAGAAGATATCAAGATATTAAGATACTTACTACAGGAGAATATCATAATGTACTTTGTTATGATCACCAGGAGTTGTACTTGACAGACGAATATGATGATGTGAGTATACTTACTTTAATTAATTACAAACATAATATTTTAGAACTTTATCAAGAACATTAAGGGAAGATGTGCTGTATTTTTTGTAAGAAAGACTGAAGATTTTGAAAAAATTGAAGGATCACGAGATAAGAAGGATATTTTCTATTGTAAAAGCAAGATTGTAATTGTTGGAGAACAGATTTCTCTGTTAGAGTTAAGTCCACAAGAAATTGAACTCACATTCAAATGTATGGAAAATAACTTGAATGCCATTAAGGACCAATTCATTCCAAAAGAAAAAATTACAGCTCTTGACATATTTTCTGGTTGCGGTGGGTTGAGCCTAGGGTTGGAAAGAGCAGGTATCCATGTTAAATACAGCATCGAATTTTGGAAACCAGCAGCTGATACTCATCACTATTATTTCAAAGATTGCCACACCTTTTGTAAGAATGCCGAAGAGTTCCTCAAGCACATTAAGGTGGCTAATGAATTGAAAAAAAGGTTTGGTCTTTTAGATAAAAAGTGTCAAATCAAAGGTTCACCTGGTAAGAGAAGAGTGATCCACATCAAAAATGCCAAAAGAAAGAAGGATGGATCTCTTTGGTTAATGGTTGAGAAACAGGGTCAAGATTTGTGGATGGATGTTGAAAAAATGGATAGTTATAGAGCAGAAATTGTACATTTTCTATCAACAAAATATGCAAACATACCAGCACCTGACGAAATTGATTTAATTGCTGGAGGACCTCCTTGTCAAGGATTCAGTTTACTGAATAGATTCAAAGAAACAGATTCATCAAAGTTCTTATCACACGATAAGAATCGTTTAGTTTTAGTGTTTTTGGATTATGTGAAATACTTTAAGCCTAAATATGTACTGATTGAAAATGTGACAGGTATTCTTAACACGACAGTATTTGATGTACCATCAGCAATCATTGAAAAGTTGGATGCAAGAGGTTATGAAGCCAAATTCTCAACAGTTAACGCACAACACTTTGGAGTAAGTTTTTAATATATTTCAATAACGTAATTTATCGTTAAAGTTACCACAAACAAGAACAAGAGTAATTTTCTTTGGTGCAAGAAAGGATGAAAACCTTAAAGTTCCAGATTTCCCAAAGAATACTCATGCTTCCCATAAAGTTAGTGCTGTTCTTGACAATGCCAGTCAGGTAAAACTTGTAGCAAATGTAAGAAAGATTGTTGCAGGACCTCTTCCTCCTGTTTCACTCAGAGATGTTATTAGTGATCTGATTCCTTTTGAGGATTCATCAGAATCAACTGCTGAATATCTACCTCCAAAGACAGTCTATCAAAAGCTCTATAGAAAGGATAGCGATACTTGCATTGATCACATTTCACAATCATATGGAGAGGTAACCTCAGCACTTATCAAATGTTTACCTAGATATCCTGGTTGTAATTTTAGAGATTTGGCAGAAAGTGCAAGACCACTTTTAAAAGAGGGTTATTTGACCTATAGAGACTTTTCCAAGAATATTCTAGCTAGATTGCAGTGGAGTAAGAGTTGCCCAACACTTGTCACTCACTTGAACCCATATAGTATGAAGGTAATTCATCCCAATCAACATCGAGTTATTTCTGTAAGGGAGGCTGCTAGATGTCAGGGCTTCCCTGACGATTTTATATTTACTGGAAGCATTCACGATAAGTACAAACAAATTGGTAATGCTGTTCCTGTGAATATGGCCAAGGCGTTGGGAGGTGAAATTATTAAGGCCTATACAAATCATCTTTTAGACAAGAATGGAAATAGAAGAGAGGTTGAAGCAACAACAACGAAGAAATTGAGAGAAAATATGTACAAATGGTTTTCAGATCTGAAGTCATGGGCCAGTAAGGACTATGAACCAAAACCTTTACTCAAGGAACTCATAGATATTCTAAAACCAATTGACAAATCTCTATGTGATGGATATCTAGTTCCACCGACAGACGAGGATATTCAATTCTTGAAAAAAGAAATACCGAGACTGGTTCAGAAACATGCCAGTGATACAGAAGAGGTTATTACCCAAGAAGTCAAGGTCATTTATAATGATTCGTCAGATGACGATGAAGCTGATGCAGAATGCTCAAATTCAGAAGAATCTGACAATCAAGACGAAGAAACTGAAATTCAAAAAGCTGCTTCTCAAAGAAAATCAAAGAAAGCTCCAGCCAAAAAGAAACCTGTTCTATCTGAAAGCTCTTCTGAAGAAGAAGAAGCTATCATTAGTATTTCTGATTCTGATTCTGATTAAAACATTTTTATTTCAGATAAATATCACATAACTTTAGTTTTCTTGTCATTTATCTATTAAGGCAGCGAAATTGAATTGGTTTATCATTCAACATATATAGCTTCCTCAAAGAGTGTTATATCGAAAGCTTATCAAACTGTCAAACGTTTGATGAATTTAACATTTAATATTTAAACACATTTTACAATAATTAAAAAAAATGGAACAAGACAAATTACAACCACTCTCACCAGGTACACTCACTCAATTTACCTTGAACATGATTGAAGATTGTTTTGATGTTTGCAACAAGAAACAAACTACAAGTAATAATTCATCATCATCATCACTCCACAAGGAATGTATCGGAAATTGTTATCAACTCTATCAACAAGGCTTTATCTATTTATTAAATCATTATCAAAATAATAACAATCAATCTAATTCTATCAATAATAATAATAATAATATTAATTAATAATTATTACAACAATAATTTCAACAATTAAAGGCTAAAAACAAGAGTGAAATTATTAGCTGGCATACTCACTCTCTCAATTAATTTCAATCCGAATTGATTGGCTTCCTTTTCTACTTGTTCTACATCTCTAATGCCCCACAATGGATTTCTCAATTTTAAATTCTCATCAAAGTTTCTATTGCCTTCACTTGTAAATTCACCATTAACATTGAAAGGACCATACAAGAATAGATAACCATTGCCAGTAGCAGCAGATGATGATGATGATTTTAAAATCTCACTCGCATGCTTCATCAACATGGTACAACACTTGAACGGCGAAATGTGTACAAGATTAATGGCAATAATGGCTTTAAATTTGCATTCAAAGGGCAATGATTCCTCTCTGGAAATATCAATAATGGTGGGTGTTAAAACATTGGATAGTGATGAGGTTCTTTCCTTGATAATTGCAAAATTCTCATCAGTCATTTCGGAAGGATGAAAAATCAGGTTTTGGAACTCTTTGGCAAAGTGTGAAACATGTTGACCATAACCTGAGGCAATTTCCAAGATTTGCTCTCCAGAATCTTTTTCATTGGAGAGGTATTTGAGGAGAACTTGCAAGATTGGTTCCTTGTTTCTTTCAGCTGCTTCACTATAGTTTGGCAAGGACATTTGTAATGTGTGTATTTTTTTTATTGTAAACTTGAATTGGGAATCGAATCTTTCCAGTTGACTTATGGTAAGGCATGGATGGATGAAGGTGGATTCTTCATTTTCTTACAAACTCTTCTTCTTGCATTAATGAAATAATTATTAACTTGAGCAACTGTGATGTTTGCTAATTTAGATAAATATTGTTTGTCGCTTTGATCTGGATATGGATTGTGCCAATTATCATACAACCACTGTTTTAGAATTAAATTTGCTGTTTCTGAAAGATATCTGGTTGACTTTTGTTTACATATTTTCTTATTTCCGAAAGTGGTAATTCCCTTATTGTCAAAATGGTTGGTGTTGTAACGAGTATTTGTATTTTCAACCCTAATAGAGTTTGAAATTCTGTGATGTGTTGTAATTTGATTAGTAGTTGATTCGTTTCTCTCTCTTTGGTTTTCGTTGTGAATAGTTTGATCGTTGATGGAGAGTGATGTTATTTTATCTGGTATTGTATTGTCAACATTGATACTCTCTTCTTTACGAACAGTAACTTCAATCTCTCGCAATAATTCTTTAATTGAAGGAAGTTTCGATTGGTTAATATTTGGTAGATGTTGGTAGTGTTGTATTGAAGAAGGTTGGTTAATTATTTGTTGCTCGTGAGGAGGAGTGGAAAATTGTGTAGAATGAGCTGTCGAGTAAGAATTAAAGGTTTGAAAGTTATCATGGTTGAGTAGTCTATTGTTTCCTTCAAAATATGTTTGATTACTGCCATATCCTGTATTCAAAGTGTAGGTGGGGTATTGTTTACTGTTTGAAGGAACACTTCTTGCTGAGATGGGAGTAGCATTGAGTTGACTAATATGCCAAGCTTTTGAAAATGTAGTATGGTCAAAGCATGCAGTTGAAAAGTTAGTGTTTTGATGTTGAGGTTTCATGTTGTTTTTTTGTCTTTTGATTTAGAATGATGGTTCTTCATATCGCAATTTATCAAAACCCTTTTAGAATTATTCCTGCTCAATTCCCAAAGGAGCTTAATTTGTATTTTGACAAGTGCTATGAAATTAAAATTGGAGGGAATCAGATTAAAGACGGAACGATACATGATCCCATTTCCAAACTTGAGCTATCAATAAAGACATGAAAAGTTCATAAATTTAAACATTTAAAAGTTTACAATCAGTTTATTTAGAAGAAGAAACAAACAATAGCAACAACAGCCATTAAAGCAAATGAAACAGTTGAAGTAACAGCAGAAGAGGTCTTGACATAAATGCTGTTAACAACAAATCCAGTTTCAGAAAGGAGAGACTTCCATGAGTTAGCATTAGCATCATAGAACTTTAAGAAGTTTTGGCCACCAACAGCTACTGATCCAGACTTGCAACCAGTAATTGTGTATTGACTGAAAAGACCACAAATATCCATACCGAGAACAGTTTCTTTAGGATAGTTAGTACCAATGACAGCATAATCGCCAGTACCATCACGTCTCTTAACAGAGGATTCACTGTTTGATACTTGACATTACCACCAGCAAAGATAGAACCAACATTTGAGGCAGACAATCCCTTAATGTATCTAATCTTGTTAACTGCACCAGTGGTAACTGAACCAGCATCAGCAGACCAAGCAGCAGACTTGTGATTATAGTTACAGACACCCTTACATTCAGTCTTAGCGAAAGAAGTAGCAGCAACGAAAATGTTATCAGTGCTGAAAATATTTGGATTATAATAGATATCAGTAACACCAGTGGCTCCATCAACAAGAGTCCAAACACCAGGGGAATTAGTAGTGTCATAGATGGCAAGACCAAATTCCTTACCATTAGCATCGTAGAATTTACCACCATAATAAACCTTATTGTATGTGATTAATTGGTATTCATTTTTGGCAACAACTGTTACAGAAGTAGCATTCACAGCAGTTTGTGTTTCCCACTTCTTATTCTTGTTGTGATAATACAAGAAGTTTGTGGCAGTACTACCGGAGACAGAGGCCTTGAAATTACCACCAACAAAAATGTCACAAGGGAAAAGACCAGAGATAGACATTGAGTCAGGAAGGGATGTACAATCGGTATCAATAGCAGTAACAACAGATCCAGCAACGAAATCTGATGAAGAAAGACCAGTATCAATCCAAGCAGCAGTGTAAATGTTCCAGATAGCAACTGGACCAGTCTTCTTAGTTCCGACTTGAGTGAAAGCACCACCAATATAAACGTTTCCGTATACATCAACATTGACAACCTTAACTTCACCATCAGTACCATTTTCCATGGCCTTCAAAGCAGATTCCTTCAAATCATAGTAAGCAATATTGTTGTATTTAGTACCGTTCAAGGTATTGAAAGAACCACCTGCGTACAATAATGATACAAAGATGATGATATTGAAAAAATAAATAAATTTCATCACGTGTTATCTTTCTACATACCAAGATAAATTCTTGTGGTCAAAGGAGTTGCTGGAAGAGTAATGGCAGTAACCATGCAAGCGAAGAACAAAACGCAAGCAGCAGATAACAATGTCTTATACATCTTGTGTTTTTGTTTTTTTTTGATCTGAGTTGGGAGAGAGTTAGGCAGCCCACAATTTAACGAGTGTATGAACAAGCACACCAATACAACCAACGTGAAGCTATCTGTTGGGCGGGAAAGAAATTACAAAATAAAGTTCAAAGTTGAGGAATTTGTTAGCCAATAACCATACAAAATCGACATATTCAACGTTCAACACCTCTTAAGGAATATTCAACACCTTGTGAGGCTGGAGAGAACTTTTAATCCCTTATTTCTCAGCTTGTTTTAAAAAATCTCTAATTCGTTGAAGGAGGAAGAGAAGAATGAACTTTTTCATCCTAATTGAATTGAAACAAGGTGATGTTTATGATACTGTGTTTAAATACATCATTTATTAAATATTCGGTGGTGAGATGTGGTGACTCAGTGCATGACTGACTGCTAGTTAGAAAGAGTCCCCTTTGCTTGTGTGTTGAAATCGAAACAAAAGGAAGAATAAATTTTTTAGGGCAATCGTTTACCTGGCGCAAATTTCACTTCCTAAAATGTAGCTTGAGTAAGACATTAAATCATTACAATATGTATATTATTAAACACAACTACGGTTCGGGTGGTGGTACTCGTGCAAGTTTTGTGGTGATTTTGGGACACAATAACTCCAACAAAAAAAAGAGGCAAAATTGTCAACTTGTTATTAAATTGCTGTGTTAACTTTATTGAAGAAAATATTCATGATTTACAATAAGGCATACTCCTTACTGATCATTCTTTGATACAAGTAGTAACCATTCATCATGTGAACTGTCATGTCAAAGATAGTGAGGAAGAAATCAATAGTTACGTGTTTTTCTTTACGATATTCAACAGAACTCCAATCACGAATTCTCTTTGCATAATAACCATCTGTCCAAGTGATGACATAAAACAAATGACCAATTAAATGGAGTACAACAATGATAGAGTAAAAGCTTCCCATCAAATCACTCAATATAAAAAGAATAGAGAAACCACTCAATCCGTCATAGAGAAACCACTTTCCCATTCCTTTTAACTTGGCATTGGACGGTTGATAAACTCTGGTAAGAACCAAACCATGTGTGAGAAATAGGTAGATTTCAGAGAGGAAAAGAATTGGGTAGAGGATTTCAATCATGTTGTTTTTTTGTGAGGTGTTTATAAATTGTTGGAGGGGATTTGAATTGAATAGAAATGGCTTGGTTTTGATTCTTGTTGGTGACAATTATGTAGTGTGCATGGATGATCTATGAACTAATTCTATTTGCCATCACCTTGTTTAAATACCCTCCAACATGTTTAAACACCCTCTGAAAGGGAAAACTGAAGAAAATGAGATTTTAAAAGATTGGGTTGACTGGTTTTTTCAACACGTTTACAATGAGACGATTTTTCAACCAACTCAAACTGTAACATGAAATTGTTGAGGACTTAGACCTCAATTTGTAAACTATCTATCACATAAAAAACCTTCAGGTAGGACGACACAACAAATCTCCGTACAAATTTCCATTGCTAATTCGCGCCAATGTTGGTTGCGCTTTTCCTCCAAATAATTTTAAATCAAGGAAAATAAAAAAAAATGTCTACGACTGCAAGCTCTCCTTATAAATCTGCCATCAATTTTATCAACCAATTCCAAACATTGACCAACTCTGGTCTTGGTAGAGACAAGGCAACAAAAATTATTCAATATGGATGTAAAATTATTGAGGAAATTTTAGAAAAATCAGCTTCTCCAGCCAATGATTATAAAGATTTGATTGTCCGTGTTCAAAGAACAAGTGCCGGATTAGCAACTGCTCGTAGAGTGATGCGTTTCTGGAAACCATTCCAAGGATATGTTGCACTCCTTCAATTTATTGAAAGTTTGATCAATGGAAAGAAACAAACAGTGATTGGTATTTTCGAACTTGTATCTAAATTATGTATGGCACACTACTTTTTGATGGATCACTTGACATGGTTATCTAAAGAAAAGATTTTATCGGAATTGCCTTTAGAATTAGCAGAAAAGAGTCAATCATTTATTGCAACTACTTTCAACAACAATAAGAATGCTGATTACTCTCGTAGCAGTTCTAATTTCTGGTTTTATGGAGTAGTCTTTGCTTTGGTTGCTCACGTTTTGAAATATTCCGAATATTTGACAAAGGAAAAGAAAGAATTTGATATTACTAGAGACGTCAATCAACAAAAGATGTTTAGAACATTTATTGCTCTCGTTTGTGATTTGGGAACAGCAGCCATTCTTGCCAAGAAGATTAGCTACCAAAATAAGGCTGCACTTGGTGTTTTCGGTGTTGCTTCTTCATTAATCTCAATTTATGACAATTGGCCATCTCAATAATTATTTTTAACTGTAAATTAAATGTATATTTTAACTGTAAATGATTCGTTAGTAATATAGGAAACTATGTTAAATTAAGCTGAATTAATTTATTACGAAATAAGAATGTCCTTAGCTATAGAAACGAAACAGTATCGTATTGATACCACATTTTCAAAATCTCACCATATGGTAATCTCTGAAATATATTGTATTGACACCAAAAAGTAATTTATCAAATATTTGTTATTTAAAAACTTATCTGAAAAATCATTAAATGTGATTTTAGAGATAAAGATAATGAAAATATTGGATAATTTATAAGATAAAATATTAATTCTTCAAAAGTTTATTGAATTTTGAAATTTAGATTAAGACCTTAACAAAGAAATATATAAAAATCTTCATACGTTAGTAATGGTTCCGTGTGGTGATTGTTTGGGTGGAAATGTTTCTCTCTTTAATTTTGTACACTGTTTTCATGTAACACTCTTGGAAAGTTAAATGAGGTTTTGTCTGATTACTAACAGAAAATTTCTCTTGGATGGCCAGCAGCTTCTTCTTCATGGATTGGGAAACGTGTGGTTCATTCAATAAAAACGAAACAACGCTGCAAATATCTAATCGCACCAACAAATCTACTAATGTCTTGTTTTCAACTACACTAGGATCATAAAATTTTGTGAGCAGTGATGGTAACCATTTGATTGGATCTGAATATTCAGCTTTTTGTAAATTACACAATAAAGAACTTGTACTGAGAGTTTGTTCTTCATACCTGACGGGAAAGGAACGGAATTCATAGGCAAAAATTAAAACCAATAGTACAATACTGTGTTTGGACATTTTTTTCTGTTGGATTTTATTCCATTATTAGGTTCCATTTGTAAACTTTTAATGCTAGTTCAAGATGATAAAACACAAATTCAATAACAATGTAATAAGAGAATGGTGGGTTTCAAAACATTACCTTGAACACATAGACTTTTTCAAAATGGTTTTGCAGGACCATGGTATAGATTTGGATAGGAAGAATAGAAACGTTGCACTGACCCCAATATTTTGAAGGATTGCAAAGAAGAGCTTAATGACTTTTGGTGGTACAATTTGATTGTTGTGATGAAATTAATCATACCTATGATATGGGTGGTGAGAAAAGAGTCAAAAAAACAAGATAATATTTGTGGTGTCTACTAAAGTTATTTATTTATATGAAATAAGAATTTTCCTGTTCTTGAGCTTTCTTTTGGTTAAGAAGATCAACTATGACTTTTTGTAGATCGCCATTATATTTCCTTAAATACTTTAAATTTTCATTCTTGTCCACGAACCCCATATCAATCAGAATTGCTAGTTCCTTCTCGTATGTAGTAGCAAGGGTATTTACATCACTAGCAGAGGTAGTAGGAGTGTTAGAGTTGAGTGTTGAGAGGCTCTTTTCAAATGATTGACTGAGCAATTGTAAATTTACATTTTCATCATTTGCATCTGGAACTTTTGGTAGTATATGAGGATTGAATGTGTGATGGCCTCCATAATGTTGATCTCTAATATCAGAATTATTATAACATTCCTCACAAAGGTCAAAATTTTCACAATCAGCACACTTGTATCTTTTTCCAACAAAATCTCTAATCTGACAACCATCACAAACAGTTCCATAATGTGGTCCATTTTCACTATCTGGTATTACTAGAGAATCCTGTTGTTGTTGCAAATTTGGTAAAAATCGATTCATTAATCCAAGTATTTCAGGAATAACTTGATGAGCATTACTAGGTGTAATATCTCTTCTAACAGTTGTATATGGTGAATATCTATTATTTGAGGTGGCATCTCTTCTCTTTGATTCTATTGTTTTTTTAATCAATTGAATTTTGAGAAGAGCCATCTGATTCGTGTGACACATATGTAAAGCTGTAACCCATTCTAACTCACTACTAAAATCAATCCAATCTTTTTCATCATCCTGATATCTAAATACATAAGTATCCAATGAAACACTTTCTTTGAAACTTGTATTAAAATCTGAAATAAATTTATCCAACGATAATAAACCATAGGGAATCAACATTCTTCTCACTTGTGTTGGTGAACACTCAACTCCATTATTATGAATAAACACTTTGCTGTTGATATTTCTAATCAGCTTGCTTTCCGAATTATCAGTCTCCATGATCGTCCTATTAATGCAATGGTTAGTATCTTGTTGAATTGTTTTTTTTAAATTCTATTTTTTGTCTGGCTTCCTTTTTATCCTCTTTGGTGGAACAATTTCATTTTATTGCTTGTACCACAATGATGAGCATGGAAAAACTGAAAGGCATTCAACCAGGATGAAAGTGCGCCTCTTCAACAATCAAATTGCAGCATACCGCTGATCACTTTGTTTTTAACGTTTTATTTTTAATTAAATTTGCAATTCATAAAAAATGAGCATACAACCCAGCCAAAATGTTACACTAGAAGAGAAGGTCCACGAGAGGGTTGTGCAGCACGTGCATCTTCCTAAACGTATTTCTCAAATTAAATTTAGTGTTTTTACTCCGGAAGATATTAGAAGAATGTCTACTGTACAAATTTATAATCAACATTATTATACACCTGATAAGAGAGGTTTTCCTCATGGTCCTCTTGATCCTAGGTTAGGTACCGGAACAAAAAAGGATATTTGTGAGACTTGTGGATTAGGTGTTGCTGATTGTATTGGACACTATGGATATGTAAAGTTAGAATTACCTGTTTTTCATATTGGTTTTATTTCTAATGTTGTGGAAGTTTTACAAAGAATTTGCAAGGATTGTTCTCGTGTTTTACTATCAGACTCTGAAATTCAATCATTCAGAAACAAATTCAAGAGGCCGATGGACAACCAACAAAAGAAAGCTTTATATAAGAAAGTTGGTGAATTATGTAAAAAATGTTCTCAATGTCCTCATTGTGGATCATTGAATGGAAAAGTAACCAAATTGAATGCAATTAAAATAGTACACGAAAAGTACAAAGTTGCCTCAACAAGAAAAGGAAAGGATGACATTGATCAACAATCAAGAGAATTCCAAAGTGAATTTGGATTGGCTGTTCAATTAAACCCTGAAATCGAGCCATTTTTAGGAGAGGCACAGGATGACATTAATCCAATTAGATGTCTTAGATTATTTAAAAATATTTCTGATACAGATGTGGAAGTTTTGAACATGAATCCTAAGGTTGTAAGGCCTGAAAACTTTATTCTTACACACATTCTTGTTCCACCACTTGTTATTAGACCAACTGTTAATACTGACGGTGGTACTAATGAAGACGATCTGACAGCACAAATGAAGAAGATTATTGAAACAAATATTATTTTGAGAGAAAGTGTTGAACAAGGTGCAATTGTTCAAAATTTTATGGAAAAATGGGATACTTTGCAACTTGAAACAGCACTTTATATTAACAGTGATACAAGAAATATTCCATCATTTGTAACAAAGAAGAAGGTTAGTAAGACTCTCTGCCAAAGACTTAAGGGTAAGCATGGTAGATTCAGAGGTAATTTGAGTGGTAAAAGAGCCAACTTTACTGGTCGTACTGTCATTTCACCTGATCCAAACTTGGAAATTAATCAAGTTGCCATTCCAGAGTTGGTTGCTAAGGTACTTACTTATCCTGAAGTTGTGAACAGAACAAATAAGAAATTATTACAGTCATTAATTTTGAACGGCCCAGAGGTTCACCCTGGTGCAAACTTTGTTATTAAGAGTGATGGTATTAGAAAGAACCTTGCTTTTGCCAAAGATAAGATGGAAGTTGCTAAAAATTTAAAGTTTGGTGATATTGTCGAACGTCACGTAATGAATGGAGACTATGCTCTTTTCAACAGACAACCTTCATTGCACAGACTCAGTATTATGTGTCACCGTGTTAAGGTTTTACCTTACAGAACATTCAGATTTAACGTTTGCGACTGTGCTCCATATAACGCTGACTTTGATGGTGATGAAATGAACGTTCACATTCCACAAACAGAAGAAGCAAAGGCTGAAGCTGGTATGCTTATGGATATTCTTAAAAATCTTATTACTCCAAAGAACGGTGACCCAGTCATTTCTTGTAACCAAGACTTTTTGACTGCTGCCTGGAAAATGACAAGAAAAAATACTTTCTTTGATAGAGCAGAATTTTGTATGCTTTGTTCTTATATGGGTATTGAGGATAAGAAGATTGATCTTCCTCCTCCAACTATTTTGAAACCAATTGAGTTATGGACAGGAAAACAACTTTTCTCACTTTTAGTTAAACCAAACAATAATACTAATGTATTTGTCAACTTTGAAACAAAGGCTAAAAACTACCTTAAAGATGAAACAATGTGTCCTAATGATGGTTATGTTTGCTTTAGAAACAGTTATTTGATTTGTGGTAACTTGGATAAGAAAATTCTTGGTGACGGCAGTAAGAGTTCATTGTTTTATGTTTTAATTAGAACTGTAGGTCCTGCTTATGCTGCAGCTTGTATGGCCAGAGTAGCTAGAGTTGCATCTAGATGGTTGATGAATTATGGTTTCTCAATTGGTATTGACGATGTCATGCCATCTGCACAACTTACAGAAAAGAAGAAGATGATTTTATCTGAAGGTTATGCTGTTTGTGACGAATATATCAAACTCTATAAGGATGGTAAATTAGAACCTCAACCAGGTTGCAATATGGAACAAACTCTTGAAGCAAAACTTAACAGAGAACTTTCAGAAATCAGAGGTAGAGCTGGTAGTATGTGTTTGGATGAGTTGCATTGGCTTAATGCTCCACTTACCATGTCTGTCTGCGGTTCTAAGGGTTCCGTTATTAACATTTCACAAATGATTGCTTGTGTAGGTCAGCAAACTGTCGGTGGTACTCGTATTGCTAACGGTTTTATGAACAGAACACTTCCTCACTTCCCAATGTTTGCCAGAGATCCAGCTGCTAAGGGATTCGTTTCAAACAGTTTCTTTACTGGTCTTACTCCAACTGAATTCTTCTTCCACACTATGGGTGGTAGAGAAGGTATCGTCGATACAGCTGTCAAGACAGCCGAAACTGGTTATATGCAAAGAAGATTGATGAAGGCTTTAGAAGATTTGTTTGTTGCATATGATGGTTCTGTAAGATCAGCTGACAATACTGTTATTCAATTCAAATATGGTGACGACGGAATGGACCCTCATAGAATGGAAAGTGAAGAGAGTGGTAGACCTCTCAATTTCACATTTGTTATGATGCATGAGAAGAATATAAATCTTCCAACCAAGGATGAAAAAGCTCTTACACCTGATGAAATTAGACAAAAGCTTGATTCCTTCCTCAAAGAAAAGGAATCTAATATATTTTCTGATAAGTTCATTGATGAATTGAGTACCTTCACAAACAATTATATTTTCAAGTTGGAAAATTTATTGAAGGGTGTTGCAGCAGCCAATAGTATTAGAGATGAAAATGAAAATAATGCATGGGAAAAGGTTGTTCACTATATTGAAAAGATTACAGATAGACAACTTACTTCATTCTTCCGTGCTTGTAGAAGCAAGTATTTCCGAGCTCTTGCTGAACCTGGTGAACCTGTAGGCGGTATTGCTGGCCAATCTATTGGTGAACCAACCACACAAATGACATTGAAAACTTTCCACTTTGCTGGTGTTGCCAGTATGAACGTTACTTTGGGTGTTCCTCGTATTAAGGAAATTATCGATGCTACCAAGAATATCAGTACTCCTATTATTACTGCTTACTTGGATACTCCACTTACAGCAACTAAGAAACAAAAAGAAATGGCTGCTCGTGTTGTTAAGGGTAGAATTGAAAAGACCACTCTTGGTCAAGTTGTCAACTACATTCGTGAAGTTTACAATTTGGGAATTTGCTACATTGAGATTGATTTGGATGTGAAACAAATTTCTGCACTTCAACTTGATATTACACCTGAAACTGTCAAGAATAGTATATTGTACTCTCCTTTAATGAAATTTGAAAAGGGTAAAGAAAAATCAAAGGATAAGACCAAACTTTCTGATGAACCAAATCTCGTACAGATTCAAAAGGGTAAAGTAAGAGTTTATCCACCATCTGTAGATAGAGATCGCATGTACTTCAATATTCAAAAATTGAAGAGATACTTACCTGAAGTTATTGTTGCTGGTATTCCAACTACCAACAGAGCTGTCATTAACGAAGAAAAAGGAAATGTTTATCTTTTGGTTGAAGGTACTGACTTGTTGGCTGTTATGGGCACCCCAGGTGTTCTAGCCAAGACAACCAAGACCAACAATATTATTGAAATTTCACAAACTCTAGGAATTGAATCAGCAAGACAACTTATCATGGATGAAATCAAGTACACAACTGGTAGTTATGGTATGAATATCGATACCAGACACATTAAGCTCTTGGCTGACATTATGACATTTAAGGGTGATATTTTCGGTATTCAAAGACACGGTATCATTAAGATCAGAGACAGTGTATTGAAGATGGCCTCTTTCGAACAAACTACAGACCATCTCTTTGAAGCTGCTTCTCATACTCGTGTTGATGATGTCAATGGTGTTTCTGAATGTATTATCATGGGTGTTCCAATTCCAATTGGTACAGGTTTATTCAGATTATTACAAGATGCTCATGTTGATAAGAAACGTTCATTACCAATCAATAGAAAGAAGCCTATTTTTTCAACTAAATCATTACTTTCATAATTTATTAAAGATTAAATAATTTTTAAATAATGTTAATTTTTTTTAATAAATAAAATGCAAACAAGTGATCAGCAAGAAACAACACCATCATCGGAGGAGCAATCAAACATTGCCGATCAAAACACTTCTGATAATAATAATACCACAACAACAACAACAACAACAAATACAAGCACTTCGGAAGATGTACAACAAGCCAATCAAGAATTATCAAAAGAATTAAAGTTGGCAATTTCCGAATTGTCCTTTGGATTTCAATCGATATTTAAACCAGAATTTGATTCTATTTGTTCCCATTTACAAGAGTTGAGGTTGGTTTTTAAAATTAATGGTGATGAATTTAAAACAATTTAATAATTGGAATGTCAAAGACAATCACAACAAATAATACACGATATTGTCAAGGAAAGAAATCAGGATCTTTCTTCAGTTCCTCACATGCAAGAAATTGAACAAGTTGTAAGTAATTATCAGGAATTGGGATTGTATTAATTTTTTGATGTTAGTTATCACTCATGCCACAATATATCAACAAATTACATCATTTGAAGAGTGAAATGAATGCTGTGCAAGAAAAGACAACCAAGATAAAAGTTAGATCAGATAAATTATTGAAATAAAGTCAATATTGAGTGACTAATTTATTTATTTAATTGATCTCTGATCCAATTTAAAGCAGAACCAGCTCTGAACCATTCAATTTGAGCATTATTCATTGTGTGTTGAAGTGGAATTTGAATTTCTGGCTTTCCTTTTACAGTTAAAGTGAGTGGAGAATTTGGCTTTAAGTTTTCAACACCAATAACTGAAATTAAATCAGTTTCTGGATTAATCAAATCATAATCATTTGGATTGACAAAAGTTAATGGCAAAATACCTTGCTTTTTAAGATTAGTTTCATGGATACGAGCGAAACTTCTTGTAATGACAGCAACACATCCCAAGAAACGTGGTTGTAAGGCAGCATGTTCACGAGCACTTCCTTCACCATAGTTTGAATCACCAATAGCAATCCATGATTTCTTATATTCTCTTTGATAACTCTTGGCAACTTCTGGAACTGTATCTTCCTTTCCATTGAAAACATTCTTAACCTTATTAATCTTTCCATTCATGGCATTAACAGCACCAATTAGAGTACAATTACTGATATTTTCCAAGTGACCCTTATAATTAAGCCATTTACCTGCTGGTGAGATGTGATCAGTTGTACATTTACCTGCAACCTTAATTAAAACAGGAAGTTCAATAAAGTCCTTTCCATCCCATGCATTCCAAGGTTCCAAAATTTGTAAACGATTACTCTTTGGATCAACGTTAACATCAATCTTTTTTGCTTGTTCAATATTAGTGAGAGGTTCCAAATATCCACCATCAACCTTTTCATAACCCTTAGCTGGCAATTCATCACTTTGTGGAGGTTGGAATTTGAATTCCTTTCCATCTGATCCAACCAAAGAATCAGTAATTGGATTAAAATCAATTCTACCAGCAAATGCCATAGCCATTACAAGCATTGGTGATGTTAAAAAGTGACTAGTCAGTAAATTACCATCATTTCTTCCACTAAAGTTTCTATTAAATGATGAAACAATTGAATTCTTTTCACCTTGCTTATCAGTTCTATTCCATTGTCCAATACATGGTCCACAAGCATTGGCCAAAACCTTTCCTCCAACTTGTTCAAAAATATCTAACAAACCATCTCTCTTCATGGTTGCAAAGATTTGTTCTGAACCAGGTGAAATGAATAAATCAGATTTACATTTCAATCCATGTGCAATTGCTTGTTTAGCAATAGATGCAGCACATGTATAATCTTGATAACTTGAATTTGTACAAGAACCAATCAATGCAGCACTCAATTCAGGTGCCCAATCATTTTCCTTAATACTCTTAGAAAATTCAGAAATTGCATGACTTCTGTCAGGTGTTGCTGGACCATTAAGCATTGGTTGCAATTCATTCAAATTAATTTCAATAATTTCATCATACTTTGCACCTTCATCAGCTTTCAAAACTTGAGCATAACGATCAGCGTTTTCAGCAATTTTACCACGATTAGTGGCACGTAAATATCTTGACATGGCTTGAGTGTAAGGGAAAATACTGCAAGTTGCACCAACTTCAGCACCCATATTACAAATAGTTGCCATACCAGTACAAGATAAAGATTCAACACCTTCTCCAAAATATTCAATAATATAACCAGTACCTCCCTTGACAGTTAATTTACCTGCCAATTTCAAAATGACATCTTTAGCACTTGCCCATTCATTCAATTTTCCAGTTAATTTAACACCCAAAATCTTTGGTCTTTTCAGTTCCCAAGGAATTCCACTCATAACATCAACTGCATCAGCACCACCAACACCAATTGCAACCATTCCCAAACCACCTCCATTTGGAGTGTGTGAATCACAACCAATCATCATACCACCTGGGAATGCATAATTTTCCAATACAATTTGGTGAATAATGCCACTTCCTGGTTTCCAAAATCCAATTCCATATCTCTGAGAGGAAGATTCTAAAAAGTTAAAAACTTCACCACTTTCTTGGAATGCTTTTTCAACATCTCTTTTAGCAAGTGTTGGTTTATCACTTTTAATATCGAGAGATCCCTCACCAACAATTAAATGGTCACAATGGACACTTGTAGGAACAGCTGTTTTATCCATTCCAGTAATCATAAATTGGAGAATTGCTGTTTGTGCTGAAGCATCTTGTAAAGCAACACGATCTGGTTTAAAATTCAAATAACTTTCCTTTACACTTTGCAGTGTTTCACTTTCATTGAAGAGGTGAGATTGAAGAATTTTCTGAGCATAGGTCAATTTATCTTTACCTGATTTCATTCTTTCATAAATTTTAGCTTGTTGTTGAGTTGTATATTCAATGTCACTTTGTGGTGGTAAACTGGTAAATTTACGACAAGTTTGACTTGTTACAAAACACTTGTTGACCTTTTTCAAATTTCCAACAAGTTTTCTACTATTAGTTTTGTTCATTAACATTTTTCTAATTTTACAAAGGTTATTATTTCCAGAGTTTTTAGTGAAACAAAAAAGAATCAATTATTGAATTGTTTAAAGTGTGGTGTGGAAGGAGTAACACAATTCGCTTATTTTTTTTCGTGTGCTAGTTACAAGTTTGTTGCTTGTTGTGAATCATCTGCTTCCGGAGAATTATAAAGCGAAATGAATATGGGAGATGTTACGAAAATGGAAAGAATGCTGATTTGAGGACAATTTTACAGTAGATTTGTTGTAAACTTTATTTACTTTGTGTGGCAGCAAATGTCTCATTGGACTTGACATTGTCTACTTTTGGTGTTGGAAGAGGTAATTTGATATTGTTTCTATGTAAAACGTATTGAATTAAATCCTTTCCTTCATCAATATCTTCATCAACAAGGAGGTCACTAACTGTTTGGACAATTTCATTCAATTTACCATTATTGACAGCAACTTGTAAAATGCAAGAGCATGCAGCAATAAATACCTTTGAATTGTACTTGTCAATCTTGGTGGCGAATTTATAAACCTTATCATCATTGAATTCCTTATCAAATGCTGCAATAGTTTCCAAGAGTCTCAACAACCAGACCAATACAGATTCGTCCATTGAACATTCGGTAACCTTTTCAATAATGGTATTAATCAAGTCTTCATATTCACCATTCAATGCCTTATTCTTGCTCAACAATTGAGACAAAACAAATGCGTACTTGGTAATGTTTTCGTCTTCTTCATCTTGAATGCTGTTATTCAATGAGTCAATAAGGGCATCTTCTTCAACATCACCATTATTAATGGTATTAATAATAAGGTTTTCATTATAGTATGGGCTGGTGATGTTATCGCAAATGTCAGCTCCATTATTGTTAACTCCACCTCCAATGGACATGACATTATCCAAAATAAATAACTTGGCATCTTCACTATCATTTTCTACTGGAACTTCCATATCTTCAAGTGATTCCATCAAGTCATCTACTTGCAATTTTGGTACAGTTGGGTTCAATTCATAGAAATTGTGTTGAGAGCCAAACAATGATGCCAAATATGATACATGCTTAACATTGGCTTCAGTTTGTTTGTACAATCCCAAAATGGTTTTGATTGCATTAAAGTAATCAATCAGCTCTGGTTCAACATTCAAAATAATGTCAACAATAACCTTGCAACGTTGGGCATTAATCTTGGATGAAGAAAGCTTGCCTGGGTATTTCAATTCCAAATCTTCCTTTTCATCTTCACTATCTTCTTCGCTTTCATCTTCTTCATCAAAATCAACTTCATAATCAAATGACTTCTTGTTTGCCAGCAAGTTAATCAACAATAACATAATATGATTGGTATGTTTGAAAGTCTTGAATTGCATATTCTTTGACAATTCTCTCAATAACAACAAGCAGTTGGCTTGGATAACCTTACTTTCTCTGTTATCTTCGAGTAATAAACCCTTAGCAACAATTGTGAACAACTTCTTCAAAACATCACCACTTAAAGATGTTAAATGAGCTGGGTGAGAAGCCAAGAACTTCAAGACCATACTTGAAGCAATTCTCTTATCTTCATCAACATCGTCGTTCAAAATTTCAGCAGAGAGAGATTTACAAATGTTAACAATCTTTTCAGTATTAACAGATCCAATCATACTAGTTCTCAATGGCAAGGCATTGTACTTGATTTCATCATCTTGATCATAAGACAAGCACAAAACACTTCCATACAAGCTGGTCATATCTACATTATAATTTTCGTTATTGTACCATAAATCAATTACTCTTGCAAGCTTGATACTAGAAATGACAATGATCATTTCTTCTTCACCAATAATGGTGTTCAACAATTTGATGATGAGCTTCAATTGGTTCTTGATAATGAACTTATCAATTTCTTGGCTGTACTTGTTGATATAAACCAAGTAGCTTGATAAAGCATTAATACAAGCACTTCTTGGATAATCAGAATTTGAGCCACATGACTTGTCGGTACAGTTCTTAATCAATACGTCAAAGATGATATTCATGAGTTCCAAATTAGTGATTGGTTCCAAAGACTTGGTCTTTGTGAATAAATCTTCCATTGCCTTGAAAACTGATTCCTTAACTTCATAATTGTTGGTATGCTTAGATTCTTCCACAAGCACGTTAACAATATTGGCAGTTAAAACAGTAATCAAATCTTGAGTATCAGCCAATTTCATACATTCAACTGCTCTACTCAATGAAAGCATAGCACCAGACTTGATTGGATAAGAAGCGTGGAAGGTATTCTTGTAGACCAAGGACAACAAGTTGTTCAATTGAGTATTGTTGGCAGTAGTGGTAGAATTATAGAACTTGGTAATTAATTGAATAACGCTATAGTTACCAGCATCCAACAACAATGGATCGTCACTCTTTAACATGTGAATGATCATGTCTTGGACATATTGTAATTGATCCACAATATTGTACTTGATAGATTGTAACATGAAGAAATTGCAAATACTTTTGGCTGCAATAGCGTTACCATTACTTCCAGCCTTATCTTGTTCCTTCTTCTTCATTTGTTGTTCCAAAACTGGGTACAATTGTTTAACAATTTCAACAATATTGATGGTGTGATTGGTGGCAGTAGAGTCATTGTTAAAGATTTGGGTGTTCAATGACATGGCTTCAAAAGCAAGACAAACACCGTGTCTTTGTTGCCATTGAATATTATCTTGATTCAAGGTTTGAATCAAGTCACTGATGACTGATTCAACAGAAATAGAGTCAACAACACCTCCAACTTGAATCAAAGTCATTAAGAATTTGATAAATAATTGACCATTAGCTCTTCTTACATCAATATCTTGATCTTTGAAAGTAGTGAAAATAGATTCCGTATATCTATTCAACAATTGTGTTGATCCTAAAATAATTGGTGATTCTAATGATTTAGTCAAACTTCTAACAGCATATCTTCTAACATAGGAAGAATAAGAACCGAATTGAGAATCAGTAGCATGATTGAACAAAATATCAGTCATGAAAGTAAATTGTTCGTGTGTAATGATAGAGCAATTTCTCAAAATATATCCTAAAGTATTCATCATACCTTCAACGGATTTGTATGGTTCCTCAGGTTGTTTCTTCTTTGGATTATTCAAAATATCCAAAATAAAGTCTTGCTTTAAAAAGTCAGCACCAATAACTTTAGATAAACCTCCTAATGATTGTGATGTAGCATCTCTGACTTCTCTCTTTGAATCAGTAATGTTTTCCAAAATTAAATTCAACAAATCCTCGTTTTCATTAATTAACAATTTAATCAATTCTTGTTTTTCGAAAATAAAGTAGAAATGTACAAGAGCAAAAGCAATTGATTGTTTGAAGGACCAATCATCAAAATGAGACAATAAATCCTTGAATAAATTAAAAACTTCTTGGGCGTTTTGCAAAAGTGATGAACCACTGTGGTTATATTCTCCCGATTTAATTTCATCAAAAACTCTATCAAGAGCATTGATTAAATTTTGTTTCTTTTCTCTGTTTGGCCTATAAATATAGTTATCAATATTTAGAGTGATTGAAGAAAAACTTACTTATCAGCCTTGGAAACTTCAATAGTTTCCCTGAGGTTATCAAGAAGTGGTCGCCAACAGTCGTGTGTAGCCATTTTTTCAATTCCGAAATTTGATGATTCCTCTCCCAATTATTCAATTTATTTATCTTTATTGAAAGAATTCTTTGAGAAGGAATTCAACGATGCTACAAGTAAATTTTGTTTCTTTTCAAGCACACTGGGATGAAAAACATGAGATATTCACTCTCTGATTTATTCGGTAAATTATCATCAATATACTTATTATTTCCCTGAATAAAATAATAACCTAATAACCAACATCAGTGCTCTTTGATATCTCTGTTTGAATGTCTCCCGCCCTCACAAACTGTAAACAAAAAAGAAAAAAAATGAAATTGTTGATGATTGTATTTTAAAAAAGTCGAAGAGGAAAAACATCATTCAACATTAAATTTTCATCATCAATTCAAATTTTTGTTTGTATTAATAATCAAGTATTATTGAGAGAGGAAAATGTTGTTAAACTCCTCACCTAAAAAGATGAGGAAGAAAAAAGTAAAGGAGAAAAAGTCAAGTGGAGGTGAGACAAAAACGAAAAAGAAATCCATACCTGTTTCTTCCTCTCTTGAAAAATTAAGCATCACAAGTAATGCAAAAGAAAATGTAAATAATTCAACATCTAAAAAAACACAAAATGTGGATCCAATCACTATTCCAATCACTCCTCCGAAAAAAAGAATAGTAAGCTCAACAAACTTTCAATAGTATTGACAAATCTTCATTGATTTCTCCAAGAAATTCAGGAAGATCTTCTTCAACTGGAAAACGAGTACCTACTACTGCTGTAATTAAGAGAGAGGAGCAACCTCAACCTCCAATTGCTAGAGCCATTAGACCTTCTACATCTCAATCCTTATCAAAAAGTCCATTCGCTAAGCAAGCCAGTATGAGCGGATTAAAGTTTCCAAGACAATCGGAGGAATCTTTTGCCACAAGCTCTTCTCGAAAAAGCTCATCAGATGAAAGCTCTTCCGAAGTGGAATCAGAAATGGAAAAACAACCAGAAAAACTAATAGAAAAACCAGTGGAGAAACCTATTGAAAAACCTCCAACACCAATTGTACAGGAAAATTATGTTTCATTGTTCCAAAATACTGAAGCGCTTAATCGTGTCTTTGCAAAGAGCAAGGAAGTCTCACAAATTCCTGATTTTTGGTTTTACACACCAACCTTTATACCGATGACTCAGTGGGAACAGCCTAACACTTCAAAGTTCAATTGTCCAAATTATGGGACTTTGGACACTTTGAGCTTTAATACTTTAACTAGTAGCTATAATTCAATAAGGCAAAATTGCCCTTTAGTGGTTTTGGAAAAGAAGAAATTTTGTAATCCTGTACCATTTATTGATTCATTTAACAAATATTATGGAGAAAAATATAAGACCATGTTGGCCGAAAACATGAGACAAGAAGTTAGACAGCGAGAGTTTGAGGTTGATAAAGTGCTCAACTATTTGAAGCACAAACGAGAAAAGGAAGGTTCAAGAACATCCAATAATGAGGGGAAACACAAATCTAAAACATCTAAGGCCTTTTCCCTTGTAACACATGGAAAACCATCATCTGATACATCCAAGAAAGCAAAAATTAAGGTGGATCCAAAAAAGAAACTTAAACCAAAAGCAAAACCTGAAGTTGAAAAGAAGCAACCTACCCTTTTCGAAACAGTTAAACCTTCATCTAAATCCGAAAAGAAACCATTTGATGTGGAACAGATTCCAACCTCTGACAAGCTGAAGAGCTCGTCTGATTTAAACAATGCTCCTGCTATTACATCTCGTTCATCTTCAAAGAGATCAATTTCAAGAGCAGATTCCCCTATCACTACTACCAATTCCAGACCTGTTTCTCGAACTGGACAACTTAATGATGCTCCAAAGAGAGAAACGCCTGATCCAAGAGTGAACAAGTCTCGATCTCTTACCTCTTCCCCTGTATTTCAATTCGAACCAAGTTATGTTATGGATGTTAAGAAACCAGTTGATGTGAAAATATCAGAATCCAGAACAGCCATAATATCCCTACTTGCAGACAGCTCTAACACCGACTTTGTAAAAACAATGAATCATCTAGGACCACTGCTGGAAGAAACAGTACAAAAGAAGGAAGAAGAATTAGAAAATATTTCCGCCCTCTACGCTTTGATGAAATCTATGGAAAAAAAGAATGTGGAACAATATAGAAGTATATGTCAGGCTATTCTATCCAACAATATTTTCTTGGACTATTTAAAAGCAACAATAACCAATATTTCTTTGAACTTTCCAGAAGTATTCCAATTTATAATGAAAATTGTAAGAAAGCTTTGTGAATATTCGTTCCAAATTTTGGGGCAATCATCAGTAACTGGAATTCACCATCTCTTGAAATTCATCAAGATTTCTGTCATTAATAATAGATTGCAAGAATTGGGATTTTCTGACTGTATCATTGAAAAAATGGATGCCCTTAATGATCACCTCAAACAATTGCAGGATGACTCAAGCCCTGTCCAACCAAACGAAAACTCTTCCTCTCCAGACCATGTTCCTGAAAAAGCTATATATAATATTATGAGGGATATGTTCCATTCTGTGACATGTATATCCTTCTGTAGCACAGAGGTGAGGACGAAGCTCCTCATGAATACTCCATTTTTTGGAATTACCTCAAGTATTTTCAAGATGAAAAGAGCTCCAATTTTGAAAACAAATGTCTTACTGTGTTTGGAAAAAATAATTTTATCGGGTACCAGATGCAATGATAATGAGGAATATCATGACGATAGCACAACAAGTATTCTTTTGGATATGGGATTAATGAGCCTAATTATTGCAGATTACAACTCTTTGACCATCAAGGTGAGAAAAAGCTCAAACCAAAAGAAAAAGAAGCAAGCTATCAGTTTAAAACAGGCGTTATATCAGTTGATCAGAGCCCTCTCGTTTCATGAAAAAGCGAGAGAAGAAATGTACAAAACAGGTTTTTTCCATAATTTACTATCTGTTATGAAAGAGCTAGGAGCCAATGGAGAGGAATTTGTTGAGGAAGATGTCAATACCCTAAAGGGGTTGATTCTTGAAGCCATTTCAAATTTTGTTCCCTCTTCAAGTATTCACAGGGATAGTTTAATTCTGAAATATATTTTCGATACTGTTGTTGAAATGTTCATTTCAGTGCCTGTAACTGCAACCACTAACCTTTTACTCGAGACAAGAACACTACACATTCTTTCACAACTTAGCGACTATACAAGAACCCACCAAATTATTTATGAAGCTAGAGTAGTAGAGCATGCTTTTAATCTCCTTCAAAGGGATCTCAATCAACAGCAGGTCCCTCCAGATCAGGGAGCCTTTGTTTTTTCAATGACTTCCTCAACATTCCTTAGCATGCTTCTAATGAGCAACCTCAGTAAATACAAGGAAGGACAGCGGCATATTTATGATAACGGTCTCAATCCAATAATACGATTACTTAAACTGTCTTCCTCCATATCAGAGTACAAGTCAAAATTAGAGGCTGCCAAAACAGAAATGAATATTATATTTACTCCTTTTGCTATGAGTTTTGATGAATATGAGCTTTTACCTAAAGTAATTAGCAGAACATTGGCAAATATAAGCACACTTCCAGAAAGTCATTTTACTTTTTTCAAAGAAATATTTCTGGATTCATTGGCATCAATGATTTTATGCATGAATGGTGAGAGGACTGTAATATGGAACTGTCTTTGTACACTCTCTAACCTTTGTGAAGCTGATACTATGCTCCAACGAAAGCTTATTTCAAAGAGTGCAATAAGAGACTGTTTGTTAAAATATTTATTAGAGAATGATCACAAACTTCAAAGTAGATCCATTCGGTGTATATCAAAGCTGGCTAGAAATGAATCAATTTTGACTCAGATTCATGACACGTTCAAGATTTCAAATATTGTTCGGGCTATGGAAACCAATTCGATGGATGAATGTAAATTGGATGGTTTAAGGATTTTATTCCATTTTTCTCAATTTGAACAGTTTCATCCATCTTTCCTCAAGTCTGGAGCAATTGAATTTATGGTCAAAATAACTCATTCATCAGTAGAAAGTATTGTTGTTGAAAGTTTGAAGAATTTATTGAATCTAATATTTGCTAATGACAAGAGCATTAAGGATACTTTGATACAGGCAGGCACAGTAGATCGCCTTTGGGAATTAAAGAAATGTGAGAAAAGCTCTGAAAAGGTGAGAAGATTATGTCTAAGTGCATTGAAAGCAATGTAATATGTAATAAATTGAGTATTCACTTTCATTGGTAATCATTTTCCGAATCAACTTGTACAATAAAAGTTGGCGCCTAAAATTATTCAAATAAAACAACATTAAAAAAAACCTTAGCTTACCGAGTATAGATTACTTATCATCATCAAATGTTATCGGGATTTAAAACCTCAATAATTCATATCAACATTGTAACATTGTGTTTGTGTAGTATTACTCTTCTCTTCATATCAACTATATCGGGTGTGAGTTGTTCGTTATCAGAAGAGTTTGTTCCTGCACTAAAAAACCACAATTCAACTTCAATCCTTTATCAAAGCAAGTATGGCCACCTATCGGATAGATGCTACAATCAGTTCATCAAGAATTTCATATTCAATCAGACGATTCTTTCCTTTGATAGAAGGACTATGATACTTGGATGTTTCTCAGGAACTTTTGCAGAAATGAAATCATGCCACGATAGAATGGAAACACAATTCAGAAAGAGTACTTTCAAAGAGTGCTCATATTCAGATCAGTGCTTACTATTTGGTGACAATCCTTCATTGGTTTTCAAAATGTATTCAGAACGGGCAAGAAGAAGTGGAAAAGATGAATACGCCACCTTACTTGGAACATTTCCTTCAAAATGCTCGCAAACCATTGTTGAATCACTAATTGGAAGAGAGGCAATTATATTCTTCTTTAAACAATCAAATGTGAGCGTTGAACTCACAAAAGAGCTTGTAAGGGGGTTCTTTAAGGAAAACCTCCAAAATCAATGCGGAAATTACACTGAAAATGCTTTAGAAGCATTAAGAATATTTGTACAGGAGATGCCAAAAGGAATGTTCAATTTTCTTTCCTTTTTAGAGTTTCAAGAAAGGGTCGAAAAGGATACAGTTTCCTTTCGGTTATTGTTTGATTTATCGATACTCATATCTCTTATCATTAGCACTCTTGTCGTAATAAGCAGAAAATCTAACAATACCAATCCTGTCTCAAACTCCCAGCCACAATCACAGAAAATGTTCCAACTTGTGAAAAATATATTCTTAAAACTGGACAATCATAATCAGAACATTTTGCAAGCAGAATCTTTGATTAAAGCTAGAATAGAAAAAAGTGAAAAGCTTAAATTAGCCATCAATGATCAAGAGAATAGAATATCTGAATTGACCAATAACTTCAATAGGATGCTAAATGGCTCAAAAGCAAAAGATAATACAATCGCTAAAACAATGGAATTACTGAATGAAATCAAAGATGCAATTCAATCCGAAAAAGGTAGAGAACCATTAGATGTATTTAATATGCCCTATTATTTGAAGCAATTGTTTAAAGAGAAATCCGAATCTGAAACTGCTTGTAAGGAGAAGAATGTTAAGGTTCTCGCAGAGAAAAAACAGCTTGAAGCGTTGAACAAGGAACTAAAGGATAGAATTGAGTTTATTGTTTCAGACAATGAGGATTTAGGATTAAAAGTAGGTCTACTTGAAGAATCATTGGGCAATCAGAAGTCAATTACTCATTCATTGGAAGACTCTGTGCTAAGCCAGTCTGAACAAATAAGCAAACTTCTTCACTCTTTGAAGATGAAAGAGGATCAGGAACAAAAAGTGGGAACAGAATTGGAAATTTCAAGAAATGACGTGAAGTTATTGGAGAAACATCTGAATCAAACCTACTCTTATTTTGGGATTTTAGAAGAGAAGAATCCTGAATCAATACGTTCATTTGTTGAAAGTCTGAGAAATGAATCAGAAATTAAAACAAGAGAAATTGAGAAACTCCAGGAACAAATAGCTAACATTGAAGAGATCTCAGACGAAAAAATTGCCAAGATACTAGAAATCGAGTCAAGAGTTACATCCTTGCAAGATGAAAATAACTCCCTGAGGTCTCAATTGCATATCGCAACAAAGAAGATCGAGTCAAAATATGAGAAAGCTTCCGATAATCATGAAATTCTTCTAAAAGATCTAGAAACTGTTAAAAGAGACCTCGAGAAAACGAAATTGGAGCTTGCTTAAAAATCAGATTTGCACAATTCTCTCCAGCTGGAAATTCAACAAGCAAAAGAACAACAGAGCAGATATCAACAAAAAATTGCAGAAATAACTGAAATATCCGAAAATCATTTAAAAAAGATAGAATCAATTACGGATCAAAATGATTTTATGGCAAAAACCATCGAATTGTTAAAAGAAGAATCCAAAGTGGAAGCAATTGGAAACAAGTGTGAACAATTGGAAAAAGACAATGCCCAAACACTTATTGATCTGGCAAAAACAAGGTCAGAACTTTCTGCATTTAAACTAAAATATGAAGAGAGATGTAAAGTTTTAAGCAATGAAAGATCAATCATGGAAGAAAAGGTTAGAGATATTTCCCAAAAATATGAGAAACTGTGTGCAACAGTTTTAGAACGAAAGAAAGTTTTTGAGGAAGCAAAATCAATCATTGAGGAAAAATCAAAGAGGGTGGAAGAGCTTTCTGTTATTGTTGAAACATTAAACGAGAGTATGGAGCAGAAGAATTGTGAACTTGTTTTGAAAGAAAAGAATATTGAGGAGCTAGTAGATATTGTAAACCAAATCAAGTCATGTTTCTCATCTGCACAGATTGAAGGTGACAATTCAATTACTTCTATTGTTAAAGAAATGATGGAAAAGCAACGAGAAACTGTAAATTGTTTGGAAGTGGAGGTAGAAGGGTTGAGAGGAACTCTGAGTAGTAAATCACAGATATTTGTTGATTATCAATACAAGATTGATGAAATAACAGAAATATTAGAAGTTAGGTCAAAGAGAATAGATGAGTTAGATATTGAACTACAATTTCTTAAGAAGGAAAAAAGTAATTTAGAAAATGAAATTATTGAGCTAAAGAAATTAATGGAAGAAAAGGAGGTAAAGTTGAAGGAACTAGCAGTTAGTTTGAAAAAGCTCGCTTTAGAAAAGCTTAGCAGTGAAACTTGTCTGAATGATGAAATAGAGAGTCTTTCTAATGAAAACCTATTGATGAAAGAGAAAATAGATAAGATGAATGAAGCCCTGTCAAAGAAAGTTAACAAAATTGATGATGCCTATAACTATATTGAAGTTCTCAACTCTGAAAGTGAGAACCTGTGTTCTTTGAATAAGGCAATGGAAGATAAATATCTGAAAGTTCTATTTGAAAAGAAACAATTCAATGAACAAAAGGACAAGTATGAAAGAATTATCGAAGCATTAAAATCACAAAACGAAAAATTACTTGATGAATTGAACAATCAACAAATGATCCTACTCAAAATGGAAAAATCAAATAAGAATGCATTCGAAAAGGAATCCAAAAACCAAACAAAATAAATTAATACTGTTGTGACAGCAGTTCAACAAAATGAAAATGCAATTAAATATTGAAAAATGATAAAGAAAATGTATTGTATGCGAAAAAGATTTAAGTAAATTAATAATAATCATGATAATCTCTAATTTGACCATTCCAAAAAGAGCACAAATCTCTAAAATCCTCTTGAGTGGCAAACATCTGAGCTCCCCTAAATCCCTCGTTCGAATCAGTAGAATGAACAATAGTTACATTCGGTAAAATTTTAGAAACTTCTTCAGCCCATCCATTTTCTGATCCTACCAATATTACATTTTTTACCTGTTCAATAACATCCATCCTCTTGGCCCTCAATACTTCTTTTAATCCTTTTTTGAACTCCTTTTCTATTGTCCTGTTTGAATCCACTTCATAAATGTCTCCAGCAAATGAGAAGAAATTCAAAACCACACTGATGGTAATTGTGTTTACATCCTTCTCTATTACTATACAATGACTAATACTGTGATAGTATGCTATCATAGTATGTCTTGAAAGTAAACAAACTGCAGGAACTTGCGTTTTCAATACCAAATCAATAAAATTGCTCAATTTTTTCATTTTCAGATATTTTGGAGGGATTGAGATTAATAATGGATGGCTTGGTGTGAAATTAATTTCTTCACAAACTTTGGAGAAAAATGTTCCAATGTTCATGGCTGTTACACGATAATCTTCTGCAGTTAAATAATCAAATACATTTCTCTGGTCAGAACCCCTTCTACCAAGCATGGCATCTGAATAGCTGTAAAAGTTAAAGCTATTAAGGTATTGAGATATTGAGAAATTTCAACTCGTATAATACTTACTGGCCTCCTGTATATCTACCCACATAGGGCTCAGTCGTTTTTGGAGTTTCATCACTGAAAAATCCAAAAGTTGCAACCTCACTGGTTATATCAATACAGATAGGTTTAAAATTGCGTTCAGTGAAATTTCTAACTCTAGCAGCATGATACCAATCTGTGAGTGGTTCTTTTTCACATAATTTAAGATAGGTATTTCCATTCCAATATTTCTTGTACACTGCTTTCCATAAAATGGGCGATCTTGCAAGATGATTCAAATATCTACTCAATTGCAAACCAACAGAACATATTTCACTCTCTGAAAGAAAAGTGAATATGTTTAAAATAATCTCCTCTGGTAGAACTGTCAGATTATCATTCTTGTCGTTTTCAACTGGACCTTCCAATATACAGTATTGCCTATTTAACAAATATTCAAAGGTTTTACCACTCTTCACAAGCAGCCTCTGCCCAGCAAAATACTTTTCTGAAGATCCATAAACATCCCCACTCTTTTCAAGAGTTTCACTTTCCTTAAAAGCTTGCCCAATTTGTTGGTAAGTTTCTGATTGTTCAAAATTGTTATCTCTTGGAATTGAATTATTATCCACTCTGAGATACATAATTTCAGTTCTTAAAATATACTTGATTCCACTAATTACAGAACATCCTTCATGATAAAAATCTTGATTAAATAGAGCCAATTTACCAACTGAAGGTTTCAAAGTATGATGAAGGTTGAAAGTATCGTCGTTTGGATCAGAGAAGAATTTGGTTTCTCCACCATTGAAATCCTGATTCAAATAGATCAGTAATGTGTAAATACTTCTCTCATTTTCACTTCTTCTAAACTGACCGTCGGTATGAATTTTGAAATATTCTCCCTTTTCATACTTGCTAAATCTCATACATTCATTAACTCCACAAGCTACCCATCTTCCTCTGCTGTCCAACCCATACGGGGCAATTGATTTTCCAATCTGATCTAGATCAATCTTGTTCTTTAGTCTATTAAATATCAAATCGGCCAACTTGTTATCTGTAACCAGTTCTCTCATGGCATTTCTGTGTTCCTTTGGATATTCATCTTCAAGAGATTGAAAATTGGAACACTTTTTAATCAAATCTCTGCATTCATCATCGGAAAAGAAATTCGGAATGACCATCAATCTATTCAATGAATCTTCATAGAAAGGACCGGAAATCTCTAAAGGCTTCAATTCAAATGACTGTCTATCGTAGGAAAACATTTGCCTGACTTTAATAGAATCATCCGGTTCAATCACTGAATATTTAGATTTAATTCGTTGTTGTTGGAGATGGTCATTGTTATCATTTCTGGAAGAACTTGAAGCACTGTGTTTATTACCCATTCTTCCCTTTCTTTACAATGATGGTGGCAACAGTGTTATTTTTTTTGAATGGAAATATTGTAAAAATTGTAAAGTGAACTTGGAGTTCATGATGAAAGCTTTGATTTGGTGTGCCTTGTGATGTGGATAGTTAATGTGCGCTGTTATGCAATTATAATAACTGTTGGTAATAATAATTTGTAATTGTTTTTTAATAGTTCACAATATGAAGTTTCTCTTCAATATAATGATCTGTAAAGCAATTAGTGAAAGTGGAGTTTAAAGAATTAAAGGAATTAGCGGAAAGGTGGAATACTGATTCTAAAAAAAAGGAAGCCAAAAGATTATCACCAAAGTGTCAATATCCAAAAAGAAAACCAAACAGAATCTCCATTAATAATTAATTATTAAAATTCTAATATTATTTAAGATAATCTTCAAAAATAGAATTGAAAATCTCATCCTCATTATGAATTGTTTCCGTGACTGAATATTTTACAGGTGATGATGAAAGATCAATTATTGGTGTAATAGTATTACTACTTGATTGATTAGAAGCCAATTCTTTTGGATGATGACCACTCTCCAATTCTTCTTTATTTTCCTCCATCAAATATTCTGTAAAATTTGTTGTATGAAAAGGAAAAACACAATTTTCATTCGGACACATCAGGAATGAGTGTGTCGAGTCGAGATCATATCTAAATTTTCTAAGAGGTTGACCACATTCTCCACAAATTAGCATTTTTTTTTGTGTGTTTTTTGAACCTGCAGATTATAAATAGGCTCTTAATAAATGTGTTGTTGTAAAAAGTAAATAATTTGGTCTGACCTCTATTTGAATCGATTTTGTAAAGAACTCCATCTACACTTTATGTGCTCTTTTCTCAAACTCAATGAGTGAAAGGAATAATCTGTAAACTCTGTTTTGGTGTGCTTTTTTTTTCGCGTTATTGTTTTTATTGGTTCTTCTTTTCTTCTTGCTTGACCATCAACAGAAGGCTTTTGGCAAAAGAAATTTTTGCGAATTAAAAAAATAGCGAAATATTTTCCATTCACACCCCTTGCTGCACGTGCATGAAAAGAAAAGCTGAACAACCACAAGAAATGAGCGAACAAAAGACTGTTAAATTCTCTGAAGACACCAAGGATAACACTGAAGTTACTCCTAGTGTTGCTTTCCCTCACATGATCATTCACGCGTAGGTTTTGCAAATAATTGAAAAAATATATTTAATAATAATATTGGTGATGATTAAATATTAATTTGATGAAAATAGTTGGCATGATCTTGATGTCGGTTCATCAGAGCTCTTTAACGCCCTTATTGGTAGGTATTATTATATTTTGAATAATTAGTGGTAGAAGATAAATTTGTTTATAATTCCGTTATTGTTAGAAATTCCAAAAGGATGTAAAATCAAGTATCAATATGATACCAAGTACGGTCTCTTGAAGGTTAGCCACATTCTTAGCAGCTCGTAAGTAGAAATAGAAATATTCACAATTTATGAATTTGGATAGTTTGCTTTATCCAGCAAATTATGGTTTCATTCCACAAACCTTGGGTGAAGATAATGATCCAATTGACGTTTTGGTTTTGATGCAAGCCCCTTGCCATCCAATGAGTATTCTTCGTTGCCACCCTATTGGTGTTATGCCATTGATTGACAATGGTGAACTCGAATATAAGATTATTGGTATGTAGAAGGAATTTAATAATTGTGGCTAAAACATGTCACTAATAGCTGTTCACGCTGATGACCCAGAATACAGAGGAATTAACGAATTGACCGATCTTAGACCACACATTTTGAACGAAATTAAGATTTTCTATGAAGATTATAAGAAATTGAATAAGGATAGTGTTTCTGTTGTTGTGAAGGATATGTTACCAAGGGTTGATGCTTTGAAGATTCTTGAAGAAGGTATTGAACGTTATAAGGATTACGTTAGACAACAAAAGAAGTCATTGACTTGTACAAGATATGGTTCTTATCAAAACTTGTTCAGAGGTGGTGCTGATTTGAGCAGTTTTGTTGATGAAGATGATGAATAAATCCTCTCTCTCCGATAATTATTAGAATTAAATTAACAATTTCACTTTGAAAAAAAGAAACAAAAATGAAAGTTCTCTTCATGGCGTAGGTAAATGATTGTCTTTAACATATCAATGACTCACTCTAAAAAGAATCAATATAGCATGTCAAGTGCTGACATGTTGTTTTACATTAGGATTTGCTATAGGAACTTTTGTTATTTACATGGAAAATTATTCAACATCAGAGAATATTGCCTTCTGCTCGGAAAGAACATTATTAACTTTACTTGTTGCTTGGTCGGGATTGGATTTCCTCTCTGTTTTATTTAGCTTATGTATTATAGTGAGTGCATTCTTTGAAAATTGTTTGCAACAACCAAAACGTCGGAGGAGAAGATTGGATGATAATATTAATCAATTTACATCAATTACTTTTCTCGGATTGAAAATATTAACATTTATTGGTTCATTGGGGATATTATGTTATTTAACTTGGTTATTATTTGTAGAAGATTGTGAAAGTATTAATAATTCACTCTTTGTTTCCATCACCATTATTGTAGTTTGTCAATGGTTTTGCATTACAGTAATGGCTTGTTGTTTATTCTGTTCATTGACTGGATTATTAGGATATTTAATTTTCATTGGATTGACGGCAACTCAATTAGATAATACTAGATATTTCTCAAATGACGACTCTAAAACTTTAGGAGCCTCCATTATGGAAGATCACAATAGACATGAAGAGGAAAAGAAACTTCTCAAAAAAGAAAAGGACTATAAGGACAAAATTAGGAAAATATATGACCCCTATCAGAGACATTACATTCCTGGTACAAACATTCCAGATCCCAAATATTAATATTAATTGGACATCTGACTCACAAGTTGACTTCCAACTATTATAATTTTGTAACACCATTGTACATTACACTATTACAACAACCATCGATTGGGGAATTAATGATTACACTTTCCTTAATGAAAGGACTTCCAACTGCTCCTCTCTATCTAATCTCGTATTGTTCATTTTCAATGAGAGAACAATGCACTTGAGGAAGGAGGTGGACTGTCTAAGGCTCTACGACAACAAATGAGATGATTATTTTTGAAAGAAGAACGAAAAGGAGTTTGCAAGTTCGAATTGGAAATTAGAGAAAATCATCGAACCAGGTTTGTGTTCGCACAAATCAAACTCTCTTATGAATAAAAGGTGATGAAAACAAGCCACAATACAAAAAAATGAGCAGTGGTGGTGGACATGTTTCATTCTCTAACCAGCAGCAACCAGCAAATAATCAACATCAGCAACAATATCTTGCCAACTCCTTTTCGTCAACAATAACACCAAATAATAACAATAACTATGGCAATCAAGGAAATAGAACCATGTTCGGAAATGGATTGAGTGGTGCTGTATCAACTTCATCACCAAATGCGTCCAAACCACTTCCTACTCTTCCTCTTTCCCAACAACAACAACAACACACAACAACACATTCCAAATAATAGAGCAAGCATGTCCTTCTTCAATCCGCAACCTACCCCTCCTTTTAATCAACAATCAAATATTTTAGATAGTAGTGGTGGTTCTCAATTTCCTCCACCTCTTAAACAACAATCATCCCTCAATAACTTAATGTATCAACAACCTGCAAATACTCAGCAACAACAATGGAATAATCAAAATTCTGAAATGTTTTATAGTAATTCTCTAAATTCAATGATTAATAATAATTTGAATGATCAACAGTTTGTTCCAGTAACTGCCATGCCTAATTCATCAAATAATTTCAATAACAAAAATGTTCCGAGTGTAGCCCAAAGTTTTGATTTTTCAGTGGAGAAAAAGAGATCAAAGAGTGTCAGTTTTGGACGATCAAGTCCACTATTATCGGATGAAGAACCAATAGTCAACACAAATGAAACACAAACAGCCAAGCCAATTCCTCAAGTAGTTGAACATACCAAAACTGTTTCATTCTTCGAGTCACCTATTTATTCCACTATGGCAGAGGATGATATGAGAGACGATGCATTTCCTGCTATTACTTTTGATATTCCTGTACGTTCTGGAGAAACGAGAGATTTTTCAAATGTTTTTGAAAGATGGCAAAATATGGGATTGGGAAGTAATGATATGCGTCATTCGTTTGTTGCCACAACATCGAGCCACAACTTTGGATTTGAGGATGATTTTGGTACATCCAACAAACCAACTGAATCAATCCTTAACAAGGGTACTGCCAATACTACTGTAATATATCCAAATCCAAATGCACCAACACCATCAGAGCTACAAAGTGATACCAGATCAGAATTGTACAATCCAAATGCCATACCAACTCCAATAAGTGCTAATGATGATCAAGATGATGAGGATGAGTCAGAGGAAAACCAACAGGAATCATTTGATATGATACAATTAGGACTATTGGATCCAAAAGAGTTAAAAATTCTATGTGAAAATATTTCTTCCATGCTCAACATTCTGTACAAGTATCTGGGAACAATACCAACTGAATGTTCACTGGTTTTACTTGAAAAACATTGTGAATCAAACCTTAAAGATTTGAGCAAAATAACAAACAAGCATTCTGTTGAGACCTTGATATCACTACTCATTTCCAGGTTAGATCTTCACAAAAATAAGGGATCCCTTTCAAAGTTGACATCTGTAGATTTTCTTGAACAACAAGTTAGAGAAATTGCTAGGACAAGTTTAATCAATCTCAGAGAAGATATGGAAGGATTTCAGAGAAGCAAAAGATCATCAACACCAAACGATTCAAGTGATGAGGTTAGTGTTGCTTCTAATAACGAGCCAGAACTTCCAAATATACCAAGAAAAATGGTGGAGAAGAAGAAATTAATAGACAAGTTACTGAAACAAATCAGCAGTATTAACACACCACTCAATGATAATGGAGATACTATCGTACATGCATGTTGTTGGTATGGATTGAAATCTGTTCTGGAATATGCACACAAGGTTAAAGGAGCCCTTTTATCTATCAGAAACAAGGATGGAAAACTTCCATTAGAATACGCCATCAATCAACACAGAATTTCATCTACAGTCTACTTGATTGGTAATTCTATTGGCCATTCACTCCATTTATTTGCAGATGGAAGACTGAGAGAAACCTTTAACAGAGATTTAATTTTGGAAGGAAAGAAAAAGAACCTTACAAAAGCTCTTCGCCAATGCATTTCTTCATCCTCAAGGGTTAAACCAAATGTAAAGGATGAGTATGGTATGACACCTCTTCATTACTCTGTTCTACTGAGGTATGATTCAACTATCAAAAAACTATTACAAATGTCCAATATACGAGTGAATGAAAGAGATAAGCTCAAGAGAACATGTCTTCATCTTGCTGCTATTTCCAATAATACTGAGGTGATAGATATGCTTTGTAAACGTGTTGATATTGATAGATTGGCCAGAGATGATATCGGAGATTCATTCCTTCATACATACATTAGATATATCTATGCTGAAGAAAATGGACCAAAATATGAAAATCCAATTTTAGTAATGAACAAAATTCAATCCCAATTCAAGTGGTTCAGAAGCCCTATTGTTGATTGTGGGTTAATTCTTGCTCATGCCGGTTGTTTAGAAAAACTCAATCATTATCACGACTTTGTGATTTCATGTTGGAATCAAATTGTAAAATATGGATTATCAGATAGTTATATTATTGTAGAAAACAGTTTATTGGAGGGAATTGTTGACCCAGAAGTTGTAAAAACAGCAATTATTACATCATTTAAACAATTCATCATTCCACCAAAGAGAAATGACAAACGTCCGCTCAGACTTCAACTTGTGAATGTTGTCCATCAACAAGAGAAACAAAAGAAAGGATTATTCAGCTTTGGAAGAGAAACCAAATCATTATTGGGAATGAAAAATAAGGAACAACCACCTGTCAACACACAACCACCACAAAATACTCCTCCTCAAGTCACTCAACAAATTATTGATGTTATGAGCAAAAAGATTTATAATTTCTCCATGATTGACTTTAAGGATTTACAATATCTTTTCACAGACAATCAAACTCACCCACAAGATTCTTACATTTCATGGATGGTCAACAATCAAAAACAAACTCCACTATCATTGGCAATAGTATTAATTAGAGCTCTTGTTAAGGAAAAGAAAGTTCAAGCCAAATCAATTGTTACATTACCAATCAGAGCTTTTAAAATTTAATTCTATTTTATAAATTATCAACCACTAAACTCATTCTCTTATCAACACAACTTTATTCTCTTTGGGGACGAAACAGTATGGATTACGAAACTAGAAACAATGTTGGCATGCTTTCTCAATTACTATCCTCTTACCAATTATTATTAGTTCGATGAGAATCTTATAATTGTCCTCACTGTTCTTAGTTAAATTATCCATAAAACGAAATTTAAATAAATTTAAAAAAAATACAGAAAATCCAATCATCGGACCAAACATGTTGGCAACACTTGAAAATTCACCATCTGAAGTAGCTTCCCCCCACAAGGATTTTGCAATTGTTTTTGATATTGATGGAGTTTTAATTCATGATGGTACAGTGATAGAAGGAGTACCTGAAATGTTAAAATCACTTCATGAGCATCATATTCCCTTTGTTTTTGTTACTAATGGAGGAGGTGAAACTGAAGAATCACGTGCTGAAAGGCTTTCTAAATTATTCGGACTTGAAATTGATAATTCTAAAGTTTTAATGTGTCATACTCCATTAAATAGAAAATCAAAATTCTCATCACTCACTCAAGCCTATGAAAAGAGAGTTTTATATATTGGAAGAAATGATTCAAGTTGTGATAAAATTATGGAAAATTATGGATATGATAATAGAATTTCATTGAGACAATTTGCTGAAAAGTATCCATTTCTGTTACCTTACTCTATGAAAGATCATGAAAATTATTACAAATTTAGTCATGAAGAACAGTTGAAATTATCTGAAAATGATGAACCTATTGATAGTATTGTATTTTTGGATACTCCAGTTGATTGGTGTGAAACTTTACAAGTTTGTTGTGATTTGGTTTTAAGTAATGGAAAGGTTGGACATAATTTGGATTTTTCAAAAGAAACTCAACATGTTAAAGTGAATGTTTGTAATCCTGATTTGGTTTATCAAGGTGTTTCAAAACATCCAAGATTTACAATGGGTGCTTTCTTAGAAGCTTTGGATACTTTATTTTTCATTTCAAATGGAAAGAGACAACATTTACAATATGAATTATTTGGAAAACCACACAAAGTCACCTATGATTATGCAAAGAAAGTTTTAATTGACCAATTGAGATCCTCACATGCTGGTCATGAAGATAGAGATAATGTCGATGATATGACTATTTATGCAATTGGTGACAATCCATTGAGTGATATCAAAGGTGCAAATGGTGCTGGATTTGTTTCCATGTTATTGAGAACTGGAGTTTGGCAATCAAGTGAAGAAAATGATTCACAAAATCCTGCAACTCACGTATTTCCATCTGTTAGGGAAGCATTTAAATTTATTTGTGATAAACATTTATAATCGAATTATTTTACAACAATATTTACAAAATTGGAAAGGCTATACATATTCAGTGATCAATTCTCTTGGCATTCAGTCTGCAAAATAATCTTTCGCTTTTTGTTTTGGATAACTTTGATCTGATCCATTCTGTTTTCACTGTTGACAGATATTCGTGTAAATCAGTTGTGGTTGACTTTATGTGTGAGTTTTGCAAAGTGATGAGTCTGGCAGGCATTTTGTTGTGTGTTTCTTGTTGAGGTATTTTATTTTGAATTAATTGTAAATTGCATGTGGGATCTATTTAAAGATTTTTTACCTGTTCCAATATTTTATGTAATTCCAAAAAACAATGGAATTTTTTAATACACGGACGCAACGCTAAGAAGAGAGCAGGTCGTAGATATGTATGACACATGGGAGGAGCTGTGCCTCAATTCCAACATATGGGACAAGGTGCTCAACAAGTTCCTCAAATTCATAACCAATACTATAACCAACAATCTCAAGCTCAACAAGGTAGGATAAACCAACTAGCCAACTCAAATAATGGCATGGGTCATTTTCAAGTTCCAATGAACAATCAATCACAAACCCAAGGAGGTGGTCATCAACCTCACTATAACTTCTAAGCTAGATTCCATATGTGTATACTAAATTATTAAATAACAAATAAATAACAAATAAATTATTATTCCTCTTCGTGTAACAACTCATTCATTGTCATTGGTTATTTTAAGGCAATGAAATATATATTATAGGAAATGTTTATGTTTATTGTTACGTAATCTAATTCTAAAGGAGTAAGAAATTACAAATCATCACAACCATGACGAATACTGATGCAACAATCTTACCAGAACCATTAACATCAGTACTATGTATTGGAACAGTACCATTGTTATTATTGTTATTGTTATTATTATTGTTATTGTTTGTAGGAGAACCTGAGCTAGTAGCAACAATCACTTGTTTTGATTCGTCCACAACAACCAAATCTGTTGTAGCAGCAACAGATGAAGTTGAGAACAATGAAGCAGTTGGTGTGAAAGTAAATGAAGTCTTAACCACTGCTGCACTATCTTTCTTCACCAAATTAATTTGGAGCAATTGATCAATGGTTGAAACAGTACATGCACTAACAGTGTACAATGTCGTCAAATCAGTTGACCCACTCTTAATCATATCAAAGATCTTACTTGGATTTGCATTAATATCAGCAATTCCCTTCACATCAAATGGATGGTCAGGATTACTATTGTAAACCATAAATTCGGTATTTCCAGCTGTTGCTTGATTAATCCAAACCATGTCGACAGTTGTTGGTTTCAAATCTTCCAAAGTCAATTTCAAAGCACATTTTGAAAGTAAATTGAATTGAACTAAGGTACCAGTTGTCTTGGAGAAGGCAATTGGCAATCTCTTAACTGTTGAAGTATAGGAATAACTTGAAGTGGCAATTGAGTTGACATCAGTAATTGATGGAGTTGCCTTTACAGTATTGGAATTGACAGACATGTCATAGACACATGTGGCATCGGTACTTTCAGCAATGAGAACAAGACCAATTTTGTTGGCAGTTTTGGCATTGTTCAAGTCAGCTGCCAAATCCAAATAAAAGTTTCCATTGATGGCTGGATCCATTGTAATGGAAGTTGCGTCAATTTCTCTTCTTGCAATGGTCAAAGTTCTAGGAAATACTTGCTTCCAAAAAGATGGAAACTGAACTTGTCTTCTTGTTGGTGACCTTAATTTGAATAAACCTTTCGGCTGTTCCAGTACAAACATTCGAAATGTCAATACTAAACAGTGCAACCTCACCTACCTTTTCAGCAACCAAATTATTGATTGATTTGGTATCTCTACTCATTTCTTTAGAATCAACAACAATATTAGAATCATAACTCATTACAACACCTGTTGCACTATTCACAATTCTCAAATATAAAGTCTTGGCATTGATATCTGTCATCCTGACAGCTGAACACTTCATACCATAATAGCTAAAATCAGAATTTGGACCAATAACCTTAGTTTCAGATGGAACACCACTATTAAGAATATCATTGTAAACAAATTGAAGATTAATTTGATTGGTTGACATCATTGACACATCACCCTTATTCAAATATTCATCAGCAATTGGAAAAATTGTTTCACCAACTCCATAATTAACCATGAATGAACTACCATCATTGAGAATATTGGTATAGAAATCATTTGCAAATTTGAGTTTACCAGCACCTTCCAAAGAAGTCATTGACAAATATGGATAAGTATATCTATTCAAATTAATGATTAATCTTCCAGAACGGAATGGATTTACAATCTTGGAATTGAAATCCATGATATTGTAAGGAGCCATACCAATTTGCTTAATTGTGAAACTTTCATCAAGTGGAATGACAGTTGCCAATAAAATCTTATCAGTATTTCCAATATTCATATTTTCCAAAGTCAAGTGGAAAGTATATTCAGTTTCCTTATCAATATAATTGAACTTGGCACCATTTGACATCTTGTACATGTTTCCAGATGTCCATGCTTCTGACAAGGTCAAACTAAATTTACCCCAAGCTTGCATTGAGAAGGCATAACGTGGATAATTAGCAGCAGTATCCAAAATCTTCATAAAGATAATTGGGTTTCCAACCTTTTAGTAAGTATATGAGAACCAACCACCATAAGTTGTTGTGCTTAATTCAAAATCAGTTGTCACTATTTTTTGATCTGTGAGAATTGACATGAAAACAACATCACTTTCACGTGGGGCATCATATCTGAGAATAAAATCGACTTCACCTTCAATGATATTTTCCTTAGTTGGATCAGGAGTTGAAGTAAAGATGAAAATTGGAGTTTGAGCTGTTTTGTAAACAACCTTAATAAAAGTGCCATCCTCCATGACTGTTCCATCATTGACAGTTTGAGTGACATCATAATCACCTTGAGTAATAAGAACGTCATTTTGAGCAGTATTGGTATTCAACATATTCTTATAAACTTCAAATTTAAAATATTTCTTTGTAGTTCCTCCATTTGGAATACTAATTGTGGCCAAAGTGACTCCTTGGACAGATTTAGAAACAGTGAAAGGTAATAGCATCTCCTTTGGCAGCTACATAACCATACTTGACATAGTAAAAGTTATTATTGGCATTCTTAATATTAAATTCATAGAATGCTGGAGTTGACTTGAACTCTGGTTGAACAACGACTGGAACTGGAACAGGATCTGAGGCTGGATCTGCTTTACCAACATAGTTATTGGCTCCTGGAACTAAGTTACCATTACTATCTGTAGTAGATTCAGCATACTTTGGTTTTGGTGGACTCATGGTCTTGAATTTACCACTCATTGAGGCAATTTCAGTTTTACCAACTAATTCTAATTCCTTACTACCACCAAATTTCTCAGATTCATAATAGAAAATTAAATTGTAATAGGCGCTCAATTTACAATAAGCTGAAACTGAATCACCTTCAATCAATCCTTCGCCAATCAATTCAATTCTGAAACGAGGAGCAATACCAACATAAACAGAGGCCAATTCCTTAACACCCAAAATCTTAACATTGACTTCAACACCTGGAATCAATCCAAAGTAAACATTGGTCACAGCATTTACTTCAATCTTTGGTGGATCAGATGAGAAAGTAATTCCATCTCCTTCCTTTACAGTACTATAAGTTCCATCATTGTACTCATAACCCAATGTCTTTTGGATGAGTAATTCAAAGTTTCTACGATAGGAAATTGTACCAGTGGCTTCGATTTTACCTTTGAATTTAAGACTTGGAAGTACGGAGACAGTTAATACTGGAACAGCACTAATCATGATTGGAATGGTAACAGCTGGAGCTTTGAGTAAGAGTTTTTCAATATCCTTTTCGTATTTTGCTGTGACTGCCAGTCTGACATAACCAGATGTCTTCCAACTACCACCAACTGTTGCACGCAAGGTCTTTAAAGTGATCAATTTGATATTGACCTTCAATGAGAATTCCATAAAGATTCTAGAGATACAATCTTCACAGGCAACTTCAAGAGATTCAGCCTTATAAATTGGAATGTTATTATTAATTGGTGTTCCAGAACTATCACAATTAATATTTAACATTGGAGTGGTGTAACTTGCGGATCCTTCATAAGTTGGATCTGGAAGAGCAGCCTTGACAGTTTGATAGGCATTGTTGACAGCACCACCAACAGCAGCACCTGCCTTCTTGACTGAATTCCAAGCATCACTCAATCCCCAGAGAACTTTTCTAGAGATTGGTGTAACTCCTCTTGAGTTAACTCCAATTTCTGCCTCCATGAACAATTCAGCAGGAGACATGGAACGAGTTTGGAAACGAACTCTCATCATATTTCCTTCATGAGCTATGATTTCACGCGTGAGGACAACATTGGTTGTGGCAGGATTCTCAGCACGATCTTCTTGACCTCTGAAACAATTCCACTTTTCACTAATGATGAATCTTGTACCAGGAATGAAACGAGAGGCAGTACGCGCGTGATCTGAAAAGTCAATGGTGATGGAGTCATCAGTTGGATCACACTTGACGTCCCATACATTGAGTTCTCTATCAAGATTAACAATACCAGAGAGAGCTGTACCTTCAACTGAATAAATCTTCATGGTGTTACCTTCTACTCGACCAACATTATGTCTAATTGGAGCATAGTCGACATTTCTCTTCAATTTATTGATACTTCTCTTGTTGGTTCTCAATTCAATTTCAGAAGCACCCAAAGTATAGGTATTTCTCAAGTGGAATGGATCTCTTCTCAAAGCTTGAAACAATTCCTCACCGGAAATGAAAGGACTGATGGTAGCGGAAGTTGTGGAAAGTCGATACCTTCAAAATTCATCTCAAGGAAGGATGAGGAGTGAAGGGATCTTTTGGCTTGTCCCTTCAATCCAAACATTCTCTTGGAGGGAAAGACAGTCATCTTGGATGTTGGTGTGTTTGCCATGGCTAACACACTCATCACCACCAACAAGACGAAACTTGTGAATAGCACGAGTTTAAGTGATTTTAATTAGCCAATTTCATTACCCTTATTAGGACTTTTTGTGATTGCGAAACAAGAGTTCGTTTCACAAATTTGAATATTTTCAGTTCCTACCTTACTTTAAACAAACTTTGAACATTCAAGTGGATGAACTATTTCAATGCATGCGTGATTGATTCAACTATATTTCTGTAGGACTTTAAACAGCACTACAACATTCCAAGCGAAAAAAGTGACTTCGCTATTATCGTAGAAATAAAGTTTGTTTGTGAGCATTCTCTGAGTGGGAGATTCATCTAATAGTAAATAACAGTAAAACCATGCCTTAATTGAAATTGCCTTATTTCTTTTCCTCTTTTCTTCTTCTTCCCCGATATAGTGGAACTTACACTCAATTTGTAAAGAAAGAAAGTCGACTTATCATTGAAACAATGCAGTGGACCTTCTCAAGTTTATGACAAAAAACATAATAAGCAACTCGAACAAATATCTGAGTAAAGACTTTACTAAACATTGATAATATTCTTCTTCCGTAGTGAAGGTGAATTTTAAATTGCCTTCTTCTTCATTCGGAATAAAATCACAATGGGTAGAATCAATATTCAACAAAAAATAATTTCGATTGTAGATGAAACCCAACGAGTAAAGGAAAAGATTAAGAAGCAAAATTTCCTGTCAACAACAATGAAAAGTAGAAGGTTGAGGAAAGCCTTGCAAAATGATAAATTATTGATGAATTATTTTCAATGGAATGAAACCTCTGTATCAGCAGACTTAACTGTGTATAAATTGGAGCAAACTAATTCTGAGGTATTTTGTGAAAAGTGTCCAATTTTGAATTCTAATAATGAAATATGTTGTTCAAATAGAAAACAACCAGAATTGACAAATCCAAGCAATGTTACTTTCATATCAAGCAAAAAGGTTAAGGTAAATACACCTAATTGTACTCCAAAGAAAACACTATTATCGGATAATTCTACAAATGGTGGACGTCCACCCCTGGTCCCGAACGAAACATTACTATTACTGCTGCTTCAAGCATGCACTTCCCAACAATACTAATTATTCTTTTATGTACAATAAATCAAACAATATTACTGACACTTGTTTCCTATTGTTCTTGCCATCTCTTGAAGACATCAAAGAGAAGGTTTTGAATCACAACGTTTTCCAGCTCGTCAAACAAGTCAATTTCACCCAATAATCGTTGAATATTGAATGAATGAACTTGTAGCTCTTCCTTTGACATGTTCAATTGTTTGTTACTACCATTCTTAATAAACTGTGAATAAATCTCAGTTTGAAGCTTGACTCTGTCTTGAATCTTTTTCAAGCTCTTATAATAACTGACATCTTCAAGGAAAAGTATCCATTCGTTCATTTCTTTGGCACAGAAATCTTTAAAGTTGTTTCTCTTGTCAATGTTGTGGAAAATTTCTTTGAAGTTGATTTTGTCTTGCAACTTGTAATACATGACTTCCTTTTCTTTAAGTTCTTTAAGCATATTCTTAATTGTAAGATGATGAATCAGAATGACAATAACAGTAGACATTTCAGATTCAGCTTTTACAACAGACGTAAGGTCATACGTACACTTGCTGAATGACATTGAAATTCTAACTTTCATTTCTTGACCGAGTTTGTTGATAGCATTTATCTCTCTTCCAGTGATACAAGTGTCATCATGGAGAAGCACAGCTGAACCTCTAGAGTCAGCCAATTCCTTTTGAATATCCAAAGTAGGAAGAATGGATGTAATGTCAACCATTCCACCTCTATGCGTCAGTATCGTTGAAACCAAAAGTCTTTTGGAAGGCATAGTTTGAAGAATCAACATAGATAGGTTACAATTTGCGAAGTCTATAACAGCAATTAATTTCTTTACTAACTGGAATACAGCCATGATTGAAGCCATCACTGTTCTTTCTAATTTGAGTGAAGATTCTTACCATGTATATTGTTGATTATTGTAACTATATGTTTATTGATGATATCAGGTCAAAAAAGAGCCATTGGAAGTGCTGCTTACGCTGCCCATACAATGTCCTATGAAGTTCTTTTACAATTTTTGCAATCACAAGCAAGAGCATCATATAATTATGATATATTATTCAATCATCTTTTTGGTATACCAAAAACTAATGATTTGAAAATGAGATTTTCATTGTATCTTGAAAAGAAGCACATTTCCATGATTTGTGTGAAATTGGAAGGTCTTGAACATATTATTTCAACGACACCTCCCAATGAAGTTGTGGAGATTTTGCAAGACTTCTTTGAGAGAGTTGAATTTGTATCAAAATCTACTAGTAGTTTAATGGAACCTTCAGACAATTTCACAATTTCAATTGCATTCAATGCATCCAAAGAACAATCAATGCATGAGGAAAGAGCAGTCAAAGCTTGTGTAGATTTGAGCTCAAGGTTGGCAGACTTACAAAAAAACAAATGGAATCAGATGGCCAATAGTCACTCTTTGAATACTTGTCAGTTTAGGTTAGCTATTTATGTTCAACAATGTTTGTGTGGAAATGTGGGGACTAATGATAAAAGATTGTTCAAAATTTTAGAAAATCTAAATATATAACAGATTACGCAAGAAAATTCCAAATAGGAGTGGTTTGTGATCTAATATTTTGCTAGTAAGGTTGCTCGATTCTCTTTCCATACAAGATTTGTTTCATTTATTAATCTTCAAAATGATAATAATACTGTGAAAAATAGAAAAGTGTTTGAAATAGGAGCAAAAATTAAAGTGTCTCTATGAATTAGCAAATAAATCAATTAGATTGTGGAATGGCTTTACAATTTTAAATGAAGAGAATACACCAAGAAGAACTCCCATCACAACAATAACAATAGATGATGCCAGAGCTGCAATGATAGCAATAATCATGGTTCCTAGATAGTTCCATTGAGGAACTGAAAATACAAATAACCTGTCAAGAAGCAGTGTCATTGGGAAAATAAGGAATCATCATACTTACCAATTTACATTAGCAGAATTACATAACCTGTACATTAAAAAATCTGTCCCCGAAAGATAAAAACTTGAATGAATCGCAGCTAAGTGAGTCCAACTTGCTTTGATACCTCGTATATATAAAGTTACCAACAGTTTCTACTTCTAAAACACCAAAATTTGTTGCCTTCTTACGCTCTTGATTTCCCTTATCATCCCACTTGGCTACAGGAACTTCAGGATAACTAGAGGCCACGATAAACTCAGTTTCAATTTCAATGACAAAGGCAAGTGAACCAGTTATTTAACTTGTGATTTCCTTCAGATAGCTACTAATTGTAGCCACAGAAATATCAAAACCAAAATACCAATCAAAGTTGAATCCTGTGGCCGTTTGATTTCTAGATGGTCTTGAATTGACCAAACTCATAAAGGTAATGGAAGGAAGTGTTGGGTCAGTGTAGGAGAGCGTAAAAGTTGGTTTGTTCACTTGGTCCGATGCCACTCCTAGAATGTAACTCATATCAAATGGTGGTAACTGTACATCTGGTTCCCTAGATTGTGTATGACAATATTCATACAATGTCATATTATCACAATAGGTCCAAAACTGACCTGTTGAATTCACAAACAATATGCTTGGAATTCTCACCATTCATCATCTTTCCCTTATTTCCTTCGTATGGATCTCCAACATACGAATCTATCATTAAAGTGGAGAGGAATTGGTATTAAGATTTGAAAATCTTGTAGGTGATCAGGTTAATCCAATCAGTGTTCGCATAATCCAAGTCCCACTAAAAGTTTACATCCTTTTAAATCATACTTGGGTTTTCGGGAGATTTTACCAACATTCAATATAAAATAAAAAATAAATACAGACACTTAGATTTGAGAATCCAAATTATATATTTTATCTTGAGATAATCTCTTATTTGTTATTCCAAGAGATGATCCTCGCCAAAAACTACACATTAATATTGCGAGTCCCAAAGCATGACATTTGACAGTTGCTGAGGGATGTGTTTGACTTGTATACGTGAACATCATTCTATATTACCTTATAATATCGTTGGTTCATGTATTGCTCTCTTTATCACTAAATAAAAAGTTGAATGATGTATAGACAACTTTCGTGTAAAAACTTGTTCTCCAGACATGCTCATCTCCTAAATGAAAAGATAAAAATCTTTGAACAAAGTGCGCCAGGTTTCGAGATGAAAAAGTTGTCAATATTTCATTATTCTGTTATCTCTAATGATGGCAGGTTTTGGGATAACAATTTCAAGGATTAGGAAATTGAGTGTGTTTGCATAGAATCACAATACATCAACAAGCAAAGTTCTTTTAGTTGCAGCAAACATTTTAATTCAATTTTCTTACAATTAAGGGCCAACCAACTTGTATCACTGCATACTTATGAATGCTTTTTGATTTGTCAGCATCATTTTCATATTGAGCATATTGTTTGACTTGAGAAATTGCAGAATTCAAAATTGATCTGGCTACAACTTTCTCTTTGGCATGAGTAAGTACTTCCATTTCTAATAATTCTTCATCAGTTTGTTTAGATAAATCTTTAAATATATTTTTAAAAATTTGCGGATTCCAATATTCAATATTGGAATATTTTGTTAAAGAATTTGGTCTAATACGTTTGAATTCAATTATTAATACTTTTTTAGAAGTTCTTATCACAAGATCAGCACGTTTGATGTATTCCTTATTGTTAGAATTCTTTACATGATATTCCTTTTCAGCTTGAATTTTCAATTCTTTGTTTCTAAATAAACAATATGCTCTTAATGCAGATTCAATACTTGCTTGTAAACCTCCTTCAGACATTGAATTGTCATAAATAGTTTCTTGTTTTTCTAAAATATTATTGAGTAACATTCTCAAATTATCTTGGGTAGGTTCATTAATAAAAGTTGATACATCATTTTCATGTAGAGATATAAGTCTACGTAACTGCTCTAAATATTGGACTTTTGCAATTTCATTTGGAATTAACAATTGTTTTGGGTTCATCTGTTTTGATGATTCTTTTGTGAAGGTAACCATACCGTGATAATACATGAATGATAAAGCATTATCACGAATCTTTTGTATATCTTCTTCATTGGATGGTGGATCAATAATCTCTCTTAATTTCAGTGAAGGATAAATTGACTCTGTTACTTCTACATAATCTTTTGAAAGTAATTGTTGAATAATATCATTCGATACAACTGATGATGCCAAAGTTGCAAAAACGTTCTCACTGATCATTGTGTTGGTATCTGTTAATATTGATAATGGAATTTCTTGTTTTTGTAGAACAGCATTTCTGAAAGGTTCATCTTTTACAAGTTTGTTCAAAAAGAACATTGAAAGAGTTGTGTTGAATAGAGCATGTTTTGAACCAGGAAAATGATAACCTTTATAATACTTTTTCATGGTTGAAATGGTAATATCTTGATCATTTCCAATAATATCAATGTTATTTAATGCCATTCTCAGATCATTTTCTGTAAAACCAACCAAACCACCAAATATCTTATCAAAGGAAATATTACTGGAAACATTATATCCAGATGCATCTGCAAGAGCAATAGGAGTGATACCAGTGATGATACTACGAAAATCTTGTAAACCAACACCGGAAGACTCTTTCAATCTTTCAAAGAAAGAACGAATTGGTGAAGATGTTGGATCTCCTCTCTTTCCTTCAACTATTAATTGATATTTTTCAGGATTTTCAAACATTAATTTGTTTGCAAATCTATCATATTCATCAATTAATATCATTAATTTGGCTCCTTTTTCTATTAATATAGCCACCAGAGTTGCTAAAGTATCGAACGAATTTTTGTGATTAATATCCATCTCTTTAGTTAATTCATAGTAACGTAAAAAACCATAAATGGATGTGTTTACTTTCTCATGAAGCCGTTGATTAATATCTTCCGTTGTACCATCAACTTGAATAGAAAAATCTAACTTTAAAACATGATATTGATTCTTTCCAGGTGTCCAATTATTTTCATCACCAATCCATAAACCAGAAAATAATTCATCAAATTCATCTTTCTTGTTAATATCATAATATGATGAAAGCATTGATAATAATAGTGATTTTCCCCATCTCGGAGGACGAACAAAAAATAATTGTTTTCCACTTTCTTCTAATAGAGGAATTAAATTAGTTTTATCAACATAAAATTGTTTACTTCTTCTGATGGAAGCAAAATCTGATTCACCATATGGAAAATATGGCACCAACAAATTTCCGTCACCAATATTTTTAAATTTAATATTTTCAACATTATTTGTTGTTGGTTTTAATGTATTTGAATAGTTTTTAGTTTGATTCACTCTATTAATTGTAAACTTGTTAATATCATTAGTTAAATTATTAATTTTTAATATTGATCTATTGATTTTGGGTGATGCAGTAAATAACTGCAATCTATTGATTTTACGAAGGAAGGTATGTTTCATATTTTTGATGATTTTTTTTTTAAGCTATTTGATGGCACCGTTGTGATGATTGATGATTGTGATGGTGTGGAAGAGGAAATCCTACAAAGTTACATTGTTGGTTGGGTTCTAATGTTTTGCTTGTGATTCTGAAATTGTCTCATTGCCGGTTTTGAGATGAGTAATGTTTGGTAACGTAATTGTGTTTGGACTTCAAGAAGATAAACAACCAGGTATGAAAGTAAACTTATCTCTGTAAATTTAAGGTAACAAATGATCATTTGATAATGTGAACTTGGACATCTTCATTTCTTAAATCAAGAATGTAGTTTTAAAGTATGACAACCACAGAAAACTAATTTTTGCTCTAGTGCCATATTGTTATTGGTTACCATAAACAACCACTCATGGTTTCATGCTTGTTTGTTTAGTTAGTTGGAAGTTCATGCAGTGATTGAACATTAATGGCATGGTGAGGGTTGTTAACCACACTTTTATGTATAGTTCCCAAAACTTCCATCATATTGACATTATCCAATGGACCAATGTGTAATAGGAGGAAGCTTGCTAGTTAATTCAAATGGTTTATTTAAATTTAAGACTTGAAATAAATCTATCCCTCACATAACTTCGGCAGAAATCTTGTCTGACTCATCAGAACATCCTAATTCAGGAACTTCGCTTACATCCTCATCAAAAGACGTATCCATGATGTCAAAATCCTGAAGTGAAATAAATCTCAATGAATCTAGATTTTTCAAAAATTAATGGGAGACGCAACTCAAGACGCAGTCTGACTAGGCTCCAGCGTGTTGTTTTATTAAAGTCCTACAGATATTAAATCAACAATGGAATCTCTCAAGTTATTCTCAGAACTTGTAAATAGAAATGCTTTGGGATCCCATTCTTTTTGATCTTCACACTAAAAAATTAGTAATGGAAGAGAAACTCAAATTGTATGAGATTCAAATATCTACCAAATGCCAGTGCAAAGAAAATAATTGAGGAAATATAAATCACCACTACATTTCGCAAAATTAGTAAAATTGAAAAGAATGTTGTTTTATCAAATATTAAAGATTGTTCATGTAAAATTTACATTCATATCATTGTCCATTCACAATCGCCATGGAAACAATGTGGACAACTATCATTTTTGACACAAGAGACTTCAGTCCATCCTTCTTCACACATGCAAGTCGATTGTTCCGTTAAAACAAGTTTCTTTCATTGTTCAACATGATAACAGTTCTTGTTGTACAGTCAAAAACAAGATACTCAACCATAATTTGATGTCAATTAACATTGACCTTGCAAGGCCAATTGAAAAGTCTTGATATGGAAAACATCAAGTGAATCCTACTCTACCACCATTTTTTCTTTCTCTGTTTCTTGATCAATGCCTTGGTTGACTTTGAATCTAGCTCCACAACTTGATGTAATAATTTCAAATCGTTTTCATTTGAAAATCGTACCATTCGCTCACTTTCTTCAAATAATAAATTAACACATTCTCCACTTTTTGCACTCGTTACAATAATTTTAGTATTTAACAAATGATAGGCCTCAATTAGTGACTCAATCACCTTTCTAAATTCTTCAATTTTCCTCATTCTTTCCTTGTAATCTTGCAATAAATCAACCTTATTGAGTACAAATATTATTGGTATGTCATTGATTGATTGATAATTGGAACCAATTGAGTTCAAGAAAGATACACATTCTTCTACTGTTTTTATATTTTCTAAAGAGGAAACCAAAATGAAGCAATCAGTATTTCTATGATGATACTGACCTCTCAGTGGTCTGAATTCTTCCTGTCCAGCTGTCAATTGTCGTGAAATATTTCTTTTTTTGAATTAATTGCTTACCTGTATCGAGAATATCAAATAAAATTGGAATTCCATCAACATTATATTGTTTAGAATAATTATCTTCTATCGTTGGATCATTATTCTCAAATGCATAATTATTTGTCACAAATCGAAGTGTCAAAGATGATTTTCCTTCATTATTTTGTAAAATTTCAAACACAGAAATATTTCATACTCACCAACATACTCCAATCCATTCAATGTCACATTCAAAGTTTTAATTTCCTTCTTATTTTTTGGAATTATTGAGATTCGGTTCAAATATCTGATTAATAAAATCTTTCGTTTCAATTCATTCTTTTCAATCATTTTAATTTTTAATTCATCAAATTGATTCAAATAAATTTGGCGAATATTAAATTCAGTGATGAATAATTTCCAATAATAATTGTTGAAATAATTTTTCATTTCTTCCATTTCGTTTAATTTGTTAGAAAGTGAGTTGAATTTGCAAATATTGTACAGAGATAGCTTTCTAATATTCGAATCTAAACTATCCAAATGATCGGAATCAACAACCAAGAATGATAAGATGAGAAAAAGCAACTCTTGTGGAAGTTGTGAAAACTTGGTTTTGTGTGGGCGCATTTTTTATTGTAAAAAATTACATAAGTTAAATTAAAATCAAAAAGGAAATATTTTGAGTTTAAAGAGGTTAAGGAAAAGGTTACAGCGAGCGGGGCTTGAACCCGCGACCTTAAGCGTGTTAGGCTTACGATCTAACCAACTGATCTATCGCTGCTTGCATTAACTGTTAAACGCGTGTTTATTTTAATTTTTGTTGGTACCAATAAACAGCTTAGAGTCAACCAAAATATGAATAAGAGTTCATTACTTGATCAACCAAAAAAAAAATGCCACAAACAATTTATTATAGAGGCAACACGCAACTCATGGAGATCATGACGAAGGCTCTATCCTCCGAAGATAAACAAATCATAGAGAAATCACCAAACAAATCTTCAAAAAAGAAGAGAAAACTTGAAAAGACAATCAAGACAAATGTTCCTTTTCGTTCCGATCAATTCTACAAAATTCCATTATGTATTCAGGGAAGTTTTTCCAAGAAATTGGGAATTTTAAATACGGAATTGCAATTGATGAGATCGTGTAAGGATAGCATTATTTTCTTATTGTGGAATGATGATATTTATTTTCCAAGTCAGACGTTGGTAATTGTTGGATCATTGGCAAGATCAATTCAATCGAAAACAAAGGATCCGATGAGTAGAGATGGGTTTTGTGTTTTGGAGTTAACAGAAGAGGGATTATTGGACGGATTTGTAATTAATATTGAAATGGGAGACGGATTTTTACTGATTCAAACTCGTGAGCATTCATTATATGGATTGGGAGATAATACTGTCTGTCAGCTGGGAATAGTTTCAAAAAATCAGAATTTCTATCATGAAATTACTGATATACCCTTTGAACATGGACAATTGGATTTTATCAAATGTGGACTAACATATAGTATTGCATTTACTAAATCTAAAGAAATTTATATTACTGGAGAGTATGAATATGTTGGTCGCCACTCTCCTTGGACTCCGTTTTTAGAATTTGCTAATATTGGAGACAAATCTTGTACAATTACCGATTGCCAACCAGGGCATCTCTCAATGTATTGTCTAGTCAAACCAATAAGTGATGTTTATGTTCATAATTCATATGTCTTTGATTGGTATTTGGGATCCATTAGAAGATCTGGTTATTTTCAAAAGCTGAAAGACATGCTCCAACAAGGATTAACAATTCAACGAATAGAATCATGTAGTGAATCATTTGTATTGCAATTTGATGACAATGAATGGTACTGGGCGCATTTCTATTTGACAGTACACGGCTCTTATCGAGAAAGCTTTTCTCCCATCAGGATGTACCTTCCACTTTCTGATGTCTATCAATATGAAATTCAGAATGTTTGTGGAAACAAGTCAGAATCTTCATTCCTTGTAGTTTGTAAAATAATTTCTGCAGATAATAATTATAATGTGGCTATGGAACCTTACATGATGTTCCTAGTTGACCCAATGAAGAATAAGACAGAAAAGATAGAATGTCCTTTTTATGGAAAATCTCAGTGGTCGATCAATAACGTACAACTCACCCAATTCTTTTCCATATTGGTTGTAAATGAAGAGCCAAGTGAGTGGTTTATGAAACGACTAATTTCATGTGAAAAGTGGAGAGATATCACCATTTTCACAAATGATTAAAGTTAATGTCCATGTTTTATTTTCCTTTTGAACCTTATCTTCTCAATCTAAAGTCCTTAGTTGTGGATTCTTTTGTGAGAGAAACAGAAGCTTTCAAAGGAGAATAACCCTTAGCTGTAATTGTCAATTCATAAGTCTTGTTTAAGGCCAAGAATAAGTAATAACTTCCAAAGTAATTAGTCTTTCTACTTTCGCCAGCTTTCCAAACAATTCCAGAAACCTCAATCAATGCATTTTCGATAGGTTTACCAGATTTTTCATCATAGATATGGCCACGAAGAGGTATTGGTTTGTAAGCAAAGTGTTCAAAGAGAGAAACCAATTGAACTGCCTCACTAACAGTTTCATTGAGAGGTGGTTGATGAGAATGCATAATTTCTACAAGGAATGAATAGGAAGTATATTCCTTAATTTGATGTTCCTGGTGTTCACCATCTGAGGATGGTACTCTAAGAGCATAACCAACCTTAGTGGCCAATTCTTGTCCCAAACTTTTAATGTAATCTTGTTGGGCATTGTTTGTACAGGTATATCCTGTAAGAACTTGTCTACCAGAACTGTGGAAATCCAATACTTTGGCAACTCCTCCAATTCTCTTAGTGAAATCTCTGATGGCAGATGTTTCAATTTCAGAGAATGCGTTCTTGCCCTTATAAGTGTCCATGTTAGGACTTCCATTTCCTGCACAACTATTAAAACCTAAATCATAATTTCTATTCAAATCAATTCCAAAAACAGTTGTTCCATTGACAACACCAGCAACATTTCTGTTCTTTCTCCAGAAATTATTTGTTGTAAATACATATTCATAACCATCAACATTAACAACTGGAATGAAATAGAATTGATTAAATTCCAATAAATCTTCCCAATTTGGATCCGATAACAATTTTTCAATCATAGCAATATTAGTAATAACAGTGTTAATTTCTCTTGAGTGATGAGCAGATACAACAAGAATATTTGGAACATCTCTATTCTTTTCTACATTTTTAGAAATTTTAACACCAAAAATGTGACGATTTTCAAAAGTTGGTTTGGTTGTAATTTGAATCTTTTTAACCTTTCCTGGATATCTCTTTTCAAGTCCACTCAAATAATTATTAACTTGATTTAAATTTGGATATCCTTCAGGAACTCTATCAAATCCACTATAAACCTTCAAAACATCCCTTTTCAATTCTGGATCCATCTTTGCAAGAGTAATTGTAGATTTTTGCATAATATCAGCTTCATCACCATCCTCCCCCTGTTGATTATCACTCAATACACTCTCACTCATACTTCTTGAATTAGAATAAACAACTTTACAATTATCCTTATAATAAGCCAACAATTGTTTCAATTCCTCATCTCCAATATATAAATAAACATTTGTTCTCGTTGCAGAGATTACATTAAATCCACATTTCATAAAACGATCTCCAACTCCACTCAATTCCTGCTCACTAAACAAACCTGTCAAGGAAATTTGCACAATATATTGGAAATTATTACTTGATCCAACACTGACAGGAATTTTGTCATCGCAATATACTCTATCAACAGTACATGCGATGAATAAAAACATGACAATGAAAAATAGGCTCATCCACCTCTTCGAAGAAGATGTTTTGTTTCCTCGTTGCGCCACCATCATCATCGTTGTGTTCAACCAGCTGTAGCAAACGGTCCAGTACAGTCAGCGTGCTATTTTTTTTTAAAGATGTTTTTGTTCTTGTTCGGTTATGATAATCATTTCTATTGTAACATTTTTTGTTTTGAAAATTTGGTTTGTAATCAGATGTGATATTTTGTTGGATGGTTCAGTTTCAAACTTTGTTATTTGAAGGAAGAATTGTGAAGAAGATTACTTGTTGGAAGGTTGATTGTAAAGGTGATGAGGGTTGCAAAGAAGTTTTTGGTAAGAGTTGTATAATTAATTAAGGATGATGAATATTAAGCCATGTATTCATTTAAATTCATTATCAAGCAGACGAAGATAACATGGGATTACAATAGGCGTTTTCTGCATCTTTCTGGAAATGGTAACAAGTGCCGCTTGGTTCAAAAAAATGACCGTTACACATTTTAAATTGCAAGTCGTTACAAATTTAAATTACCACCGTTGACACCTAACCAATACAGCAAACAACATCATTCAACAACCATACTACCAGTTGTACAACTCTCACAACAAACCAACATCAATCCACTCACTCCCTTCTCTCTATCATTTTGAGTGATTTGCAAGTGTTGATCAATTTTTGCGGATCGCTTGCTCTCTTCATTATCAAATCTTCATATTGAAGAGAAATGAATTAATTTTAAATAACAGCCTAAAAAAAAGCATCTCTAACCTGATGAGTAACAAGCAACAGTCGTTTTCTACAACGACTATGAATTCACCTATGGTTATTGGCTCGTCTACGACTGGTAGTGGTGGTAGTGGTCCTATAACCATGATGATGATGAATAGTAATAGTAGTACTAGTGGTGGTGGAGGTAATAATTCATTGGTGAGTAGTTTGGTTGAACGTTCTACTACACCCTCTAATATGGGATCTAAGAAGAAGAATAAGCACCAGCTAATGCTTGATTCTTTAAATCGTTCTCCAATACACTTTTCTTCTAATACATCTACGAGAATAATAATAATAACAATAATAATAATACTACTACTTCCTATTATAACATACAACAAATTTCACCCAAACTACAAGCCACTTATCATCAACAACAACAACAACAAATACTCACTCCTATAAAGACTCAAACACAAACACGTATTCAACAATACTTTAACAAGAATAACCAGAGAAGTAATAGTGCTGGACTCATTCAACTCCGACCTCAAAGTAGTAATTCGAATAATGATGAAAATTCTTCACCAATACAAAGCAAACAACAATCAAAGCCTACTAAACAAGCATTGACTACAACTATTGTCAATACCTTGGATGGTTTACTTGTAAATAATAACAAGGAGAATGTATCTCCAACAACCCTAGGCACTACTAAATCTTTATCAGATTTAAAAATCTCAAAATCAACAACACAACAAGAATCTAATACTCCTTCAATTACTACTCAAGAAGTACCAAGTATTCTCACTCCAACAACAATTGAATCACTCATTCTAAGATTTATTTCTAATGAGACTCCTGTTATTAATAAGAAGATAACTAATGCATTGAGCAGCAGTGAAGAAAATTTGATCAAGTTTTTCAAATTGGTAACAGATCCACTTTCTTTGGGTGTTCACAAGAAGGAAACTCATGCCTTTGGTGAAAGATTTATTCAAGTTATATTTGCTGCAACAGGCACATTTGAAGAGTTAATTTCTAATAATTTAACTCTAATTTTGAAAGAATTGTGCCATACATTTATTTCTGGTAGATTATATCATGAACAATTGATTGTAAAATTGATCAAACAATTGTATGATGTTTATAGAACAAGGGTACATACTGCCATTCGCATGAATAATTTAATGCCATACTTTGCACACATTACCTTTTTAACAAATTTCCTTGTTAAAGAAGTGATTCCTCTCAACAATAGCAAATTGTATGAAGAAAAACTCAAATTCCTCGAATACTTTTGTAACAATTCCACCTACTGGAAGTTGTCTGATACAACAGTGTTTGTTGATTTATGGGAACAATCAATTATTCTAATGCAAGAAAGTAGTTATACTACCATGTTCCAAAAGATACAAGAACTCTTATTTTCTAAAGTTATTGACCAATGGTTTGATACTGTTAGAAAGAGAGATTCATACGAGCAAGGTGTTGAATACTTGCAACTTTTAAATAACCTAGTGCGAGATACAAGTAATTCTTCTTTAGAAGTGATTACAAACTTTCATTTTAAACTTTTGAAGAATCTTCTTGACAAACGATTCCCAATCATGGTTCAAATCCTTCTTGAGGATTTTAACAATAGATCCCATCAGTATGGTGTTAAGCTGTCTGCATACAATATTAGAAATAGATTTACAGCTCTAAGATTAGAATTAGTTCATTTGCTTACATTTGTTGTACACTTTTCATATTTGGATTGTATTGAAAAATCTGTTTTCCAAATGTATCCTCTAGAATCTAGTCAAATGATTGCAATTTTAACAGAGTATTTCTTTACTTACAATCACTGTAACGTTTATCATAACATTTATTGCATTCTATTCATGGAAGTTATTTTCAGAAATGAGGGCAATATAATCAAGTACTTTTTGGAAAAGTTCTTCTTTAGATCCGTCCAACTATATGAGAATAGATTAAAGGTTGATCAATGGGGCCATACTCTCCAATTGTTAAACATGATTAGATTAAGTTCAAAGTGTTCAGATAAGGAAGCAGAAATTAACAAATTCCTCTCCAAGCAAACAGAATGGAAACAATTCGAAGAAATTATCACTCAACAAACTCTATCTATGGAAGGTTTCTCTGATATTAGTCACATTAATATTGGTTCTCCATTTGCTGAAAGATTTGGTTTTACAGAGTTTGATTTGTGTAAGTCTTCTGAATAAACAAATAAGATGTTTGAGTAATTTCAATTATTATCCTCAATGTTAGAATATAATGAAATTGATTCGTCCTCCAAATTTCTATTCATAGGAAGAAAAGTGCTAAAAAAGAGATTTCAGTAGTTATTAACTTCAGTTCTCTCTGTAAATTATACAACCTCATTATCTCTAACAGTAGTTTATTTTGATACCCATCATTACTGCTCATTAATATTCTGTCAACAACTCTATTAAAAAAACAAAACAACAACAATGCTTTCATTCACTAAGAGTAGATTAGTTGTTCAGCCAATCATATTACTCGCCTTTATTCTTACCATTTCCGTATCTCACTTTATTGTTGGTCAATCAACATTTACCAACAATTTTAAACAAGCAATCAATGCAGCCACCAACGAGTACAGTCAATCAAAGGAATGGAATTCATTCCAGGCAAGTCTTGGTTATATTTTTCAAACACCTACTTGTACCATCAGTGTCAAAGATGCTGTCTACCCTCAAATATTTAATTGGACTTTAAATGAGCTGGTTCTATGTTATGAAATGGAAGCAGTTGATCCATTCCCACGAATGCATGAATATGCTGGTCAATTACTTGTCAAGACTTTGAAAAATCATTACAATATTACAAATTTGAATGCAAAATTCTTAATTATCAATACTACTGAATTGGGATACTTTCCAACAATGAAAAATGCAGTAGATAGCGCAACTTGCCATGTTGCTATCGCCTCCACAAATTACGAGGAGAGCAGAAGTAATCAAGTTGAATTTCAATGTAAGTTTGATCTTTTGACTTTCTAACAAATCTATACGAAGGTCCATACGGAGCTAGTTTTACAGGAATATTGAGATCTGAAAGAAGTAATGGTTCACTAGTCATAAACACACCCTCTGACCTCAATAAGGAGGGTGTACTTATTGCAGCTCCATACATGACCATCGGTTATGAATATTCGAAAGTTAATTTTCCAAAAGCCACCATTTTATCTAACTTTGGATATCAAACAGCTTATCAAATGGTTATCAATAAGGAAGTGCATGCTCTGATTGGTGATTATATTGAAATTAGTCAGTGGCTCCTAAGAACAAAGGCAAATTGTACTTCATGTTATGTTAAAATTTCAGATTCTTCAAGAAGTTTCGGTTCTTTTATTTCAAAAGGTCTATTAACATCATCATCAAATAATGAAGTAGACTTGGTCACTCTCTTTAAATGTATCACACTTTTGTTAATTACCATATTTATAACATTATAAATATGGAAACCAATTATTCGAAAGCGAATTAAAAAGAAATTAATATTTAAAATATATATCACATAATCTCTTAAAAATATATAGAACTTGGTACGTTTCGATCGTACGACCAGGAGGCTATTCTTGGTCTTTAGCTTAAAGTTTGATCTCAATCTCCTTCTCCTGACATTTACCATTTGACCGCAGGAGTGAGGAACCATTCTACCACCAAACAACTTGGGACCGTTGGGATCCTTGCTCTCCCCACTGAGCTACAAGTTCTCCTGATAGACACATAAGTTTCGAATAGAAAGTTTAGTATTACAATTCTCCACACTATATTTTGGTTTTAAAAATATTACAATAACTTTCCCAATTTGAAAAAACACGTATTTTTCAAGACAACGAAACTGATTACAAAAAAAATGTTAGAAACCAAAAGACTCAAACTTGTATTTCCCTCAATTTTCATTCTCTCCCAAGTTTTATTGTTAATTTTCATTATTGGATTTTCAAATGTTGTAACATGCAATGAAATTAAAAAGGAAACAACTGGAAAATGTTATTATGAGATATTGGGTTTAACTAAGGAAGCTTCAAAACAAGAGATTAAAAAACAATATAGAAGGTTAGTTGTGTTGATATTTAAAAAATTCGAATAGAAATTGTGAATTTCGAATAAAAGATTGTCGAGATGGTACACAGTTCCTTATATGGATAGATTTGTGCCAGCAAATGAGAGAGAAAAATATGCCCAAGAATATTTACCAATCATGAAAGCTTTTACAATTCTTTCAAATGACGAAAAGAGAAGAAAATACGATCATGATGGAATAATTGAAAATGATTACATTCCACAAAATGAATTTACTTTCGAATTCTTATTCAATAATTTCCACTTTGATAAAAAGGAAGAATAGGAGAAATTTTAGAGTTAATTAAATTGTTTATAAATTATTCAAAGATGGAGTTTTAGAATTCCAAAAATGGAACAGCAGTCTGTTCTAGTAATACTTTTTGTTTCTTCGTTTTGGTTTTGGAAAAATGGAAATACTTAGCTAGAGGGTAAGAGATCCAATACTTTATCGACACTTAATCCAACTTCACACAAAAAGTCAGTGTCCTCCTCAATTTAGTCCTGCCAATTAAAAAAAAATAGAATTTTCAATGATGAAACAATGCCTGTGTTGAATGTGAATCTACAAGTTCTGTTCACTGATATTCTTTTTTACTGATTGAAGGAACAATTCCAAACTTTTCACGTGCATTAAAGAACACTTAATGAAGCAATTCCCATTGGTGCTTTACAATTTCTGTGACAATCAAAAATTAAAGAATAAGTTGGATTAAATATTAAGGAAGAAATAGAAAACTAAAGGGGTACGTATGGGCAAAAAAGCGTTTTATTGTAATTAGAAGATTTAATAATAAGGGCCAAAAGGAACATTACAACCCATCAAAACAACTTTCAAAATAATATAATTTCCTATTTGAAAACTACAATTATTCGAAAGTATATCCTAAACATTAAATTGTAAAGGATTCCATCAAAAACCACCAAGAAACTACAATGCCATCTACAATCATGGAAAATCACTTTGAAAGTGTTATTGGAAACTTCTCACTTGTCCTTCTCAGATTAACATTCCATTCGATGAACTAAATTGTTACGATAGCTGATGACATTCGTGTCATTATAAAAAAAACAAGACGAATCTCTCTGCTCACTACGCACAAGAGATCGTCCATAGTAATACACAAGCAGCAAGAACAAAAACACTTTGGAAAATCAAATTGTCTACTGCTTCGATTCAAATCAACAATAATAATATTGGAAATTTAAATACAAATCTGTGATATTTTCCTGATTTTTCCAGAGAATTATATTACAATCATAATCATAATAATCAACCATTATTTACCTATTGCAACAATAATAACAATAATAACGGATGAGGATAATATCTTCCGAGTCGATGAACAAAAATAATGCCATGATGTGTAGTGGTGAGTCGTACTCAGCATCGTCACAATTTTTTTCCCTCCAAAACCACTACAATAACCTTTCCAGCCCAAGAACAACAAGATGCTGTAAAAAAGAGAAGAAGAGCAATGGTGCTGCTACAACAACTACTACTGCTAGTAGAACAGGAGGAAAAGGAGCCTTCTCCTCGGGATCTGCTTCTATTCATCATTGGTTATTCATTGCATTGATGATTGGTTTGATGGTACTTTTTAGTGAGGTTAATAGTGTTCAGGCTAATTCATTAGTGAGTAATTATGAAATGATGAGTGATGCTGTTGGATTGAATGGAGGAGTGATGACTCTTGCTACTTATCAGAGTCAAAATTCTTCATCATCAATTAGAGTGGGAGGATATATTACAAATTACAAAGTATTTATTGGACGTAATTGTACTCCAGAAACTAATGAAAGAGATTGTGGTGGATTGGAAGCACTTGTTTGTATTGATAATAAGTGTTCTTTTTGTACAAATTCATCTCAATGCTCCGAACAAGTACACAACATTTATTCATGTCACAAAAAGGGAAATGACAATATTTGTGAACATAAGGATTTATTTGAATATGTTTCTTGGATGGATATTTTGGCAACAATTACTTGTTTTATTGGTGGAGTTCTTTCAGCTGCTTCAGGTACTGGTGGTGGTGGTGTTTTCGTTCCATTACTTCACGTTGCTGGTCAATTCCCACCTACCCTTGCAATTCCAATTTCAACATTGATGATTTTCGGTGCTGGTATTATCAATATTGCAACTTTGAGTTTCAAGAGACACCCTCACGCAGATCGTCCACTTATTGATTATGATATTGCTTTAATGATGGAACCTCCAACATTGTTGGGTACAATTATTGGTGTGTTCTTTAACATGATGTTCCCTGATTGGCTCATTGTCGTTTTTGTTATTCTTACATTGAGTATTACCTCGTTTGTCATGTTTAAGAATGGTTACAAGAGATTGAAGAGAGAAAATGAAGAGAGAAAGAAATTGGAGGAATCTACAACTGAAGAAAATCATAATGATAATAATAATCCAACCACTGTCTATGATGGTGTCGATGGAGATGAAGAAAGTTTGTTAAAGGTTGAACAAACTACCTCCAATATTGTCGTTGCTGAAACCTCTGATGAAATTAAGATTGAACATCAAAATGAAGATCAACAAAGTGATGATGGTGTTGGTTATTCAACAAGATCTATCGAGGAACAAAAAGAATTGCAACAAATGTATGAATCTGAAAAGAGAACACCATTTGGAAAGGTTATTGTCTTGTTTATTTGTTGGATGACTGTCTTTACATTGAGTTTGTTGAAAGGTGGTCACGGTGCTCCATCCATTATTCCTAGTGTTACACAATGTAGTGTTGGTTATTGGATTTTGACTGCATTGAGTTTCCCATTGCTTGGAGCAATGACTTTGGGCATTGTTTTCTACTTGTTGAAGAAACACGAAAGAAAGGTTCAAATTGGTTATCAATTCGTTGAAGGAGATGTTCATTGGAATAAGTACAATGTTACTCTCTATCCTATTGCTTGTGTTGGTGCTGGTATTTTGGCTTCCATGTTGGGTATTGGTGGTGGTATGGTCAAGTCTCCACTTTTACTTATTTTGGGAAGTGATCCAGTTTCTTCTCAAGCCACCACATCTTTCATGATTCTCTTCACATCATCTATTTCTACTGTTCAATATTTGATTGCTGGATTATTACCTGTTGATTATGGTTTGTGGTTTTTGGCATGTGGTATTTGTAAGTAATTTTTTTATCAAGCAAATTCTAAATGATTGTATAAGTGTGTGGTGTATTTGGTCAATTGATTTTGGACTTGTGGTTGGACAAGAGTGGTAGAAGATCTATTATGATTTTCATTGTTGCAATTGTTACCCTTGCTGCTACATTCTTGATGGGTGGTGCTGGTATTTATGATGTTGTCAAACAAGTTGAAAAGGGTGTTTATATGGGATTCAGATCACCATGTCTTTAAATTATTGCCTTTTTGATAAGGTCCATTTGTAAATTGTCTAAACTTGCTCCATTGTTGTGGGGTACTAAATACTGAGATATCCTTACTTTGCTAAACTAAAGTACATTATTTTATGATAAGAATTTAAAGTATTTCATTGTCTGTAAATCCAACATTGCCAAAGTCGCTGAGGGCTTAACAGCTGATGAAGCTTCAGCAAAACCCTTAAGTTTAAATTACCATGAAGCCGACATAGCTCAGTTGGGAGAGCGTAAGACTGAAGATCTTAAGGTCCCTGGTTCGATCCCTGGTGTCGGCATAATTTTGCATTTTTATTTCCTTCGTTTTATCTTGTACAAAATTTAACACCTAATTCTGAGGGATGAGACTGTAAATCATCGAATTTAAGTGGACATTTGAAAATCCATTCACAATTTTCAATCATCTCATCATGTTTCGATTGAACAAATGTTGGAATGTCCAATTTGAATTGAGAGCCATGTAATTTCACATGTTGCATTCTTCTCCTCAGTAAATGCTGCCAGTTTTTAACATTTAACGATTTTTCAAACCTTGGATAATAACTAAACACCAAAGGTTTCCAAATTAATTGCTGAACTCTTTCAAAACTTTCGTCTACAGTTTCGTAATCTTTTTCAATCACATTCTTTTCCACATTAAAAAATAATAATAACATTCTACTATTACACAATGCCAAACTATTCAACAGTCTCACATCCATAAATTGTCCAATGTGAACAATCAACTCGGAGGGCAAATCCAACAATTTCACATTTCCAACAATACAAATTTGATCTTTTCCATCACATGATGGGGGTTTGTTATTTTCCACTTGCGAAATATCATCACTAGCCTCCACAACACTGCTTTTTGAGAGATTTTTAAAAGGGTTCTTAAATAATGGCATTTTTTTTAAAGATTTTTACAATGAACTTTTTCTAGTCAACCAGAGCAACAAGAGAAAAACTTCACAGTTTACAATCTTCATGGTTGAAAGTAAATAGAAGAATCGCACAATTAGAACTATTGAAAAGGTTCCAAAGCCTTGTTTGCATTCAAAGCCTTCACTAAAAACTTTACAAAAAAATGCCTCAACAACAACTCCAGGCATCACGGTTTTCATCCCTTCTTTCAAAATTACCCTCTTTTCGATCGGTGATTCTTCTCTTCTTTTCTCTTCTTTTAAATTGTTTTTTATTGTTGTATATTGCTAGATATCATCGGAATGATTATCGGACATCAATTGAAGAATACAATAAATTAATGAATGGTCAAGCCATCACAACCACCACAAGTAGTACAACAACAACAATGAGCACGACCTATCTACCAAATGATCAATTTCCCTTCCATATTAAAAAAGCATTAAATACATTGATTGAAAAACAAAAAGGCAAATTTACAAGTTTAATTGATTATGGAGTTCCACGTATTGTGACAGCTACATCACATGATTATTTTGATAGACTTGAAAATTTTGTTGGATCCATTCATGTAATGTATGAATCGAAAGGAAAGGATTTAAATCCAAGAATTAATTTAAAAACAATACCCAACGATGCAAAGATTAAAAAAGTATCAGATTCAATGGGTTCAAGTTATTGGTTTGGATGGAATACACTTGTTGAAGAGGAGAGTAGACCAATTCTAGTTTATGATTTGGGACTCACCAAGGAACAACGAGAAAAGTGTAAATCATGGAAAGGAGTTGAACTTGTGGATTTGGATTTTAATGTATTACCAAAACATTTTACAGAATTGAAAACATTTGCATGGAAACCACTTGTCATGTATTTGGCATTACAAAAATATCCATCAATAATATTCTTGGATAGTGGTGTTGAATTATGGAATAGATTGGATAAAATTGAAGATATTTTGTTTACAAAGGGATATTTCTATGTAGTTCAAGAAGGTTTGAGAACTTTATGGAGATGTTGTGGTGATATTGGAGAATTAACTCATGAAACTACATTTAATCGATTGGGTTTATCAAGAAAAGAGTTTGGTCCAAAGACAATGTGTAGTGGAGGTATTCAGGGTTATATCAAGGATTCATATGCCTATAAAAATGTACTCGTTCCAACATTGGAATGTGCTTGGGAGAAGGAATGTATGGCACCTACAGGAAGTCACATGGGCAACCATCGTCAAGATCAATCAGTTTTTTCATTACTTATTCACAAATCAGGTCTAAACTGTGAAACTGATATTAGATTGTGGGGAAATAGAGGAAATTATGTTGATGTTCCAAAAGATGAAATTGTTTTATTCTTGAGAAAGGGAGCACGTGAAAAGCAATTTGTTGGATTTGCAGAAAAATCAAAGAAATTTGCCATTGTTTTACCATTCAGTGAACAAACCTTTGAAGCACTACTTTCAAATTTGAATCTTTGGAAGAAGAATTACTATTCGCCATGCACATCTTTATATAGAAGTGAATTTGATAGTGAAAGTGGAATTGATTTAATTTTCTATACCAATAAGAAATTAGGTGATTCATCCATTAGAGATGTTTCTAGTAGAATTGAACCAATTAGAAAATGTATCAAGAGTTTTGAATTTAAATATATTGATATGCAAGATTCTGAAATGGGAAATAGAAATCAACTTTTAAGATTAGTTCAAGATGATTCATTCCATTCCAAGTATCATAGCTTCTTTTACATGACAACATATTCCCGACCAATAAGACCAAATTGGATCAATGCAATTAATTCCATTGTCAAAGATTATCAACATTCAAAACCAGATTTTTGGTATATTGGATCGAATAATAGAGCAAACTTTGAAATGTTTAATTTTGATGCTAGTGCTATTTATTCAACGGATATTTCATTTAGAACATTTTTGAATGACATTGCTTCAAAACAACAAACTGATCCATTCAAAGATTTAATGGAACCAAAGAATTCTGATTTTACTAGGCAAGTGATGAGCAAATTTATTGTTCATGATTTTATTCAAAATTGGTTAAATTTCCCAACATTTTCTGAAAAGATTGTCAGAGATTACAATTTGAGAACCTATTTTATTGATACGAGACCATAAAATAAATGTATTTGTGTGAATTAATCGTAGAAAACAGATTGAAATGATTTTACCAATGATATTAATGTCATCCTTATTGTTTCATTTCGAATTTCTCATTCAATGAACGACTGCTATATTTGTGCAAGATAAACTGGTCTGTCTACACAAACACAAATCACAAATTTTTAAATCTGTAATTAATTTTTATTTGTGTTTAGAGCTCTCATTGGTAACATTTTTCAATAATAAAAAGCTCTCAATATATTCATAATGTTTACAATAGTTCAATAATAATGGCATTCGAATAAAACTAAATGGCCTTTTCCTCTTTTCCACACAATTTCCTGCACCTAATTATCCGTTTTAAAGTGGAACAGAAACCAACTGGTCTACAATTTATGTATCCCTTAATTGAATTTATGGACTCTTAACACAAGCTCCTAGAGAGTAGACAAGTTATTAAATTGGATAATGATTTGAATGAGATTTCATTCCATTAATTTCATGGTATTTGAATATGGTCAATAATTTCCAATTATCTCACAATCCTCAATCAAATTCATTGTTTTTGTGATCCATTCCATATCAAGAAGATACATTCAATAATTTAAACATTGATAAAACTGAGAGTTAATTTGACACCTCCCTGAATATAAACAATATTAACTGTAAAATCCAATCTTCCATCTCTTTCAGTCATTACTTCCAATCTAAATTCACCTTCTCCTGCCTTTTCATATTCTTCCTTTCCAGTTGCATGCATTAAAAGATATTTAATCCAATGCTTATTTTGTATAGTTGAGTAAGGAACTAGTCCTTGATCTGTTCTAAACATTATATAAGTATCTCCACTCTGTTCAACATATTTCAAATGTACATGTCTAGCATTCAATAATTTGGCAATATGAAATACATGATCCAATATTAATATTGAAGTGTATGGATAGGATGTTATTTGACTACTAGTATTTGATCCAGATGTATTCTCTCGTTCGGGAGGTGAATTTTCTTCTTTTTGAATAGTAGTAGTAGTTGTATAGTGTGATTTTCTCAATTCTAATCGGAGTGGTTTCTTTCTCTCAAATACTGCATCGGGATCATGAATAATACCAGTATGCAATGTTCTAAATGGTTTCATACTAACACTATTCGGAAAATGTGCATGATACATTGATAAATTATTATTATGAATATCATCTTGGATCATTTCATCATTACCATGATGATGATTTAAAGTACTACTACTACTTTTATCCGATAAATTTAAATGATTAATTATTGTTTTAATTCTATTTAAATGTTTACTATTTAAAAGTGAGTCAACAGTTGTTGTGTTGTTGTTGTTTGATGATGATATTACCATTTTTTATTATTATTTAATTATTAAATTCAATTATTATTACAATCTTTAAAATATTCTTTTAATTATATATTAACATTAAACATCCAAGGATATATATATTACTCCTTTGATTTTACACTAAATGAAGTTCCACAACTACAACCAGTTTCAGCATTTGGATTCTTTTCAAGAACAAAGGCTGTTTTAGCCATCGACTCTACAAAATCAATAGTACTACCCTTAATAAAACTCATTGTAATACTATCAGCAATAACTTTAGATTCTGGATAATTATTATGAATAAATACTTGATCATCTTGTTCTACTTGTTTAGAAAAAGTAAATTCAACCTGATATCCACTACAACCACCACTCTCTACAATAACTCGTAACATTCTATCGTGTGCACCCTTCTTTTCATTGATATCTTTAATTCTTTTAGCACAGGCTTCTGTAATTAAAAGTGAATTTGAATATTCTTCCGATGATGTTGTTTGATTCCTCACACAAGTATTCAATGAAGTAAATTTTCTATATTGTTGTTGTTGTTGATGATTTTTAAATACGAGACATGATGAAGATGTAGATGATAATGCGGAGTAATGGGATGAAGGGGAGGATACAAAAATTCTTCTCATCGATGAAAAGACTTGATGGTGGTGTGAGGATGCGTTTTTAATCATTTTTTTTGATTGACTTGTTTTCAGAATCTGAGTGATACTTTACAAATTTGTAGATATATGGACCTATAAAGATTTTATCTAAGATTAATAAATTAAAGATTTAATACTTTTTCTAATATATTATTATTATACAAATGTTTTACTTTTCAATCTTTCTTAAAGCTTGTTCCAAATAGAAAGGATAAATTAGATCAACAAATTCAGCCCATTCAAAAGCAAGTAAAAATGGATAATCTTGAACAATCTTTTCCTTTTCTTCTTGAACTTTGTTTAAAGCTTCTTCACTTTCCTCTAGAGCAGATCCAACTATACAGAAATCAGCATCATCCATACTATTTGTAATCTTTCCATCTCCATATCCAACAAGAAGATGACAATGTTTAAATGTAAGACTTGATGAATCATTAGTTGCAATAAATGATTCAGCCAAATAAACATTCCTTCCTTTAAGTGGTTTATCCAATCTTTGAACACCATATTTTTCTTCTTCTTCCAATGAACATTTTCCATCTGTAATCCATTTTGTTGACATGATTTTCTTTCCTGTTGCTAATGCTTGTAATACTTTCATTGTTCTAGCAAATGGTGGTGCAATAACATGAGTCACATCATCAGTCAAAGTATCTGATAGATTACCACACATGTTAAAAAACATGAATCATGACTACATACCAATATCTGCAGCTTGTTCTCCAGCAATTTTAACTCCAAGTGATGTTGCAATTTGTGTCAATTCCTTTTTCAATGTTTTACTAAATCTATCAGATGAATTTTTAAAACCACTAAATGTGATCACAATTTCTGGTGATTGTGATGTTGTTAATTCTGGTTTTTCAAGAACTTGATTACCAATAACAGTTGCTACATTAGATTCTCTTTTAACTTTCTTTGCACTAGGTGATGTGGAAGCAAAATCTGTTGATACTACTGCAGAAGCACCAGAAACAGCCGATGATAAAGATGATGATGTTTGGGATACTCTAGAAGTGCTTGGTCTATTAGGCTTAGAAATTTCTTCATGTTTTCTCTTTGTTGAAGATGATGAAGATGAAGATGGCGTGGCGGTTTTACTCTTTCTTCTATCTGGTGTTTGTGATGATTTACCGTTCAAGGATGATGAAGATTCATCAATATTATTGGTTGCTTCCGTGGCATTACTTTCCTTGCTTCCTCCTAAACCCATTTTTTTTTAATCAATTATTTTAAAAAAACGATCATTAATTTTGGCGCCAAAATGAAACGTTTATCATGGTGTGGTACACTTGTAAATATATGAATGGAAATGAAAGAGTTTATTCTTCATCATCTGGTTTGTGAGTATTGATATAATCAGCCAGTTTTCTATCTGTATAATTAATGTGTTTCACTAACCAATTAATTAAATAGTTCAATAATTCAATGTCTAAACTTGTGGCATGACTTTTCAGATAATCTTTTTGCATATTTTTCATTTTGGTTGTAAATGTCAAATGTTCTTCATGATGTTTTTTCACATATTCCTCTCCAATTCCCTTCTTGTATTTACTATTATTTCAATAATAGAATATTCAATAATTATTACAATTGTTGTACAATATTGATGATGAATTATTATTAAATTTTGTTAAAAATAAAAAACAAACCTCAGTAACTGTTCCTCATCAGAAAAATGAAATTCCGTATATTCAATTAAACATCCAATTGTATATCCAACAACCCAATGACTTTGAGAAGTGAGTGATGCTTCACTTAAATTCTTTAACCATTCAATTAATTGAGCATGTTGTGAATCAATTTGATCACATCCAACTGCATATTTAGTTGGATCCCATGATACAGAAACTAGAAGTGAATTACGACGTGACATGTTTGACATTCTACTTTGTAATTCACTTGATGAATTCGATGGACTAAATTTGGTTTTCTTCTTCTTATTACCGAATATTGAACTCCAAAAACCTTCTTTCTGAATACCAGCATTATCTTGCTCTAATTCCTTTTCCAATTTTTTCAAATCAATATCACGTTCTTTAGCTAATTTATCAATTGTCTTTTTTTGATTATTCTTAATTTGTAAACTTTTGGATGGGTAGAGATGGTAGAGTTCTTTAATCATTGCAAGTTTTTCATTTCTCACTGCAATATGAAGTGGTGTATCGCCTACCTTATTAATTACATCTAATTGAATTTCTTTAGATCTAATTAGTAATTCAAAAATTTCCTCTTGTTCTGCCAGCACTGTTACATGAAGTGGTGTTAATCTATTTTTTTTTATATATATATATTTAAATATTCATATATATTTAAGAGTTAGTTCAATATCAGAGTAAAAATTAAAAGAGTTATATAAAATAGAGTCAATAAAAAATGAAACATACCCATAAACAGAATCCTTCTCATTAAATAACAATTCCAATTTATCAGAATCTCTTGCTAAACATTTAACAATATGTACCAATGATTCCATATATCCCTTTGAACAGCAATGATGAACAACAGTTTGACCCTTATCATTCTTCATGAATAATAATTTCAATAATTTCTCTCTTCCAATTGTATTTTCACAAAAATCAATTAAATATTTTGTAATCTTTTCATGTTTAACAGCTCTAAATAAACAACTTTCTTGTTTTGTATTTTTTCTAAAAATGTTATGTTTTAAATCTTCAACAATGAATTGAACTTTTTCCAAATCACCTTCTCTACATGCTAAATGTAAAATTGTATTTCCACAATAAACTTTATATTCAATATCAACATGAAATCCTAATAAAGTTCTTGCAACTGTAAATCCTTTTGATTTGTTAATACTATTTAAGGAAACTGAAAGTGGAGATGCTTCATATTTATCATGAGTATTTAAAATAGCTCCATTAATAGCTAACATGGTTACTGATTTAGAATGAGCACTTGAACATGCATAAAATATTGGTGTTGCATCTGACCTATCTTTAGATTCTAATAAATCAGGTTGTTTATCCAATAAATATTGCATCACTGTTAAAAAATCAAATTTTGAAGCTGTATGAAGAAGTGAACATTTAGTTTTTGAATCAATTAAATCTTTTTTAAAATCAATTGTTGAATTATTACAATTATTATGCGTATTATTATGGATATTATTACTATTTATAGTAGTATTTCCATTATTAGAATTGTTAGAAGGACTAGTAGTAGATGTATTATTATTATTATTATTATTATTAGAATAAAATAAATAAGATTCTATTAATTGAATCATTTCTAACATTTCACTTTCAGTCATTTGAGTTGAATGATGAAGTAAATATGTAATTTTATACAAATTACTTGAAATATATTCTCTAATATCATTTTCAATGACAAATTTTGATGAAATATCATTGAGTTTGAGACAATTATTATCTGATAAACTTGTGTCTGGATTATTATTCATACTAATACCACTACTATTGGTACTTGCGATAATAATATCGCTATTATTATTTCCATTAATAACTCCGCTAACCGTATTATTGCTATTATTATTTTGAATTAACATTGTTTTATGATGTATGTAATCTAAATAATCAGTTATTGATTCATTTTCTAAAACTGATGATTCCTCATGATCATGTACAATTGAAGTTAAATGTTGACTACATAAAATTGCAGTTGAACCTTGAATGAAACTATTCGAAACTAAATGTTGTTCTTGATCAATATCCTCATCATTATCATCGGATGAATCATCATCATCAATACTAATATTACCTATTTTTGAAACTTTTTCCAATGATGAATTATTTAATCTGAAGAGTGAATGTGAAGGATGAAGTGGTTTGCTACTATCATTAATTCCTATTAAACTTAATCTTTTGGTTTGTTCGTAAACGTTAATGATGTCAACTAGACCAAGACGTTCATCTTTCATTTTTTTTTTATTTGACATTGTGTGTTTGACAGATGACTTTTTGTATGGCACCAATAATTGAATAATTGGCAGGTAGGTATCACTTGCTACTATTTATTAATAATAGGATATCGTTACTTTGAAAATCAAGCAGAGATGTAACGTCCTTTTTTTATTCGAATAAAAATGCATAAAATGGGATATTAGCTAAAATATTTCCATAAATGTACATATTCTGACAGGACACTAGGAAAATGGCTCAAACACCTGTGGTATAAAATCTTTTCGATTAATAGATTGCGTTGTTGCTATTGTATTATTCGAAACTGTTGAAGGGAATATACTGAGTAGAAGAAATGTGTGAAAATATTATACGAAAGAGGCCTAATGGAGATTTCATTTGGTTTGTGAATTGCATTGATCGCCTCATTCTAGTAGTATTGGGCCTATTTATTTATCTAAATGTCGAAATGACATGTTTACAATTTGATTGTTGACTTTTTTAGAGATCTGAGTATCTTTTTTGGAATTTAAATTATTAAGGGTGTTTAACAAATATGATCATGGTATTTGAAATCAATATTAAATAAATTGAATCTACAGTTATTGTAATGATGAGTTTATAGAACTATTTCAAGAGATAAAAGTTATGATATCAAAAGTTTAATAAACTTGCCTACACGAATAGAATCAAAATATTATCATCAATTGCAAATAATTGAAATCTATTTTACAAAAAGATGAACCTTACTTTGGGTTATTAATTTATTTTTAATAAAAAAAATGTTTAGAAATCTCCAACGCTGCAAAATCCTTGAAAAATTCATCATTGTTAGAACTTTCAGTGAGAAGAAATTTTCATCATCAATTGCAACCATTGAATAAATCCACGGTAACCATCACACTACCACAAGATCCAGAAATGGTTAGGGAAGGTGTTTTACAACTTTCTTAAAAAAGAAGGTGATTATTGTAAACAAGATGAAGTTGTATTGGAAATGGAAACATACAAAGCTGTATCACAAGTTAGATCACCATATGCAGGAAAAATCATTAAGATATTCACTCCACAGAATAATGAAAAGTTTGAAATTGGAAATTCTTTATTTTCTTTAGAATTGGAAAGTGACTAATTGTAAACTTTTCATTGTAAAAATACCACTTTAATTCTCAATATCCATTTGAGCATGTACAAATTTTACAACCTCGGGCGCATTTTCAGTCGAGATTCGTTTTTGTGTTATCATTAATTTCTCATTCCCGAATGATGAAAAATAGGTTCAACTTTAGAGAAGTGGTGAAAGTTAGGGGCAAAAAAATTAAAAAAACAAAAAATAAAAAAACAATAAAATTTCAACTGCCAAGTTTTGTTGTTCCAAAAGTTGGACCTCTTTTTCAACAGATTTGTAAAAAATTACAAGTTACCTTGCTTCCAGTTTTTGGAGGATTTTTCAACCAACCGATCTAAAAAAAATGTGTTCATCATCAATAATATTTATTCATCATCATCAACCATTTTATCTACTTTGCTTCTTAATTGTTTGAAGGCAGAGGCAATATGTTCTTTGATCTCAGTAACAGAAATCTTCTTAGACAAACACGGAATACATTTTCTGATGGTGGTTACTAATTGATCAACAGTTTCCTTGTCCAATTTAACTCTGGCATCGGGATACTTGGTGTTGTCTCCTGGCATAATATATTTTGTGTTCAAATTGAATGCAGAACATTTCTCAGCAAGAATCATGATAAGTTTAACGACAGCTCTTGTTGGTTGATTCAAACCTAACTCTGCTACTTCAGTATCTTCTAAAACAATACCTTCATCACGATTATCACCCCAATAGATGGTAACTTTTCTGGAACGTTTAAAAACCTTTTTCCGAGCTTTCTCCAATTCATCCATAGCCCTCCATACTTCTTGCATATCCTCATCATAGCCAGAATTACTATTCAACTCATTTTCTAGTTGCTCAATTTTTCTGTTTGCTTCATTCAATTCTGACTTGGCTTTTTTTAACTCTAGCTCTGCATTTGCCAGTTTAACTCGTAGTTGTTCCATTTCATTAATCACTGTTTCACTGACATTGGATTCCAATTCTCTCATAGAGAAATTATTCTTTTTCTGTTTGATTTCAGATACAGAAAGTTTGGAAGGTGAGTAATATGTGAATTTGCATAATTTAACTTTTGGCCACTCATATTCTGTCAATATTTGGAATTTAGAAGTAAAGTTCATTTCCAATTCTATAATTTCAACAACTAAACTTTCACCAAGATCTTTAACACATACAGCTTTTCCTACATAGAATAATTTTCCATCATCATCTTTATGGAATAGTGCAACATTTTCATCTTCGGTAATTGATAACATGTTTCCATCAACCTTTTTCAAGTCTTTAGATTGGAATTGAGATGGAGTAGTATCACTTAATTTGGATGAGCTTGCTTCATTTTTATGCTCTTTTGGTTGTGGATTGCTTTTTCTCTTTTTGGAAGAGAATGAAACATCATCTTTTAGCAAGATAGGAACAATGTGAGTCACAATTTCTTGGTTAAGCTTATGAAGTACTGGAACTGTGATAGTCTTATTCATGTAATGTTTTATATCTTTCAGTCCATTTAGTTGTGAAACATTTAAGGAATTCAAAAAAGAAACATTGGTATTGGTAGCAATGATGATTTCTGCAATTTGGGGTTTAGAAAGTTTTTCCAAATTATTGTGTTGAATTAACTCAATATCATTTGAAGAAAATGGTACGGAAGGATTGAATGGTGGCACTTCTAATATTCTTTTAGTACCATTCTTACTTTTGGTTTTGGATTTTTTGAATACAGCAACTTCAACCTCTTCTTGACTACCATGAACACTACTTTGTGACATTTTCTTTGGATTTGATTGTTATTGAATTATCATAGTGGGTCTTTTAAATATTTTCACTAGATTTATTTTTAGACCAAAACCGTTATTACCACAGCTTAGATCAACTTCCACCCGAAGGAGGATTTTAAAAATTATTACAACAAAAAATGGCCACAACAAACAGCCAGAGAGTACAAAAGTCTCGTAATTTCAGGAAATTTTCTAAAAGGTTCTTCCAACAAAGTAAGAACAACGTTGTTTCTCTTTCTATTCACAAAGAGGTAGCAAGTGTTGAACAACAGAATCCTTCCACTCCACCGATAACTAAATCATCAAATATTA